TTTTCGGAGACATATTTAGGCGAAAATCGATCTTGTTCTTTGGATAGCTGCAATATCTACAATTTTTACTTCTCTAGAAAAATTTTTCAACTTTTAAAGTAAATTCGTTTATTGTCCTACGGGCCACGAAAGCCAAAAAATAGTAGTTCAATAATGGTTTTTTTTGTGTAAATTTATGGTATTTGCGCCATTTTCGATTTTTCAAAAAGTTCTCGAATTTTAGAGTTTATAAAAAATCTTAAAGTGGTGTTATCTTTTAATATATCATTATTGAAAATTAAACATCTGCGATAAAATCATTTGAAATTAATTTAAATTTAAAAAAATAAAGATGACATTATCCATTTATCGAAATTATAGTTTTAGCAGGTTTTAAATTGATAAAAAAAATTATTTGTAGCAAGGCTGCGTGTTCTAATGACCATTGAATTGCGTCACAGAACATAGCTAAGCACTAGCCTAATTTATTCTTCCACAGTAGGGAACGCCAATGCGTGCGATGAAACAACACGCATGGAGCTATCCGTGGCTTCGGAACGTCACGCGCGCTCCGTTGGTAGGAATCGAACCTCGGACCGACCGAGTAGAGATGGGGCAATGTAAGATTGTGTCCGAACACCTTTGACCACGCGGCTACGAAGCCAGTATAACATGCATGACTTAAAATGCTTCCCAATATACAGTTAATAATTTATTTCAATTATAAAAAGAAAATTATATACCAAGAAAATTTTGAATGATACGATTTTTAATCGTAATTATAAACATATCTTTATCAACGCTGCAATCAAAGTTATAATATTAAAACGATTGTTAAATAATTTATAGAAAATTACTACAAATACTTTTTCATAAATTTTCCTAACACTTTTATTTTATTTTTAAAATGTTTGTATATTTTACAGCATGAATTTTTGGAATCACTCATTATGTAATAAGTTGCATTGAAAAATCATTGAATTATGGATGTGCACAAAATTCAAATCATTTTCTTTTTTCAATGCAAAAAATTAATGTTAAAGTTTCGTATTTTCAATTGTATTATAAATTACATTTTTCAAAGTCGTCCATTTTTAATTTATATAATTTGTATTTGCATCTGAAAAATAATTTTGAACTTGTAACAAGCATTGTCCATTTAAAAAATTTTATAACTGAAAGTATCGACGTTCTTTACGAAGAAAAAAACCCTTTTTCATTTAAATTAACAAATAAACGTGCTACCCTTCGTAAAGAGCGTTAGTATGGTTTTATTCTTTTAGTTCTTTGATAGAAACTCATTTTTTTGGCTCATATTTATTCGTAATTTACAATCATGACATTATCGCTTTCAAATAAATTCAATAATTTTTGTTTTGCATTTTATGCAGCCATAAACTGTGCTGCAAGCTGTTGAAGGGGATTATTTATGCGGTAGCTATTGCAGATTCTAGAAACAGTTTAGAAACAAAAAAAAAACGCGATCAAACAGAGCTTTCAGAGGTTGAGGAAGAAATATAAATCCATGTAAAGCTCAAAACAAACTTCTTTAAACTTGTTATTCTGGCGTGTTACTCAACTTTCCGCGTACACAGTAGTAAGTCGTGTAAAGCGAATCTTTTCCTACACGTCTGACTTTACCCTTTTTCAAAAAACCTTTCTCGACAGTACTATATTTTCTGTATTTCAAGCATAAATGTAGAATTTTTTTTTTAAGCAGATATAAAATGGAATTTATTTATATTATAAATAGTAATTTATGAAAAGTTATTTTAAGAATTTCCCAGTTTAATTTTTCGCTCATAATAACATAAAATAAGTTAGCTACAAAAAATTTTCTGACATAATTAAAAAACAATGTTACAAAAAGCTTCCTGTAAAAAATTTAATCAATTCTATATTCAAATTTAATTACTTTTTGAATGACCAATGTAGAAACTGCATGGATAAACGTGGATTAATTCTAAAATATTCCGAAAGATTTTTTAAAAATTTAGATCATTAAGGAAAGCATAAGCACAGATTCGTTAAAGCACGTCATCGGAATTGCTGTATATGCCATTTCAACTATACCGAGTTTGTTTGATTGCTAAGCTATCGTAGATGACAGGCTAAAATTTGCCACCAGTTGTTCTTTAAAACATCCAAGATAAGAACGGTTACAAAGTAGAATGATGGTTGCGTAGGCGGCCTAATTACACGATCGATTACGTACGATACAAGTGTCCCAAAGCTCGATAGCGCGTCGAGCTGTTGTTATGGACTTGCAGTTACACAATAGTTGCTGCGGTTCATAGGCTCGATCGAGCCGAGAGGATCGAGGAGATTCTGAGCGGCTGCGACGTGGAGCACGCGCGTGCGAAGCGGGGATCGCAATTATCTTGCCCGAGACTTTACACGACAATTCGATCGCGAGTGCGCGAGGAAACACAGCAAACTTCTAGTTTTGCGGCTTTCAATTTAACGGAACTTTGCCCGTATAGCTGCGAGCTCCGGCGCGCGTATAAACTATAACAGCGCAGCGCCGTTGCCGCCGTGTACAAGTCCGCACGCTGCAGCAGCAGCGAATACTTTAATACTAAAGAGGACTTTCGCAACCGGTCGCAGCTACTCCTATTGTGCGTGCCATTGCCAGCGCTGTACATATACTGAAATTTCAAAGTCTTTCGCTGCGCCCGAGACCGGCGACGTATAGCACCGGCAACTCGGAGAGAGCAGCTCTTTCAACGCGCCGTGCAGATATTAAATTTGCCCCCGAGAACGCGCATTTCCACTTGCATTATAACATAACAAACTTCTCTGATTTAAAACTTCTTCAAAGCTTTGTCTATTACTTAAGTTATCTTCCTGGCAAATACATATAATATAAAAGCTATATTCTACAAGTATATGTACTTTTTCTTTGCACTCTAGCTCCTATTCGAACATATTAAATGCAAAATCTTATGAATTTCTCAAGTGGAGTACGCGATTGATTTATTTATTTTAACTAACATTCATGTGCTACAAAGAAGCTGTTCATACCTCTTCTATTCAGTATCCCTTCCTTCCGCTAAAATTGTTCAAATAGCTTAATTTGCAGAATCAGAATTAAAATCTTCTTTTTTTAAATTTACTTTTATTCGTTTCCTCTTGCCACTCAGAAAGCTTAGGTAATTTTGCAAACTCAGTTTGGTATTTCGGGTGGGTCCCAAGGAAAAACATCGAAAATGATAATTATTTATTTTTTGTCAACCTTTACCCATTAAAGCCGAAAATGACGAAATTTTTCGTTCGCGATCGATGCAATTTTTCCCCTCATTTTGGGCCTTGAAATGGTATATTTCTCAACGGGTGCAGTTATGGTTTTTTAGCAAAACAAAAAATTATAACACGAGCCGAAAGCAAGTGCTGTAACGATTTTTGTTGAACTTTTGTAAACATTTAAAAAAAAATTTCGAAAAAAATAAAATTTTCATTTTCACGATACAACTGTGCAATTGATCGATGAATCTAAATGTTTTTGATCTTAAATTGAAGTTTAACTGCTTATCTTTCGAAATCTGTGATAAAAAATTTTAATGAATCACTACATTGTTTCAAAAAAATTAAAGGAAAAAAAATGGTAAAAAAAAAATTAAAAATCTTAATAACTAACAAAATATTACACAAATGGAAATGAAACTTTTTCGGGCTTCATCCTCAACATAATCGACAAAAAATGCAGTTTATTTCAATAACATTCATATGAATTAATTCCCATTATTAAGAAAACTCGTTCCACGTACATACACGTACATACATCCACACACATGACACACAGATAGATAGACAGGCACACTGATACACATGTTACATCGCCCTTAATTTATTATAAATAATTATAAAAATCATAAATGTTAAAATGACGTTACGGAGATCATGAAATCGATGTCGAGATGAAGCGTTGTCGGTTTAGCGAGAAGAACAATACATTTAGGAATCCGCTATCAATTAGCCTCATCTGTCGTCAGGTTCTCACAGACGGACAGGCGCTGACAGGTACTTTTCACCCAAAATTATCTAAAAACTCAGGGTATATATTGAGGACCCGCCGAGGTCTCTGGGCGATTCGACTATCATCTTATTCAGTGTGCAGAGCTCACGTCACTTTGTACCGCAATTTTATATCATCCGGACTTGTGCGACATTGTGCCGCGAGTCCAATGCGGAGTATAATTTGTAATCGAGGCTAGCATAGCTAGTGTAGTGCAGTCAACCAGGAACGCCAGTCGGCCAGTTGCAGTGTGAGCCACGAGAATACGAGCGAGTCGAGACAGTTGAAGTCATCTTACATCTACACCGTGAATCGTCCGACAGGCCTACGTATATTGTTTTTAATTAGTTGAGTAAGCCTAGGTGAAGTCAACCTTTTGTATTTCAATGTATGAATGTCCGCGAATAAATTGAACTGTAATTATTTATACATAGTAATAACGCCTACCTACTCTATCTAAGCACTGACATTATTCCTAAAATCCTTCATTGTCACCAGCCAGAATAAAATCATTTTATAATAAATATATTATTGGCGTCTCATGACGTTACACACAAACATACATACTGACATCAGTCCCGAATTCGATTTAGTTTATGAATATATACTCGACATGAGACACCACAAATGACAAAAGTCCATTTTAGATCCATCGCAAAGCTTCCTCTATCAGAAAGCAGAAAAGTTTAAATGTTAGAGATTCAAAGAATTATTTATGAAGTGCAAATGCGATCATCTCAGATGAAAATTTAGCTTTGTTTTTTTCTTAGTGGTAAGCAAAGAGGTGATTCATTTGAGTTAATTTTTTGATCTGTAAAATTTTTTACTAATCCATTTTATTTAATTAAAAAATTGTTTTAAAAATCAGCTTATTAAAAAATACATGTATAATTTATTTTATAGTTGTACTGGTACTTATAATAGCTGTATTAAAAAAAACGAAGTACTGCAATTTATTCAGAAAGCTGTGTATTTTATATAAAATAAAATTTATCGATCGACTCACATGATTTGCTTTTTTCGGCATGAGCTGTGTTATTGAAGAAAAATAGTAGCAGAGCCACAAAAATGACTTGGCTGAAGAGAGTATCACCAGGTTCGGGGGGTCCTTTGTAAACTCTCATAATGTCCTATTAGCAGCCGCGAGATGATCAGTCAATGTGCCTTCATCGTAACTGACACAATGAACGTAACAAGAAATAATGTTGAGCTGAAAAGCACCAAGCAACACAGAAGCGTGATTGCATCGTCGTCACATTTTAACACCACAGCACGTAAAATCGAAGTCGAGTCTAAAAATCAAGAAGAATTACTACGAACTAAGAAGGGTTCGAGGTGAACTCGACAAAAGAGACGAAGATGATTATAGTCGGTGATGGTCGATGGATTTGCCGGTGACGATGCGGTGCTCACAGAGTCTCAGCTGAGCGAAGCACGGGCAAAACTTGCCGACCCGGTCACACTACGGAACGAGGGCAGCACGTAATGTAGCGCAGTTGGAATGGAACTGCGGCGACTATACACAAATGCACGCATAGCCTGGACAAGTCGTTGCACCCTCCATCGGCCGCATACGCCAGGCACCGGCGCAGCCAATACTCAGGGACGTTATCGCCGGCGCTCGGCCATTCACCCTGCACTCTTACGAGCACGCGAATGCGCTACACAAGCGAGCTTTAAAGCTGCTGGACGTGGCATCTGTGCGTGCCTTTTCGCTGGGGCAAGTGCTGCCAAGCTGGCTCGGGGAAGCAGTAACGTAGGGTTAGGAAGACGTCGTGTGCCGCGGCTTCTGGACTTCTGGGCTCGTACGGCGTGCGACGCGCATATATCGATCGGAATTCGAAGCTGTGTAGTTGTCGCGAATCCGCAACCCCACGGCCCACAACCGGTTTTTGCGGCTGCTCTGCCCTCTGCGACAATCTGCACATGCGTCCCACATGCGCTTTAATTCAACAAATAATTCGAATAAATAATTAATCAAATTTAGATTTGATTAGCTTTTAGAATTTTTCATGTACTGAGCGCACAGTGACAAATATATTACCAGCAAAAAATGAAGGGAAAAAATCGATGTCACGAATGCGATGCAAATTATTCAACTTGTGCATATATTATCATATAACACGTTTTAAGAAACATGTCGAATCGAAATACCGAAGAATACTGATAGTTTCTTACGATTAGTTATAAAAAAAAAAGAAAAATAGAGGTGAATGATAGAAAAAAAAATTACGCAACGTGTGTATATTTCGAGCGCACATTCGACGTCCAGTTTGAAGCGCCAACGCAGTTGGTATAAGTCGTGAGTCGTAGACGTGTGCAAGGCGCTTGATTGCGCGATTCTAACAATGTCGGTTTTTTTGGCTCTGCAAAATAATGAAGTTTTTCGACTTTTCGCTTGGTGGTCTGCTGCATTGTCGGTCAAAATGCTGTGCATGGCGCCGCTCATTGGGCATCAACGATTTCGAAAAAAGGTTTGTATATGATTCGGCTGCTCACAATTTTTCAAACTGTTGAGAAGTATATTACTGACACTTAAGAATGGCATTGAGCCACGATTGCTAAAAGTAATATCGTAACAATAACAAAATAAGATAGTTTCAAAGATAAATGAGATTATTTAATAATTATTTACTAAACAAAAGTGTTTCTAACAAAGAACCGATTTTGAACGGAAACAAAAGTCACTGTAGTGTTCTCGAAGCATTCAAGTAGCTTTTTGGAAAAATGATCCTAATAAAGTTCAGAAATAGCATCTGAAATTGTCTGTCTTTTTTTTAATTTTGATATCCTGTCAAGTTAATGATTCAAATAATACTACACGAGTGAGATGATGAATAAATTCAAACAATAATGAACAAGGTCATGCGCAATGTAGTGATAAACTTTAGCGGCTAGTAATAGCTAAGATCACGCAACGTGCTTGTAGTTTATTCGAGATAATAATACAATGACTTGATAAAATTTTCCTGTTTTTTTTCCCAGATTTTCTTGAGCCAAGAGGATTGCACGTTCATCGGAAAAAACGCTAAAGTTTCTGTAGACGATCTAGATGTCGAGCGACCACGACGGGCCTTTCTCAATGATTTGGAAAATATACTGCCATGGTTCATTAGTACTTCTGTTTTTTTGACGACGTCTCCGGCACCAAGTTTAGCTATGTCGCTAATAAGAACGTTTGGAATCAGTCGAGTAGCCCATACAGTTGTGTATGCTGTTGTGCCATTGCCTCAACCAGCTAGAGCTATTGCCTACTTCGTTGGTTATACCGTCATCGCGTATCAATCCTACTTGACTCTTCTTTATTATTCTTGAACTCAACCATCTGATTATTCATTTTGTTTTATTTCTGTTCATTGATTTTTAAAAGTCAGCCATTACAATTCTTTCACTTTAAATAAAATGGTTATTTATTAATTATTATCATATGATTATGCTATAGAACATGAATGTTGTTCAGGTGTACAGGTAAATTTTATCTAGTTCGAAAATAAAATATTACTTTTTATTAAATGTCAACCGACTCGATTAAGTAACAATGCTTTTAAGCTACTAATGATTATCTATTATCTATTATCTATTATCCAAGATTCAAATTAATAAGTAAGCTGATTATTCTGTGACTAAGGATTTCATCGCGCCCACGCGGGAAGTACGATGCTTGCCGACTTTATCGTTTGCCCAAGTAGGTATTCACTGCGCCAAGTGAATTCCTGCTCGTCGTCGACCAGCAGTTCTATAATACGCCAGATAGCTAAAGGGCTTATATACACCTTAAACTCAAAATTTTTTATTGCATTTTTGAGTAGATTTTTCCTTCCCCTTTTCATTGCATTTTTCGAAACTCAGAAATTTTAATTTTTCATTGGAATATAGCTGTTTCCGTGAGCCTTTTTCTTATGTTTTACGATTTAAATTTTCTTCCTCACAGAGGAAGCTATGGAGCAGGTTCGAAAATGAGATTTGGAACCAGACGTCAGAAAATTTCGATTACATATTTGGAAACTGCATGGAATCACCAACAAATTTGTGCATATATGTTGGCCTACTCGGCCTTTTGGCTATGATAGAAGTGATGACAATGTAGACTAAGAATGGAATGTACTCTCAGCACATTCTCTTTTCATTAGCGTAAATAGAATAATTATTATTATTAGAATTAGTTTATCAATATTTGTTTCATGAGGAAGCCCAGCTTTGTTAATGTATTGGCATCGTTTTTTTTTTATTTTGCGTTTTCTGGCGAGTAGTGTTTTGGGTCACCTCACGTAACTTTCAAAGGGTACCGATTGAGCTTTCTGCACCAGAGTCGCGTACACTTCATCAGAACATGAATGCTTACAGACACTACCACGAATGAGACGATTGAACTCAGAGGTCACTCTCAAACAGTGCTTTTATGATTTAAATCAGAATTTGCACATGAGTTTTTAGAATTGAATGATAAATGCCAATAAAGTGTTAGAATAAAATAGTTAATACTTATTACATCTTTTAAAATTCGATATTTAGATTGGTTCTCATACAGTTTTAAAAACTTAGAAAGTGATTAAAATCGGCTAAAGATTAGAATACCGCGAAGGCTAATGAGAGACAGTCAACATGATTCTGCGGTTTCGGATATTGTACCTTTAACCACAATTTAACTACAGAAACAATCAAGCACGGTAGATTGTCTTATAATTGCAATTTCGAACATGCATTCTTGCTTTCCATCTATGACCTGCAACGGCGCATATAGTGCGAAATTTAGGTTTTTTCACATGCATTGATTTTATAAAAATTTGATCTATTGGTTTCCAATTAAGCTCGTTCGTAATTTATATGCATAGAAACCGGTTGGAGCTATACACCGATAAATTGTGTCTTTTATTAAAAGAACTTACGTCAAAACATTTATCTGTATGACAGCAACTGAAAAATTATTGATATCAATTAAAAAGAGAACTTTTAAAACTCTTCTTTTTGGCAACATCTCCATAGTGGATAGTAACTGAAGGTGAATTTTTGCAATAATCTCAACGATTTTCGAACGTTTAAGTTTTTTAAAGCTAATTAGCAACGCTAATTAACAACGTAAATATTTCTTTTAGCAACGATGTGAAACTGAAAAGTTTCATACTTGTTAGACAAACGATATATTATTTTTTTTTTTAATTTTGTCGCTTCCTGCAGTATTTATTTTTATTAATCCCACGGAGTTTAGCATAAATGAAATTTTATCGTTTATTTAAATTTTTCATTTATCATAATTTGCTGATGCGTTCACTAATATGAATATTTTTTTATTGAATAAAATGAGTCGAAACGACACCTTGTCCTGAATTACATTCACACCAACGCAAAACGATTGCATTAACACGGAGCAAAAACAACGTTTGATTACACAATTACCGTAGATCGACCCATTAATCGTTCGAGAGTAGTTTCTAAATATAAAAATGCTTTTTGCTTGCTGATCTCCATTTAATGCCTTATCTATCTAGATGAAAATGTAAGTATAGAAGTCAATTATTATTTATGCGCATTAAAACAATAAATTAAAAATGAGCCCTACATAAACGTCCTGTAGTGGTATTCGTTTTGAAAGACTTTCATAAAAAAAGATAAATAAATATTTCATAAAAACTGCAGCAAGATATCGATAGTCATTCGCTTTAAGCCTGTGATGGATAGTTCTCAAGTAGCAGATTTTGAACGTCACGACAACCACCAAAACATTAGATCTGATTATATTTTTACAATCACTAGAATATCCTTGAGACTAATTGAGACGTAGAGTATGCTTTCAAGTTAACGGGGATCACAATTTCTCACATGTCAAGGTCAAAACAAAACCAAATAATTTGCTGTTTTTACGGCGAAACTCAATAACGTAGCAATATAAACTTTTATCTGGCGCAATTGAGTATAAAAGTTTCCACCATTATCAATCCATCATTGGCCCTTCGAGTTCGACTTCAGTTGGCGTATTATTTTTCAAAATAAACTTTAGGAAAGCCGAACTACCTTGCCTGAGCTTCCGTACAAAGTTGCCTTGTAAATTTATCTGGTACCAGCTAATATTTGCACAAAACACGCCCATAAAGACCTTTATTTTTTTTGTACGTAGAAGAGTCGTCACAGATGACTGTTTTTATGAAATTAAATTTTTTTTAATGAATTTTATAAAATTTTATACACAGAATGTCTATTGAACCGATAATAGTACATTATGAAACAGTGGCATAAGCAGCAGATTATGGCACGGCAGAGTAAAGCGCCCGAGCGCAGCGAGGGTGCTTCTGCCGTGCTCATAATGTGCTACTTATGACACGTGTACAATATACTTTTTTATAGCACTGTGCTAAGTTCACATTTATGCCCCCTTTTCCGAGTTATAAGTCGCACATTCTGGTACCGCGGAGTGAGGTTAGCGCACGAGCGCAGCGAGTGCGATAGGCGCGACGCGGTGCCAGAATGTGCGACTTATACCACCGAAAAGCGTGCCTTAAATGTGAACTTAAGACACGCAGTGCTATAAAATAATTATATTATATTATTGTTTTCACGTAACTAATGATACATACATGAGTTGTGTTGCACACCTAATAGATAATCTTCATGCACTCTATGAAAATTGTCATAACACATACGATATTGTAATAAAAAATTACAAAAGTTTAGCTGTCCGAAATCGTTATTTGATTTACATATTATTACACATTATATTACAGTTTATAGTTCAATATAATAGTTTTAACTCTAATGTCTACTCTTTTTTATTAGAACAATTGATGACAATCCAACAATATTTTTATTTTACCTTAATAATTATGGAATTAGCAAACCTGATAATTTAAATACAACTTTTTTGATTTCAAAATAGTATTAAAAAATTACGCGAATTGTTTAACGTTATTGCTTAAGGTGGTCGAGTGTGATAATAATAATAGCATAGATAGATAGATAGAATAATATAGATCTAACGCATTAAGTTTGGTATTTAGGGTACGAGGAAGCGCTACGTGGCGAAATCACAACAAAATTCATCTCATCATTAAATATCTCTTTAATTAGTTCGTTGAGGGGCATATTAAATTGTATCAATAGAAACGTAAGGATTCAAGCTATCCGCTAATATGTTTATTATTCATATCTGTACGTAGATAACCAAGGTACAGTTGATCAAGTACGATTTCTGGACGCACGCCCATAAGATCCCATGTTAAAAACGCAACTTTTACATTAATCGTTCTCGAAAGTTAGTTCGACGACCGAGGCTGAAATTTTGGGGAAATATCAAGGAAGTCACAAAAAACAATTCCTTAAATATTCAAAACGATCTATTAATTTTCGATTCATCGCCCAACTACCTTAATATAGGTTTTACAATACTATGAGGTTTAGGCATTAATTAGACCTATGAAAATATCAAATAAAATTAGACTTAGAAAAATTAAAAAATTAAGTTCATTGGAAATTACAGGCATGAACTGTTCTAATTTAAAATCTAAGTTTTTCTCCTCTTTTAACATAAGTAGTTCTTTTCTGCGTTGGTATAATCTTTTTTTTATCTTAGCGTAATTTCATTTTGCTTCCAGACAATTGTGAGCTGAAGTTAACTTCTTCGTAACTGAAAATCAGTATGGACAAGAAAGGCATGAAAATTGAATTCATAGAAAAGAATTGGGTTAAATCAAGATAATTATTATCCTTGAGAAGAGGAAATATTTTGCCTATTTTACGTATCGAAAGAATTAATTTGCATGTGTACACGAGCGTAAAAAAAACAAAAATAAACATTACAATTAATATTAATAGAAACAAATATTGGTTTTAAAATAAAAAAGTCAGGAATCAATGTAAAAAGTTTTCAGCTTTGGGTTCTAAGTCCCGGTCAGAAGAGCCTGATAGATGCCATCTACAGAGATTATACTTAACTTCTTAATAGAAACTACAACAAAATTGATGTTTTGGCTTGAAGATAACTGACGTATCTCAGTTTATACTAGCAAACGACAAATTCAATAATTGCTGCAAATTTTCGCTTGAAAAATTCTAATACATCATAAATTTTCAATAAAAAGAAGAAGAGTAATGTTGTTCATTCTTTCTAATTGATATACACGAATCCTTGAAATCAACTTAACTGTAAAAAAATATTAATTAGTTATTATCAAGTTAGTACAAATTATCAAATTATCTTACTACTATATCAAAATAACACAAACTTAAATAATTTTTACTTCGTGCATCGATAATTTTTTGTATATACTAATTATTAAATTATAATTTTATAAGGTAATTACGAAACTTCTAAAGTGAGAGAACAGTGCCAGTTATTGCTACTGACGAAGTATTATAATAAGCCCTTCTAATGCTAATGTTGACTATTGGATTTGTTCGAAGGTAACGATGATATGTATTATGTATTATAACATTGTCACTTGACGCTTAAATGTATTATTAGAATGTGATAAAATCAAGCATAATAAGTAAAGTAAGTACACATTGAAGCTTTTTTTCGTCACATTGGGGAGTATGCTATTTTTCATGAGTTCTCCAGCAGAACTTTACTTTTTCGTTTTGGCGGGAGAGCATGCAAGATTAACTTCGGAAGACATGAAAATTTAATTTCCATCAGCACGTGTAGAAAGTGTTACTTTCTCGCACGACTGGCGATCTTAAAATTTTCGCACGTTATAATGAAAAATAATGTACGCAACTAGGGCAGTTGCCTATGTTGCACGAGTGTCGTGTTTGCAACCCGATCTCACTAAGATCACTACGCTCAGGTTGCAAACTCTACACTCGTGCAAAATAGACAACTTCCCGCCCCCGTTGCATGATCTACTATTTCATACCATTTTTTCTTCTTCAATTAATTGATTTAAGTTTTGCGCTCCTTAACCTGTCGTTTTGAAGTGGTTTTGCCTTTAGTCAATCACTATAATCACAATTTTATTTTACTTCATTTTTTGAATGAAACATGTTAAAACGCGTTTGGATACTTTGGGTTAGCAGCCAGTAAAAAAAGTTTCATTTTTCTTGTATTCTTTACTATTATACTTACAGCAAAACGCACATCATCGTATCGTTAGTTACAAGAAAATTGAAAAATAGTCTATTTAAAGGGACAAAGTAGGTAAAAAAAATGTCTCACATCACCTGCAAATAATCAACCGAAGCTAAGCCGATATTGATAAACATATGATATGAGGCATTATCTTTTACCTCGCATGATGTATGTTATGTACATCGATGACATCGGCTACAATGGTATTTTTGGGCACTCGTGCCGGCATAGCCGTTGCTCGTGTCTCTTCTCGTGCCGGCTTGGCAAATTCTCGTGCTCACAAAACAACCCATTCATGCCAGCGTAGCCGGCACTCATATCTTGTTTGTTTGCACTCGTATTGACTGACGCCAGCATACACTGTGCGCAAAAACGCATTTTGGGCACTTTTTGCATAAATAACTATTAATATCAATTTTACCTTATAATTCACTTGTGAAACAAAATTGAGTGAAAATTGTTTGATCGTATCTATCATAATGGGAACTAAAATTGTAACTTACATCTATCTTGAATCGTGTAACAAGTAATACACAACAGCGATGAATTGAGAGAAGAAAAGCGAGCTAAAACTTTATTACGCAGAAACGTTGCTAGGGGACAAGCCGAGCAACGTTATTAACGCAATTAATGCAGAACATGTGAATAGATTTTTGTTGCGCAATCATTTGCACGCTATACGCTAACACACGTGATAACAATCATCGTAGCCATGTGCGAAATTTTTTTGATTCATGGCTCAAATAATAAGCCCCATTAAAAAATAAATTAATGTTATAGATCGCGCAATTCGGAGATTAATAAAATCATTATTACAACGCTCCGTACACTAGTGCCGCAAAAAAAGTACGATAGATTTTGATAGACTCTTATACGATCACCAGTGAGATAAAAATTGTACAGCTTGAAATAGTCATTGCAGCAATTGGAATCAAGGTAAGCGGTAACGAAGCGGTTACGGGACACATACTAGTATGTAGCGACCGTATTTATTTTCAGAATTGACCATAAAGATGTAGCACGAGACAGCAACCCGTCAACTGACTCGCGAACTTGACTTTTTTCTCGACTGAACGATCTAGAAGCGACAACAACCGCAGAGAGATCGTTGCATGTCTGAGCACGCGCGAGAGAGAGACGCGAACAATTATTGGATTAGAGCATGTGCCGTGGGGCCGTGTTGAAAAGTGATATATTATTCATGCAAGCTAAAAGAGGGAGAGAGAGAGAGAGAGAATGCACGAAGAAGTCTTTGGCGACTCGAGCGCGAGAAGCGACTGTGTCAGTTGGTATATAGTAACGACGTTCAACAGTATACTGAACTCCCAACGAGCAAACATCGTTATGAGACATTTATCGAATGCGTTGAACGCCTACTCAATATATCGTTCTTTAAAATAAGCGACGTCGAGAGCCTTATTGTCGCCGGTAGAACATGAAAAACTCAATTGTTCCCTATTCATTTTTATTATAGTGGCTAAAAGAAATAATTTGCAGCTCCATCTACGAAAAGCAATAATAAAAAAAGATGTTGCTCGATCAACTCATCGACGCGAGTTCTGAACCGTCAAAAGATTCATCGAGACATTTCTTCGAATTCGCAGCTCGAATTATTACATTTTTCCATCTCGTGGCACATCGTAACTTATGGTAAATATCGAGTTCATTTTACATAAACACGTGTGGCATGATGCATTTTTCATGCGCTTTGCCGTCAATTGAGTTTGACACGAATTCAAAATATTGAGAATATTGTGTTTTTTAATATCGGTATGACTGCAACTTGATTAATTCTGACGCCTATTTTTCATGCATCAACACAACTTACATTCTTATCAACTGTTTCGTTGCTTCGATTGTTTCCATATTTTCGATATAAATTAGTAATAACTTGATAATAGTTCCAGACCCTATTTTTCATATAAACTTTTATTACACTGTTATTCATGATTTTCATTGTACAATAATACCATTTCATTGCTTTCATATTACTTTTTTGTAGTAGAAACACAAACCTCGTGTGAACACGATTGATTAAAAATAATCATAAACCGGAATCTGATTTTTTGGTTAAAAAACAACATATCCAAACTTTTATTCAAAATACGTAATATGATATAGAGAGGTAAAAAATAATGACAGACATTATTAGCTGACATCAGCTACAAATATGAATAAAAGAATTAGTCTATAGCTATACTATTCTTCAAATCTTTACCGTGGAGTGGTAATTATTACATAGTTCATAGAAAAATACTCGATCGCTAATTAACTCTCTCGTACACCAGCTCTTGTCACAGTAGAACAATCGGTTGGAGCTTTTTGAATGAGACTCGCAAGTCACAGCTGGTGGGCTCCTCTTTTTGCAGCCACCTAAAGAGACAAAAGCTAGTGTGATTTTTCATCTTCGAAACTAATTAAGCATAAGGCGTGCAGGAGATACCTTTCTTGCATTGCGATGAAAAACGCATCAGATTTTTCTCGAATCCAGAATCGATTGATTAATATGCAAAAAATAGAATAAAATTATATCTTTCTCTTGAAAAGAAAGAATGCTAAATTTTTGAAGCTAATTATTTTGTTGTAACAATAATCAAAGTTATAAAATGTTCGTACTTAGATGTTGTGCGAATACAATGAAACAGATTTGGGTTTCCTTGAGTAAAAAATGAAATTATGAATGTAATTAAAAGTTTATATGTTTTCAATGTACGCGAAATAAGTATTAAATGATTGAACTCAATATATTTAATAAATAATTCATAAGAATCTCGTACGATGTAGTAGTTTACTTAAATATGTATTAATTAAATACTCACATAACTGAAAGTTCCAATGAAAAATCATGAACTTGTGAGTGACTAAGTATGGTCTATTTTTAACAGATCTATAAATTAAGTGGTAACAAAAGAAGGACATAATACTCGAGCAAATAAACGGGAACTTTCTTAAAAATTATCAAGATCAACGACTGAAAGAATAGCTTGATTGGACAAATTCATTAATTGTTACAAGAAAAAAATCAGAAAAATGTGTATGAATAGTAGCATGCATTTGATTATCGTAAAAATGTAGACGGAGAAGAACAAGTCCGGTAGATCGTGTCATTTACACCGAATGCATGTGTGTAAGCGGTGTAGGCACGCTGTAAGGCAATATTGACTTAAAATAAAGTGAGATGTGGACACTTGATATTTTCTCGATTTCAAATCGATTTATTAACTTTTTTACCTCAATTGGTATTTTGATTCTCGTGAGCTAGCTGATAACGTTTCATTAATTTTTTTCAGGGAACCGAAAAAATCTTCAAATCTCATGAAAGTACAAAATGTTTCTTTTTGGAAATACTACGTCAAACGTCAATGTAGCATCAAAAATTAACGATAAGCAAAACGCACAAGTAAGTCACAAGGTCACAAAAAGCCATTCAAGATCGCGAGAATTAGCCAAGATTTTATATATCATTAACTTCATTTCAGGAAGACTCAACCACGCGCATTAATCGACTTTCTACGGAGGAGGATGATTCGTTAAAGACGAATAACTATGCACTGGCCAGGAGTTGCAGTACCAATAGCGGCAGCAGCAGTGGAATTAGCAGCTGCCAAAACGAGACATTATGTGCTTTCGTACAGAATAGTCAAGCCGTTGATGGCGAGAGTTTTTGTTCGAGCTCGACTGACGAAATAATCGAGCTGAGATCGCTCAATGAGACGGTTTTGCATCATCACGAATCGCCGGAAGACGATGAAAACATCGATAACAATGACGACGTATTCGAAACAAGGCGAGCTTTTTGTTACACACCCGAACGCCTGGTGCGCTCGCAACAGTACAGAATCGTGTCCAGCACGCCACCCTGTCAGCCGAGCTTTGACAGTCTCTGGCCGCAGGCTCGCCGAGAATTCGATCGCAATTACCAAAACTGCATTATCGACGCTGTCCAGCGGGATTATGGACTTGTCAAAGCTGCCGACTTATCTGCACACGAATCACCGACTAATTACACAGGTAAAACTCATCTTTACAATTCAACTTTGATCGTTTTTGCAGCGAATGCTAAGATATTTTGGTGCTGTACACGTATAAATACAGCCTAATAAACGACGTGCTCTGATGAACCCGACACTAGAAACTTGTGTCACACAAGCGTTCTTACTAAGCAATGCAATGGTCGAAGTGAACTTCGATTACCTCAGGTCTACCCGATCAAAAATCATGCTGAACGCAACCACTTAATACAGAGGGAATTAGCAAAGCAGTCTTATCTGGGTTGTTCGTCTTATGATACGTTAGCTACAAAACTATATTTTATAAAAAAGAAAGCAAATCACAATATGATCTTTTTTGTTATTTTTTGATTTCTACTGAATATCTGTCTACCATTTGAACAGGATGTGGAAGGTCCAGCTTTAAAATTGAAGGTCGTAAAAACTACCAACATCACCAGAATCCGAGAGAGCAGAACAATGATTTTTTCCAGAGAGATAAAAGTAGCACGACAGAAAAAAATCAAGTTACCGGTATACCGTTTGCTACTTTCAGAGCCGAGCACGATCGTGAAGATCTCGCTTACGTATCGTTCGAGTACGATTTCACGCCTAATAACCAGGTACATTACTCAATCCCTCTACATTAACTTATCAACTCGACTATAACTCCTTAAATTAACTTAACGTCATCAATTCCATAAGTAAATAACTCATTACGATTTATGTGTTGAATTGTACCCTGTCTTAGAAAAAACTTTAGGTAATACAGTATTCAATTTTCTAATCAAAACATCCTAAATTACTAATTACAGAATCCAATGAAATATTAATTTATCACTATATGCGCATTATCAGTAACCATTCATTAGAGTTTTTCCAAAGTCTGCTTTTCACCACTTTCGAAGAAAATATGCTAATTTTTTAATATTAAAATTAGTAAAATTTTATAATTTATAACGAAGATGATATTTTTTTTTATAAATATTACTCGAGTACAATATTACTTACAGTTCAGTAATTTAAAGATCAACGAAGTAACGTCAATTCTGTCTGAATTGGAAACGAATCCGAATCTTGCGAAACAGCTGTTACTGGAGGATGAAGATCGGTTCCTTACTTGTTCAGGTTCTCGACACGATTGTTTAACTAGATTGCTTCTAACCATTGAGCCTGACCAACAACAGCAGCAAACGGGAATTATTCAAACTTTGACACCTCGCTTAATTGAAAAAATCAAGGTATTTCCTCAACCTGGGTCAGCTGAAACGCTGACTGTTGAGCGACCGAATCCTTGTGTCCTTGGATTAAAAAAATTATACGAAAAAATAGAGCGATTGAAGAGTTCTGGATGTCAACTAAAGAAGGAGATAGATAAACTTAAGGCAGATTTTTCGGTGAGAATACATTTTTTTATCTATTTCTTCATCTCATTATTTATCTCGCTGAATAATAAGTTTAATTTTCATACCAGTGGCCCGAAAGTGACTACTCTACTACTATGCAGAGTCAAAAAAGCGATTTTCGAACCACTGAGTATGAAAAGTCGTATACTACTTAAACTAGAATAAAGAAAATCTCAGAGCACGTGTAATTAGCGTCCGAAGCAATATAGTTTTATACTATTTCACAAAATAAAAAAGATATTTGTACAAGAATTATTTATTCAATAATTACATACTTTTTTTATAATTTTTAATTATAAATATATAAATAACTTGATGCAATTGTTGCACATTTAGTTAAAGCAATTAAGTTCTCATTCACCATACATTTACTTGAATCACACTTGACTCAAAAATGAAAAATTTTCTGTTACCATTTTTAATGGAAATTAAAATTAAAGTTAGTCACTGGACATACTAATTCAGTATAATTAACATTAGATGAATTTTTGCTACAGAACGACGAAGAGATCCTCGACACTCTTTTAGGTGGAGTTATCAAATTTCGAAATGAGATGTACGAATTTAAGTTCACAAACGATCTCGTGAAACTTTTAAAAGGTGATCTTGAAAAAGTATCAAACAGAAATTGGCCTTTTAAAACAGGCCACACCAGTTACGGAACCAAAGAGTTAAATTTTATAATATAGTTCATCAAAGTCAGCACGTGTACATTTTCATCAACTATTGATCATCAATAAATGATTTATATGTACAAGATTATTTGTTTTTTTCTGCTGTATCTGTAACAATCGAGGCAGCGCAATTGTTTTTATTGTTAACGTAACAAACATGATTTACTTATATCAAATAAAAGTAACCGTTTTTAGAAAAAGTGTTTTACGTCTGAATATATATCTATTTATTATAACAAGTCAATGAATATTCAAATTTCATGATTACTTTTTAATTTAAGCTAACACTCTATGATACAATAAATACGCGTGTACCTCTTAATTCTTTCTTAGCGTTGCAACATTCACATCGTTTCTATGTTTAGTACCTATAGAAAAACATACTTATTGTATATACAAATCATAAGAATAATTCTATAACTCTTATTATTAAAGATATATGTCAAAGTTTAAGAAAGAGTTTTTTATCTTCAACAAAGTAAGATGAAGCTTTCGTTAGCACGAGACGTGGGTTAACAGCTTCTTTTGCGGGCGTGCTATCAGCAATACCTGTAGGCTCACGTAACATCAGTGCGCTGCAAATGTCGTCCTGGAGGAGGTTGCTGTTGCTGAGGATAGCCCATGTTGGCCCTCAGGAACTCTGAATGGCGAAAGACATCGTGAGGATTCGACAGAGTCGGTAACGAGGGCAATGTAGGAAAGAGAGAGCTGAGCATGGTCGCAGAATCAGAGGCGGAGTATATGCTATTATTTGGCATCGTTGGTGGAATCGAGGATACGGGTGGACAGTTTGTAGCTGTTAAAGAATTCGGATTATGATGGGAGTGATGGTGTGAGTGATCAGGAGCTGGCGGTGGTGGAGCAAGCCCTCCTGTACCAGATAGCATGAAAGACGTACCTGCAACAATAAATTTGCGGTTTTCGAATTTCTAGTACATATATGTTTATTTAAATGAGCGGTGCACTTCGAGCAGCCAAGCAGTCAATAAAATTTCCAAATATCAAAATATTTTCAAATAAGATAGGAGGCTTTAACAGCTGATTAACTTTTAGAGGACCGAGATACGCTATAAGGCGTATGATTCTTAGCATCCAAATATTTGATATAAATTTAGTCTAATGTTATGGGCCTTTGATACCTTTATTCTTTAAAAAATGTGTTTTATTAAATTCACCAAATAGCGGTCTTCTTAATGTCAAAATCAAAATTGTTATAATTTACCTGGAACATTAGATGGATTGGGGTGGATGCTTGAACTTAAACTTAAAGAAGATACACCGGGATAGTCTGCATAATCAGACTTTGGGTTATCTCTCAGAGTTAAAGTTGCTCTAGAATATGATGATGATTTGGGAATATAGTCCTTATCTTTATCCTTATTTTTGTCCTTTTTACTACGCGATTTTCCAGAACCAACGCCAAAATGCAACAGTTCCAAATGTCTTCGCAAATTTCTTGACTGTCGTATGACAGCTCCACACAACGGACAAGTAGCTGGTTGATCAGACAAAGTTCTTGATTTCGAGTTCCAGTCTCCTAAAATCAAAGTTTAAATAATAACAAAAAATCCTGAGAATCGCGTAAGACGCGTTAATGATTCAAAATAACCGGGAAACTTGCAATTCGTATTTAATGAATAGAACACTGAATTTATTTTAAGATTTCAAAATTATATTGTACGCTGATAGTTTTATTTACAGCTTATAATAAATTTTATAATAGAAAATTTTTTTAGCACTTAAATTAAAGAAGCCGTCAAATATCTAGATTTAGTGATAATTTTTTATGAATAATGTAATCATAATTCATGACTTATTAAGATTTAAGCGGCCTCGCTCAACAAAGTAATATGGTGTGTTCATTTACATTCATTTTTTTCTACAAGCTCATTGAAATTTTAATGATTACATCAACTCTGACATAAACTTTCAATTATACAAAATTTATGTTAATTCATAGGTGATTAAACTTAAATCTGCATTTAAACTTTTAAGTAATACAAATAATTAAATGAATATCATTATGTGATATAACTTTACGTATTATAGTACATTTTATTACACATCAGCCCCACAATTAAGACCAAAAAATTCTAATAAATTAAGTTTACAAACATATACAAACATACTCCTTACATAGAATTTCGAACTCAAAAAACTAGTTTTTCCATTTGCTAGAGACTCAATATGTTTTACTCAGCTTGAAATAAAACATGCATTCATTATTTGTCTATTTTTTCTCATCATTTTGAAAAAATTTTAGAAGTCAGACAAATTTATTTATTTCAAGTTACAAGGAATTCAACATAACCAAGGGATTTTAATCGTTATTAACATCATTTGTCCACGATAAATAAACAAAACTTTGACTGATTAACAATAGTTTTCTTCAAATTCCATCGGGCTGTATCACTTACAATTTGTTTTAGTAAAATCTAATCACATATTTTATAATTTCTAAATTAATTTATTGGAAGATTGATAGATGAAACAAAATGCCTCATCACATTTGCTTCATTTTCTACATAACTGTTTTCACCAGTTTTCTAATTCTAAAGTGTGAGTATTTATAATCGGTTGTTGTAGGTACTTATTAAACTTTTAATTCATTTCGAATTCACTTAAAAATGTTTGCAGGACGTAGCTAAACAGTCTTAATAATTGTCACTGCCACATCATTTAAGGTATGAAAATTATAGTATCAAATATAAATGTGTGTACCGTGTGACGTAAGTACTTAACTACTATAGAAAACATTTCATCAGTCTATTTTAAACCATCATTTAAAAATGTATTTTTTATCCCAGTTCAATAGTCGTGATTCATTCATACTTATTACTGAATGATCTTCGACTTAATTTTGAGCCTGGTTTTCTCCTTTTTTCATCTAGCTACTGTTGGTGAAGATATACTGCTATGTGGTGAGACAACATTAGAACCCTGCAAAGAAGGAAAAATCATGAAAGGAAACTGTCTGAATTGTTTCTTATTACAAGTTTTATTTTGAATCAAAAATGCTCACCTCGGACTTAACTTCCATAGACATATTGTTTGGCATCATTTGACCGGAGTTTGCAGAAAACCGATACTTGCATGAAGATAACAGATGTCGACGCAAATTTCTGGCTTGGCGCAAAGTTGATCCACACAAGGGGCAAACTCCTGGACAATCTGATGCTCCACGAATTTTAGGTGTTGATTGAGTTGTAGATGAAGACGTCGAGTTACTTGGAGCTGCAGTTGGCTGTACGGATGAACTACTACTTGGAGCTGGAGAGTATGGAACATTCTGAATGCCTCCAGTAAATTGTGGAATATGTAGTGGAGAGTACGGCTGCATAGGCATAAGGTTATGCAAATGTGGTTCCACTTCAGCATCTCCTATCAAGGCTGATGGGTTGTGTTCAATCACAGGGTGCACCAGTTGATGTGGCAATGGCGTTGGCATGTGGTGGTTTGCATGTTCAGATCGGTGTTTCACTGTTAACAGACACAAACACAATATTACCATACTGAGGGCTGAACTGATCTTCTGATCAAAGTTTAGACCACGCCAATTTAGTTAATGTACAGTCAACCCAATTGTTAGGCAGTTCAACCCATCCGATGGTTGTGTTTGTGTCCGTGCTTACTTCTTAAAGACATTAAAAATACATAGATCGAAACGAATTCCTACTTAAGGGTATGATACATTTTTCAAAATGTTGTACCAATCTTGAATCGATAGCGGACACAAAACACAAGTTTCAATGGATAATTTGAATCATTAACAGAATGAATCATTAAACATACCTTCATCGTCAGTTCCATCTTTGTGTCCGTAATCTAATGACCTATTATCTTCTGAATCTAAGGATCTAGAATCAAGGCTTGAATGATATCCAGCTCTGGGCCACTTTCCACCACCACCTTCTTGTTTCCTCTTTTTCTTTCTTCGATGCTGAGCTCGATAGGCATCAAGTGTTTCCCTGGCTGTAGCAATGTCATTACAGCCAGGTATAGAAGAGAGAGGAATTTCTTCTCCTTTCTGAAATTGAAAAAGTAGTTTTAGGTATTATATCAATTTTGTTTTTTAAAATTTTTAATTGTATCTAAACCTCTGTCATGATGGTTGGTGGTGCAAGACCGTGAATGCTGAGGCAATGCGCTGCCTGCAACAGCGAAGGCAACTGTGAGGGCTCCACGCTTATTTGTCCTCTGTACACAAATTCTAAAATAGCCTCTAGATCATCTGCACTAATACCAGCAAGCATAACCACTGGATGCTGGCATGGTGTCGTCTATAAAATTTAGAACGATAATGTGGTTAGAACATAAAATTTTTTACATGGCTATAAGTATAGAAGTATTCGAGAGCAGATTGCATTATTGTACCTTCAGAATTTCAAGGAGGAAAGGACTCGCCGCAGATAGTACTATTTTATGCGCAGGAAAATGTTGTCCACCAGCTGTTAGTGTCACGTCTACTAAATCTCCGTGTCCGCGAAGATGTTGCACAGCAGAAGTTAGAGATGAGCCATAATCATTCCAGTGCAAGCTGTACAGTTGTTGATTGGTGCTACCCATCTGGATAAAAACACAAATAGCATATTTAATTGTGGCAAAATAAAAGTTGCGTGTTGGCAAATAATACGAATACAAATAATTACACATTGGTATATAAGTTTAGATTATAATTTAAACAATAATTCAACACGAAGTTGAAAGAAATTGTTAAAGTACAACATTGGCTCCGGGCGAGAGATCCGGAGTGCGTACATATTATATCGCGACGCTCAAAGGGCATTAACCTGGACCCTCCTCTCTTTCTCTCTCTCCTCTCTCACTATGCCATCTCTCCGTGGCGCACAAATAAAACACCCGGCGTCCCGCAAAGTAGAGGTTCAGCGTATAGAACAGTATAGTGTACATACATACTTACATATATGGGTCAAAATAATACTTTTTTACAAAACCGTGCGCACGTATGTCACCGATCTTGACGCGCTTTTGGTATGTTATAGTACATGGTAAAAAGGTCCCAAAAAAAAATTTTTAGACCCCCTCCCCCCTCCTACCCCCCACTTCCGGTATAAACGTCCATTTTCGATCTATATTTTTTCTGAGGACATGAAGCAAGTAAAAAATCTGAAAAAATTCATAAAAATACTTTTCCACAATCCAAACAACCTTGAATTTTTTCAGATTTTTTGAGTGCTTCAGGCCTTCAGAAAAAATTATTGAAAATTTCAAAAATCGAGATACGGCGGTATGAGCCGATGTAGTACTCGGAAATTTTTTCAGTTATTTTTCGCATTAAAAAACATAACCTCAATTTTTTTCAGATTTTTTCAGATTACCTAACGCACCTTTTGAAGCCAAAAACCGATTTTTTTGACGAAAATAATTTTTTTAGGACAGTACGGAGCCTCGAAAAATCTGAAAAAAATTTTTTCTTGTTTTTTTCATCAAAATACGTAATCTCAAATTTTTTCAGATTTTTTAATTGAAGGCGATAGCTTCTAGGGCCGAAAAATGCTATTTTTAACAAAAAATGGTTCCTAGAACCCGATGGTTCCGGTGAAAAAATTTGAAAATATTTTTTTTGAATTCCTTGTCAAATTTTAATAAATTTTGACCGTTTCAAAAGTTCGATTGAAGCTTCCTAGCTCATTTTAGAGCATCAAACGAGTTTTATCATTCCTTAATGTCTTCAGAAACGTCTTCAGATATTTTGCACTAATCTTTGTCCTGCTCTAAAATGAGCTAGGAAGCTTCAATCGAACTTTTGAAACGGTCAAAATTTATTAAAATTTGACAAGGAATTCAAAAAAAATATTTTCAAATTTTTTCACCGGAACCATCGGGTTCTAGGAACCATTTTTTGTTAAAAATAGCATTTTTCGGCCCTAGAAGCTATCGCCTTCAATTAAAAAATCTGAAAAAATTTGAGATTACGTATTTTGATGAAAAAAACAAGAAAAAATTTTTTTCAGATTTTTCGAGGCTCCGTACTGTCCTAAAAAAATTATTTTCGTCAAAAAAATCGGTTTTTGGCTTCAAAAGGTGCGTTAGGTAATCTGAAAAAATCTGAAAAAAATTGAGGTTATGTTTTTTAATGCGAAAAATAACTGAAAAAATTTCCGAGTACTACATCGGCTCATACCGCCGTATCTCGATTTTTGAAATTTTCAATGATTTTATCTGAAGGCCTGAAGCACTCAAAAAATCTGAAAAAATTCAAGGTTGTTTGGATTGTGGAAAAGTATTTTTATGAATTTTTTCAGATTTTTTACTTGCTTCATGTCCTCAGAAAAAATATAGATCGAAAATGGACGTTTATACCGGAAGTGGGGGGTAGGAGGGGGGAGGGGGTCTAAAAATTTTTTTTTGGGACCTTTTTACCATGTACTATAACATACCAAAAGCGCGTCAAGATCGGTGACATACGTGCGCACGGTTTTGTAAAAAAGTATTATTTTGACCCATATACATACATACGAGTCACAGGTGCGGAGAAAGGAGGAAAGGGGAGGGCAGAAAGTACGTCGAGAAAAGAGGAGAACTGCGATCCATATAGGCAGGCGTTGCACGGGACAGTGCGAAAAGTGCAAATGAAGGTAGTCTCGGCCCTGGGTACTTTAAACGGGGATAACATTATATACAAAAAGACTACGGACATACCCGATGGCAGGTAGCAGCAGTTTCACGGGGTCCTTATACATGTTTCTCGGATGTTTTTTTGCACAGGAGCTGGGTTGGGCTTGTGCCCGCAATTTTCGTGCAGATGCGTGATGCAATGTCAGTTTCGTACCGGACTAAATTTGCTCGATTGAGGTTGCCTCGAAAGCGGAGAAGTTCCCGTTATATATATAAATATATACATGATATATATTTCTTTTACTCGTTCAGTCGTTGTCGCTGGCAGTTCGCACTCGCAAAGGCGCCTGGTCGCGTTGCGTTGTTATAGTTGCAGTAAGATACGCATACGCGTTATACACGTTGTATACGTGTAGGACTGCTTTCTTTACTCATACATCGAAACGAAGCTGCTCCATTTGGCGTGTGCCTCGCGTGCCTCATATACGTGCAGCGAGAACGAGCAAGCGAGAAAGAGACAGATGTGAACAGTCGAATCCCCTCGACGCCCTCGCAACCCGCAATTTTCTCAGCTCTTGTTCAGCGAGTTTGTATGCTATACATAGCTGTGCGCATGCGCGCGCTGCAGTCTGTGTCTGAGTGTGTACTCATGTGTATTGTGTGTGAGCTGAGCCGGAGTGTGTGTGTGATGTGCACAATGTACATACACACGCATACACCGACATCGGCCACTGACTTCACAAGCGCACGCACACACTTACACACTCGAGTACGCAAAGCACAGGCAATCGACTCGTGCCAGCATTGCCAGCCTTTATAGTGCGGTACAGACTCACAGACTGCGAAATACGAATGTCGGGTTTGCTGCGCGCTCCGATTGGTCGCTCTGAGAGACGAGAGTATACATGTGTATATGGTGGCAGCGCATCGGGCTCGGAGGCGCAAATTCTAGAGACGCCCCTGGCTCTGCGCGCCTTGAAAATCGTTTCGAGCGGAGTACGGCACGCACACAGAGCGTGCAGGGGCCGCGCAACACAAGTTGGAATACTGGAAAGTCTGGGGAGCAGCCACCGTCGGCGCAGCAGCAACATACCGGCGCATCGACGTCTACGCAGACGCGAGAAATCTTTTTCGGAATATAGCTGTACTACAGCTCGAACAAGCTATTCTTACATGAAAATACCAATCTAATATGTACGCGGATGTTGAGTATATGCAGGCGCGAGATATTACGTTGAAGCACGAGGTAAATCTGCGAGTGCTAATAGACCGCGAATGAAGAGCGTCGGTCAAAAGCTGTGACGAATGTTGATCATTGTTTTCCAAGAGTATATATACATACATATGGCACAGAAACAGAGGCCGTGACGAGTACACGGTTCACTACATAGGATCTTGCGTGCATGTATTCATCATCTGCCTCGAGATCTAAAAGCATTCGCTCGTCATATTTACGAGACATTTAAATAAATTCGGGTCTCGAGCATTATAATAGGAGCTTCATTGCAATTAAGCATGAAAAGATTAAGAACGTATACTAACTTCACGTGCGGCCTAGATGCCAAGTACGACTCACGTATTATATAGCTTGTGTTTATTATGAGCCGAAGCCATGTAGCGATGTAGGTGTGTGTATTCGCATATAGGAGCAAGCGCGCGTGCGTGAATACAGATACATACATGTGTGTATGTATATATGTATGTATGCGTATCTCGTGTAACTTGACGAGTGTGTAGTGTACAAAAGCGAGTATACGTTTTGTAAGATACGCGTTTGTGTAGAGAAAATGTATGGTTGTGTGCGCGCGTCTGTATACAGTGTGTACTCACCTCGGGTTGGGAGTGCGCGAGCATAGTGTGATTGCGCTCGGGGTACGGCTTGGCGGCGGCTTGTGCGAACCCGCCGCTGCTGAGGTGCAATCGTTCCGCAGCCAGCTCGAAAGCGTTATGACAACAATCGTAATAATACGGAAAAGCGTGCTGCACGCGTGCAAAGGTCGCAAGGACGACGATGCTCTGCACTTGGCTATAGAGACGCGCAGTGTCGTGTCAGTTGGCACGAACGTCCGTAATATTGTAACGCCGACTCGTATGCCAAACGCAGTACAGCCACTGCACTATCTACAAGGTTGGGCCTTTTCGCGAAAAGCGCTCCTGACACTGCAGCAGTTCCGATCGAGCCGCGCTCGAGGTGAAAGTTGCACAACACTCGCTCCTCTCGAGGAACAAGCCGATGATAAGTAGGCTAAACAACGCGTCGTTGGGTACTTGGGTTACTCGCTGTTCTCGATCGAGGCCACGATCAAAGTACTGGCCTTTAACCGATTGCTCGCTATTTTTTGCCACCTCCAATCACACGTGCCGATTATTGACGTTCAACGCGCAATACACGGAATGTTCATAAACAAAAAACAACGACGAACAATAACGTTTTTAACTACAAAACTTACAACCAACAAGTCACAAGAGAGACAGAAAACACTGCCGACTCTCTCGGAGAGACTCGTTATACTATACTATACGGTTCTCTCTGAGTGAGCCGTTCTCTCTCTCTCTCTCTCTCTCTCGCAACTCTCTCATTCTCTCTTAGTTTCTCTCTCTCTCTTTCTCTCTCTCTCTCTCTCTCTCTCTCGCTCTCTCTCTCTCTCTCTCTCTCTCTCTTTCTCTCTCTCTCTCATTCTCTCTCTTTCTCTTTCTCTCTCGCTCTCTTGCTTGCTGACTTGTTCGCCCTCTCTCTCTCTCTCTTTCTCTCTCTCTCTCTCTCTCTCTTTCCTTTCTCTCCTCTCGCTATATCTATCTGTACATATATATACATATATACTTATATATATTCTATACTTGCAAACGGCAACACGAGTGAGAGAAAATGAACTGCACTAAAAGCTAGAGCGAGAGAGAGAGAGAGAGAATGACAGGAATTGAGTGTGTGTGAGTCTGTATACCAGAGCGAGTATACATGTTATATAGATGCGCGTATAATATATATAGATATACTACCAACATAGAACGGGGAGTCGAGCAAGAGCGAGAGAGAGCCTATTAAGCGAGAGAGGAGAGGAGAGAAGAGAGCAGACGAGAGAAACGCGTTCAGCACATACAGCAAAAGGGGAGCGAACAACCAACGAGAGAGCGAGAGAGTTTTTTAACACGAAGAGAGAGAGAGAGAGAGAGACAGAGACAGACAGACAGAGACAGAGAGAAAGGAATGACGCGCGCGCAATGGGACTTTATACATATATACATGCAGTTTTATATAGGTATATACATTTAATATATGTGTGTATGTATATAAATATGCATGCAGTATGTATATAACTGTGCATACTCATCATATATATATGTAATATAATATTTAGATATATATATGCACAAAATAGCGAAACAGACGGAGATAGTTAGGATGAATTTGTGCATTTTGGTCTGTTTTCTTTTTATGATTAGCAGGTCGATATGCCGGCCATCGTTGCTAATTTTGAAATATCAGAGCTTTATAATGAAAGAGATAAAGAGAAGGAAAGAAGCAATAGACCTCATTTGATAACGGCGGACTGAATCTCGTGGATTTACATCGCGTACGTTTGATTTCGTGCTATGCATACACGCAACCAAGTGTGTAGATTATATCTTAGTAGAAAGTAAATTTTGTACTTACCCATGATTACGGCAAATTCGTTGCAACGGCTTGATGCGCGTAACGTGGAGAAAAACATAAGCCAGCTCGGCAGAGACAGGGCGTTCACTGTTTGTCCAAGAAGCTGCTGTCTGCAGGTAGCTAGTCGTTGGATAGAGCACTGCAATCGGCCGTCCGTATACTCAGCAGTGTGTGCGTGGTATCAGGGCTTGGAACGCCAGCAGCATCAGCAACAGTAGCAGCGCACTATGTATAGGTAGTAGCAGTTGCAACAATAGGTCCGAGCAATAGATAGGCTTAAATGCACAGTGTATTCGAGTGGCGTACGTATGCAGTTTGCACTTGTGTCAAAGAATCGAGTCGAGACGAGCTATCTATTCTGCAGCTCGATAGGAAACGCGTGTTATATCGTAGACGCAGTGGCGAATTACGAGTACACAGCTTAATACTTTTGAGACGATGTAGGTATGTAGGTGCAGGCGCGCGATAGTGTGTGTGTATAATATTGCAGCTGCAGCGAAGAGAACCGAGCGAGCCAAGAGCCAGAGCAGTAGCGTATACGATACGTGTTGTATAGCGGTGGCGGCGCGGCGACAGTCGTCGAGTAGTCGTTGAGTCCTGTTTCGCCGTCTTCTTGCGCGCAGCGCAGCTCGCAATTCTCGCTCGTCGCTGCCTATATAATATACTCGAAAGTTGCTTGCTTTTCGTTACAGTATTCGCATGCCAAAAGCGCGCGCGTGAGAGAGAGAGAGAGAGAGAGAGACGAGAACGAACACGACGACCCTTCACCCCACCACAGCTTCTCTTGCTTCTCATGTATATGTTGTTGTACGAAGCTATATCTTTCGTACACTCGAGCAAGCGCAACGACGACGACGACGACGACGTTCTGTTCTGCAATGGGCTAGCCGCGGAGTACTCGGTGCGGCTTGGCTGCACACCGTTGCGCCGTAGGCAGCGAATTTTCGCACTCGCAAGTCGCATCGCGTCTTGGCATTCCGAGTTCGAACTTGGACGTGCGTTGGAGTCTTGGGCGAGATGGTGCTGCCACGAGCAACGCCTTGAATCGGAGTCACGATCGACACTCGAGTCGGCACTCGGCAGTCGATTGCAGTCGCAGCGTTCGGCAGTTGGCTCGGTAGTTTGCACCGATACTTCTGCACGGCTCTACAATAGCGATTGCCCGTTGAGTTAGTACATTGAACAGCTCACAGTGCAAAAGCATAACTTGTCTCCTTGCTCCTTTGTCAAAATTCCACTGTCCTACGTCTCGTCTAGTCCAAGAGCTTTTTTGCGACTCGCGCGCTCTGGTCGTTTTTAATCAATTAAAAGTATTTACATTTTCAAGTCCATACATGCGTAAGATATTAACTATTAGTTCTTAAAGCATACTAAATATCGTCAAGTAAAAAGTATAATTACGAACCATTTCGAGTAATTTATTTAATTATTTGTATATTATAGCAATAGTTAAATTGTGTCCTTGCAGTAATATAATCAGTAAATAGCAATTGAAAAATTACTTTTACGATACCAAAATTCTGCCATCATCAAGATTGATATCTGAAATTAAAATCGTTCAACCCTAGTCTTTGAGTAATCATTTTTCAATTATTTAATTTAATAAATTTGAGACAATGTATTCTCAATTTTTTTCGAAAAATATTTTTTAGGTTTTTTAATGAATAAGATATTGAGCGCTGCATCGATTAAAGTTTAAAAAAGAATTTGGTTTTATTAGAAATAGCTAGTAAAGCAATGAACTGCACGAGTCAGAGCCATCAGAGGTGTTTGCATCCGCACTGTTTACGTAATTGTGGCCCGGAACATGGAGGAAAAAATGGAGGAAATCACAAATATTATTGAAACGATTAGATTCGAGCAATTTACTGCGATGCGCAAAAAGCGACACACGTCATGGCAAGCTTGATAATTATATACTCGTTTGTATTTTTGTAAAACGTCAGATTTGTGCCCCTGGCGTGTGTGCGCGAGCTGCGAGATAAGTGAGAATCGTCGTCGATGCGAAAAGAAGCTCTCAAACCAAGTTGTCGATGAGGAAGCCCAAGAATTCGCTGACCCGCGAATAAACTCCTGGGAAGCCAGCTGAGGCGCATTGGAAGCCCGTTGACACTACGCCGACCAAATACCAAGTGTTGCGCAGCGGGAACATGAGCGGCCCTCCGCTGTCGCCCTGCAACAAGCCATTGCAATCGTATATAGATACATTTCTATTTGCGGCGCGAGCATATTTACATCATATTACCTGACAAGCGTCGATTCCGCCGGCGTCGTAGCCGGCGCACAAAATCCTCTTGTCGACCAGTATCCTCTTTTTGGCGTAGAGCTTTTTACACTTGTCGACGCTGATTACCGGCACCTGAGCTTCCTGGACGATGCTGCTCGTTGGGCCTCCTGCAACGCGACAATAAATTGGCTTTGCTCAGAGATGAGCTGATCGACAATAATGATTAGTCAGAAGCAAGTACCGTAAGACGTTGCTCCCCAACCAGCGACGTAAGGGAAGCTGCCGACTAGATTGCGATTTCTTATTCTGCTCTTGAGTGGCAGGCATATCGGTCGGATTTCCACTGAAATTAGCCAAGCAATTGTGCAGCCGCTCGATTAGTTGCTGAATGGGACTTACGTGTAAACTCGACGTCTCTACTGAGTCTGAGCACGGCTATGTCGTTTTCCTTGGAGGTCCGATTGTAGCCCGGGTGGGGAATGGTCTTTTCAACGCTCACGTCGACCGGCGGTGGCGTGTCTAGCGGATGCTCGTTGTCCAGGTCGAAGGCGCCCAGCCTTACGACGAATGTCTCGGTCTCGTCGAAGGCCGCGAGACAGTGAGCCGCCGTGAGAACGTGACGCCTCGAAACCAGGGCGCCGCCACAAGTGTTGATGAAGGACTCGTTCGAGTGCTCTGTTGCTGGGACTCGGACGCCGACAGCGGCCAACCACGGCCAAGCACCTGCATGCAGCCGAACCATCAATCTTGCACCTTTCTCGTCAAATTTTTTCACCTCTCTCTCTCTCTCTCTCTCTCTCTCTCTCTTATACCGTCGCGATCGTGATGATCTTTAAGAAATTCATACCGATTACCGAGGGCTCGCCGCCGACTACGCGATTGTGGGGAACGTCGCTGAATCCGCAATTCGGTGGAGCTATTGGAAAATAACTCGCTGAACTGTACGTCCCAGGCCTTGCAGCTTTCTTCTTGCCGTCGGTGCAACATACTTCTGGTCTTGTATGACTGCTCGGGCATTCCTGGCTCGACTGCTTTTTTAGCTCGGCGTCTTTAGCTAAACTTCTTTTGCAATTCTTTAACGGAATGCATACGCCTCGTTTACCCTCGGAGTTTTTGCAGGCAGTATTAACTTCAAAGACAATCATCGGTTATACTCGCTTCTTTCAATCAAACTTTTTCGTCGTATAAGATCGAAGAGTTACAATACAATTTTTTGGCAAAATTCAGTTTTATTTGAAACATTTATTGTCTAAAGTTTTTTATCTTACTGTTTTTGCAGGCTTCTTGCGAATTATTCATTCGCGATTTTACCAAAAATTTGTGTAACGGAACAATTCAACACATTTAAACTTTACCGAAAAATTTAAAATATTTGTACCTTTTTTGTGAAATTTAAAACAATCAACTGATAAAGTAATAATCAACGATAAAATAACTATAAGATTCACTGCACTGAAATTCATTGCATTTGTATTTAATCAATTTGAACAAAAATGCTAAAAAAAACTATTTCATAGAAAATGAACCGCTTATAAGCAACTTTCACGAGACCTTTTCATCGAAACTTTTTATAGAGACTGCAAAAAAAGTTACCGGCTTCCTGTCGTTCTTTTGATAAAACGAATGTGTTATTGATATTCCTCGTTAACACCTGGTAATATACTTATTATTTGTATTTTCTTTTCGGAATACCGCATATCGCATAATTGAGCAAAATTAATTTTTTTTCATTTAATTACCGTAAAGTCGAACTACATGTCAATAAAAGTTATTGACGTTATTAAATACGGTATAGAATAATTTGAAACAAGAGATGAATAATTCACATAGCTTTACATAATACAATTTATTCGTACAATTTAAAAAAAAATTACATCTATTTACATATTTAAAACTAATGATTAAAAATAATTATAAATTATTTATATTCGCGCAATCTATTTCAATAATGTAAAATAATGCATTGTTCAAATTATGGTTGATAATCAAGACTTGGTTCGAGTAAATTTTCAAATTAGTGTGTAGTCTAAATGTGCAAGACAAATATATTCACATATGTAAATGGGTAAACAATTGTCTTGAATTTAATTTAAATTTGTCATAATGAAATCTAGGAACTCTGATACTTTAGTATAGACACCAGGGTATCCGGCTTCAGCGCAGCCTTTGCCAAAGGATACAACACCGATAGCGTAATAAGCGCTTCGATAAGGATACATGAGTGGTCCACCGCTGTCTCCCTAAGAGAAAACAATTTATTGGTTTTAATAAAAATGCTTCAAAAGCAGAGAGTGGTGTTAGGAATTAATGAATTACTGTTGAGGTAATATTATAGGAAATATTTTTTTTAATTTGGGAATATAAATAAGAATTACCTGACAAGCGTCTTTTCCTCCTGCGGTAAAGCCCGCGCACAAAACTCGATTATCTATCATTTGAGCCTTGAAGCGAGCATAGGCGTTTTGACAAGTTTCTTGCGATACAACCGGCAATTGAACTTGTTGCAAAACGTTGGAGCCCGTCGTATCGTCTGAAACAGTAAAATCGTTAGTCATTTGTCAAAAGAAGAGATAAGCAATTCTTAGACATAAGCAAGGAAAAAACTCACCAAAGTGCAATTTTCCCCAGCCAGCCACGAAAGGATAGTGCCTCACAAAATCTTTGTTCCTGATCTCAGGCAGTAGCGGCAAACAGATCGGATGAATGGCATCTACAATAAAAAGAAACAAAAATAAAACAAGGTGATATCGAAATTCGTTATAGTTGCGCAAGGTTGGGGGAGTTTGGCTCGTACCAGTAAACGGAACGTCGTAGGCGAGCCGAATGACGGCTATGTCGTTCTCGTGGCTCGAGCTGCTGTAGTCCGGATGCGGCGTGATGAGCTCGACCGGCACGTCGATCGGATTGGCGCCGTCGTCGTCGCGCCCGAGCTCGTGTTCACCCAGACGCACGAGGAAGACGTCGTTGCGCCGGTACACGCAGTGGGCCGCCGTGAGCACGTGACGAGCCGAGATGAGGCTGCCTCCGCAGCGCCAGTTGGCACCCCCCGTGCTACCGTCCCGATAACCCAAAGCTGCTAGCCACGGCCAAGCTCCTACTCGTACAACAACAAAGCGTATTACAGAGATAAGTATATCTGCGGCAAGGACAAATTACGAAATTAGGCGCGAAGCAAGATCCCTTACCGAGCTCGGAAGGTACGCCGCCGACGACCCGGTTGTGCTGCACGTCGCTGTAGCCACACTGCGGGGCGCGTAACGGCCCATAATTCGTACTGGACTCGCTGTTTCGATTGGTATTGCTTGGCTCGAGCGTAGCCGGATCGGGCTCGTTCACGGCGTTGCTCTTGCCAGCCCCGAAGTAGGGATTGCCGTTGTAGTCGGGGCAGCAGACGACCGGGTCGTTACCCGAGTAGTAGCACAATGTGTTTCGTAGCTGAGCACCCGCTGCAGTGCCGTACTGCTGCAGCAGAGTCACGTAAGGCTGACAGTTTCGCACCTTCATGCAGACACCGTGATCCGAGCGAGACAGGGCCAACAGTTGGTTCTTGCAACTTTCACCTGTGACAATTGCCAGAGTAGCAAAACCATATCTTATTTACATACAAAGTCAAGTATTTTTTCAGTCAGAACTTTTCAAGGTATGACAAAAAATAGACCATATTTACTATAGGAATCACTTTATTTATTTTATAATCATCGTCTCATAATTATCGCGAGTCATTAAGACATTTCATTTAATTTATGTCGACAACTCCTTGACATCTTGATCGTCTTGCTACAATGCTGATGTATCGATTTGCAACTGCTAAAGTAAATCTGTAAAACAAAGTATATAAGCAAATTAGTATCAATGATTTTCAATAATAATTTATAAATATCAGTTTTATTAGCAATAAAAAATTTAATTTACAAATGGAATTTTTCAGTGTTAACTCTTTATTTGTATCAAAAGTTAAAAGGATGTCAAGAGAAAAACTATAAAACGGCACAATACAAGTAATTTAAAAAATGGGGTTAAATTTACAGAAAACATGTTGGAAAATTTTCATTCATATCTAAACATTTGTGCTCTCTTGATTATTTGTGGAATAACTTCAAAAGGCATTAATAAAAGTCGCAGAAATAGATCGCGTAAAACAGGCAAAGTAAGTGCTTAAAAGTATCATATAAAAATTTTGATTACGATGCATTCTCATTTATTATTCGGTGAATAGTGTAAAGCAATAAAAAAATACTTCGAAACTCATTTTACAAACCTACAACGCTTTATATTAATAAGTATTTCATGTTTGAAGACAACTTATCTTACGCGAACTAAAACTATTCATTATTTTTACCCTTAAATCGAAAGAAATTTTGAATTTACTTATTGTTTTCGGTTAATTAATAATTCATTACTAGCATTCAACAATAAATTTTTCTCTGAAAGTTTTTTGTAAGTTTAAACTTTGATACCGAACGAATAATGCATATTCTAAGACTATGTGAATAATTATTATCATTACTTACTTTATGCTAACTCCGACCCAAAGATCTTGTAATCGTATGAAAACATCGACAATTTCTTCGAGCATTTTCACACTAGGCTTGCGATAATCAGTTGGTAGTTGACGTAGCCTCTCATCTTCTTCGAGTGCGATTCTCATTTCTTCCTCAGTTAGATTTTTGTTAACGGCCATGAGGTCCCACTTTCTTAGTACGTTTTTGGAAATAAGAAGCCTTCTTAATACCATTGGGAATTCCCAGTTCTTATTATTGTGGTAATCTAACAAGAGGCTTTGCCAATTTTCCATATTATTGCGCAAATCTATGATTCTTTTCTGTTCCTTCTCCGAGCCTTTAAATTGGTAAGGACATTGTCGTACCAGTTGTATTAGTCGCTTTGTATTTTTGGAATCTTTTTCTGAAACGCAAACATTTTCTCAAGTAAATAAGATGTTTTAAATATATAACTCATTCGTTCAAGCTATAACCATGTCTAAGGTGATAAAAGTTATAAAAGAATCATGACTTACCATTGAAAAAATGTGGGTGACTTTTTACAAAATCGTCGATATTCATATTACACACAGACGAAAACCAACACTACAATGGTTACGATTTCGACTCGACTCGAGTATGAAAGCCAGCAAACTTGATTGCACGGGCAATGCGAGCAGTACAGCGCGAGCTGAGAAAACAAGCGACTAACAGAACGTAAACACTATTACCTATACGGCAGGACGTCGTTTGTTTCGCACGCGCGTTACACGTTAGTACGTTACGAATCGAGCACTTTTGCCGTGCATTTTTACATGAAAAACTGATCGAGACTCGAGAGCTGAAACAAACGTCTTTCACGCAAACAAATCACAACATCTCGCACGCGGCAAGGTCGACTATTACAGTATGTACTACAATCGATGCGTAAGTTTTCTATGCGGGTATAACGCGAACGTTGCGATAATCGATCACTGCACACATAACTTGCAGACGAGTTTGAATAGACAAGTTGAACATTTCAGGTTTAAGGATTGCACCGACCAAACGAAAAATCATCTCCATGTATGAACGAGTTATGACATTTTACTGATCTCTCACTCATTTTTTTGACAAATATTATTATTCAGTAATCATTTCCTTCATTGGATCAAAAGGAAATACTTTTTACAACTTTTAATTGCTTGTGTATAATTATAATTTGTCAATATACATTCGATGGGGCCAGAGATGTCACACGAAATAAAAAGGGATTTGTTAGGTCAAAAGCTTAGATAATCGAATATCGTTTCATATATATCTAATTATAAACGATTTTATCAAGAAATTTCTTCCTTTTTTTTATTAATGATAAAGCTCATATAAAATTGCGGCTAATTTGATGCATTGTGGTTATGAAAAACTGTTTGACTTTAAAAACTAGCCGAAGAAACTTGAATGGATTAAATGACGTAACATTTTTTGCGTTGCTCGTTTCTGAACTTTCCAAAATACTTCAGAAATCAGATTTGCTACATACTTACATCATTAAACTTGTATCATGCAGTATTAAAAGTAAAATTCCAAATGTTTACACGATGCTTTTGTTTTTTCGAATATCTACTACGATTTTTAGTAAATATTCAATATAAATCGTAAAATTCGCTTGAATATTTCCAAGTTTTTTTACAGGCGCATTAAAACAACATCAATAAATTCAAGTTCACAAAGTATAAAATCAGCTACTCATGTAAAAAAATTTGGATTGAAGACTTAAACTATTGAATAAAGGCTAATTGGACGATAATCTTAAAAATTAAATTATTGTTGATCATAAATCCATTCAAAAGTTTACGTTAAACATTGTCATACAATTATGTTTATGCTATAGAATAACTAAAAATTCACATGCGTAGTAAATTGAAGAATTTACGATTTATTGCGTTGATTGCCAATACTTATATTATTTAAATCAGTTGAGATGATCAGACTTAAAAAATTTGTCCTTCATTCAATTTCTCTCTTGTTTCGGTCTCCGCGGGCCTTGACCGATTTTTGCCAACCACGCCATAATATTGCGTTCCTATACTTAAGTATCGTTAATAACAAAAATTAATGCTAATAAAAATTGATACCATTGTATTCTTTTAACATAATAGCTAAATGATCGTTTAGTTTTATGATTTCTACCGATAAAAACAGTAAGCCCAATACATTGCGAGATAAAATTTGAGGTGTAATTTAATAAATACCAAACATTTATACGAACCTTCGGCGGAAACATTCTGTTGACAAACAGCGTGCAAAGTTATCAGTAAAAAACCTGCTAAAGTTAGTTTGCAACCGAGTGACATCTTTTTCTCTATTTTTCCTAAAACAAAAAGAAACAAGTTTAAAACTTTATAGATATTTTACTTACAACAAAATGCTACTCAAACATCACGACAAAATGAGCACGATTGGCCAATTATCATTTTAGACAAGATTATCTCCTATACGAGTTCGATTCGAAAAAACTCCGAACCTGTTTGTCTGGTTATTATATTACAAAGCAATAGTGTTTCGACTATTGAATTTATACTTATTACTGGAAATTAGCAAAAACCCACGTATACTGTATATTTATACAGCAAGTCTTGAAAAATGTTGGAATCGACTATTAAAACCCATTTAGTTACGTCACAGTATTAATATAGCTTACGTTTCAATACTCACTGGGATTCCCCTGTTACAAGGCACTGCTTAATGGGTTAGTAGTTATAATTATCATGGTCAAATGATTGACTGTGTAACATTGGGCCAATTGGAATAGTTGAATATAGAATCTCGTTTTCTCGTATATTATTTAGAAAAATTAGTTTTTTTCCTCGTTCGAAGTAAATTTATCTTCACACCGTGTTAGCTGTATCAATAACAACTTTTGTATCATTGCCGGGCATTATATACAAGTTGTCGAGGATAATTGTAGTGTTCATGCAATGAGCGTCGAAGTTTCCGATGACGCTTGAAAATTCAAGACACTCATTCAATGAAAATATGAAACACGTGCAGGTACAGTGCTAACTTATTAAAATTAAAAAAAAAATAAGTTCATCTCGCGATCGCAGTTGGTGCTTTTATTTTTTTAACTTAACATCAAATGCCATCATGAATTATGCTCAAATAGTGCTCACGTGAGAATTGCGGAAGTTATTATCCATTGTATTAACGGTAATAATTTAAACACCTGTAGCAAACGTGATTGATGTCAGGTAATTGTTGGCTTCGAAAATTCCAAAAATGTATTAAATTTTACTTTTGTAAATAATTAAATTATAGTTATTAGTAAAAAAAAAAAAAGAAAAAACAAAAGTTCTACTGAGATGAAATTTTGAAGGTTCAATTGTAATTATAGAGTTGAACAGTGAAGCACAAAGTATATTTACCTTCTTTGAATTTAGAGATGTTCGATTTCAAATTTTTATAAAATTATCCAAATTTAGATGCATTAACTAACACGGTTACAAAACTTTGACTGGCATGAAAATAAATGCTTTCGATTCATACGCGTAAACTATTTTACTGATGAATGCTAAAAATCTTGACGTTCGGAGCAGTGATTCAAGACTGGTGGACGATCTTATACCGGTCATTCTTTTTATACTCTGAAAAGATCATGCGAACTTTATGCGCTGCAAATGTTTATCATAAGCGTCAACGATAGCGTGGTATTTTCAATTTCGCTTATGGTCAACATAGATATCTGATCAGTTTTATATTTTATTTTCAATGATTATAATTTCAAAAAAATAATATTTATACTTTTTGCTAATTTTATGTCACAACTTGGATCATATTAGGTAATGTTTATGAAATACCAAAAGTTTTTCCACGATAATGGCATGAATCAATTACCAAATCTTTAATAAATGTTTAGTTATTGCAGTCATTGTTTAAGCTTTTGATCTACATAAAATGTAAAAAGTTCGATAAAAGTTGTACCTACCCAACTAAATCAATACCCGAAGTTTTTATTTTTATAAAAAAAAAAGATAGAATTATCACTTTTATTTACTCGCCCTCCAATGCGGTTTTAATTGTTGACGATTTTACTGCTGGTGCTTGGACTCAATAATTTCAGAACTTTAGTTATGTATGTATATATGACCGGTTATAACAATGTTCATAACCATCGTTGTAAAAATCGTAAAACTAATCAAGTTGGTATTTTCAAGATCCTTGAAACTTTTTTGTAAAATGAAAATGAATAACCCCTAATAGTATTTTGCCTGAAAAATGTATTCTAATAGATTACGATGCCTAATTATTGAATAAAAATCAACGGCTAAAATCTTTTGCTTGCTTTATTGCTCATGAAGCATGCTGCAAAATATCATATTTATTTATTTATTTATTTACATGGTATATATGAAATCGTTTCATTTTTATAATTAAATGAATTCAAGTCCATCACATGTCGTATATTCTCCAAAAAAGTTTTATAATGAAGAGATACTCAAATGCTTTTGCTCCCAATAACTTGTTCATTTTTGACAATTAAAGTTTGAACGGTTCCTTACAAATATGAATGAATTATTATTTACATTTGAGTCAATAAATCACATGTGATTCTCAACTAGTAACAAATCTAATATTTTTTCAAGATTACCAAAAAAAACTTACTATACAGTTCATCTTTTTGAAAGCCTAAGGTTATCAGTCATACTAGTAAAATCAGAGATTAAAACTATTTTACATTTATTATCAATATAAAAATTAAAGTATTCTTATTTTTGTGATCTGATTAGTTTTTAAACCTTCAAATTCTACTGGTAGCACATTTTGCTACTAAGCCTTTTTTTGATTCATAGACTAATCAACTACTTACAAACGATTTGTACATATTTAATTATACATTTTTAAGTTTGGCACAATAGTAAACTCGTGATAAACATCTATGTTTTGTATCAATCATACCTTTTACAAATCTCAACCAACATTACCATTGTAAAATAACGCTTAAAACAAACAATATATGAATTAAAAAATCGTCGTAATTCAACATCAATGAACAGCGCTAAACAGTTCTTTTAGAATTATTAAAAAATTTTTTAAATACTTTTTAGTAAATATTATTATGGTTCATAAAAAAATTATTACTTTATTCAAAATCAAGGTAATAAATCATTACCATAAGATATTTTTTGTAGCACCTTCGTTTTTCATCATGAGGAATTTTTAAATATTTGCAGAACGTGCAATTTTTTTTCAATTTTATCCGATCTAAAATATGAAAATTAGTCATTTTATTTAAAAAATCAACTGTTTTCATCAACAAAAATTATCTTATTATTTTGGTGAAGTATTATATAAGCTGATAGTTCAACCATCTAACCGCTTGAATTCAAGTTATATTATAAATTGGTGACTCTATACTAACTCTGCATATAGGGCAGCAAGAGTTAGTAACAAGCCATTGATCAACACACTGTACATGAAACAAATGCATACATGGTAGCCTCCTAAAATCAATAATAAGTTCATTAAATAAAGTAGATCTAGAAACTTGTAATGTTTATAAGTGTATTAATGATCTTACCGGACATTTTCATTTTCTTCATATTCACTCAGGCAGATTGTACATTTTTCTATTTCATTTTTTTCTTTTTCGTTTTTGTGTGGCGTCAACTAAAAATAAAAATTTATTTTAGATAAAAATTCAAAATGAATTTCTTTTAAACTATTAATTTGTATTATGTACCCTTTTATATTCATATGGGAATGTATTTTTTTCAATACTTTCTTTTGTTGCTCCTTTATAAAACATGGAACACATGATATCAGTAATTTGTGAAAAATTTTGAAATCTTGAATGATAATCGGAAAGAAATCGGGAAATTGGGAGCTCGGTATAATCAGAAAGTAATAGTCCTGATGATTCACTTTGCTGCTGTGTTTGCTCTCCATGTCTACTAGAACTTGAATGAAGCAATTCTTCTCGGTTTGCAGGTATCTCAAATGAAGATAATATTCGACGACGCTCTTGTGATGAATTATTTGATATTGGCAAATGTGTTTGTTCAGCGCTAAATTAATAAGCATCATTTTGAAAATTATAGTTAATATTTTTGAAGCATTAGGTAGAAACTATCCGCTTACTTCCTGCGCTGTCTTCTATGTAAGGCTATAAGATTTCTTCTCATATGTGACCTATTTGTTTCTTGTGTACGTTGTTGATTTAACCATAATCTTTCCATAACAGGATTCATACGATAGAATCGTGGACCTATTGAAAAAATTAATATTTGTAGTCAAGTAAAATTTATGACTAAATGTATAGACTTTACCTTCTAAAAAATTTGCTGAATGTCTTGGTCTTGTTGATTGCTGTGCATTGGACCGATTACTACTTCTATCAGTATGTCCTTGTCTATTGACTGTGAGACCAAGAGCAGATTCATTTAAGTGAGAGTAATTAGAAGCATTTGGATCATCAATGAAACTCAGCAGGTTCATAGAAGACACATTTTGTACTTCTGCGTTTTGGGTAGTCTAAATTTTTTTTACAAATTATCTTTTTGAATCTTTATAAATATATCCTACATTATAACAGTAAGACTACCTGTGCCTCAGGACTTGTTTCAATCTTGACTTCTGAGCTATTTATATTATTTTCTTCATCTGAACTACTATCACTCAAGGACCATTCCAATGGTAGGTCAACTAAATCAAAATATTTAGTATCTAAACTATTTTTCTGAACATGTATACATAGTGTTAGCCTATAATTTTAAATAAGATTTTATCAATCATACCAGATGTTTGAGTAGAAGAATTTTGTCTTCCAGATCTCGCACTAGTAATAGTTGATAAATCTATAACATTTCCTTTATTACATCTGAAAATAAATAAAATTTTTTTGTATAAAATAATAAAAGTTAAAAAATAAACAAAAGTATAATTTACAAATAATCAGTGATCTCTTCTGCAAGTCTTGACGGCCCCGCTGCACAAGCATTTTCTGGGAAACTGCCCCTATCCATGACAGGATTTGTAGTGGTATGATGTGCGATTCCAATTGTTTCAGAATCACTGGTACTTTCTGGTACAGTGCTCCCAACTTTTAAATGATTCATTGTATTAGTCAAATAAAAAATTTTCTTAATCACCTCACTTTACAATAAAGTAACTTCATTTTTCATTTATAGTTGTTAATTACCTAAATCAAGGTTTGTAAACAAATAGGTAGGTTGCACCTCTACTATTGTATTTGGTGAATCCATTAGATTCAAGTTTTCTTCTGATGTCTCGTGAACCAGAGAATCACTTGTTTTCTTTAAAAAAGATTTTGAGCTGTTCTGATCATCCATAATGAATCTATAACAATAAAAAAAATGTAGAATATACAGTTAAGTAAAAATCACTAATGAACCTTTTTTTTCTAGTTGTTTAAAATGATAAGTAGAGATGTCAGGGACTTGGCATGATGTGACCAAGCATATTCCACTTGAGTATAGTCAAATAAGCAAGAAAGCAAACAAGAACATGTAAATATTTCAGAAAGTCTGTTTAATTAATATTAAAAAAAAAAAAAAATTAGAACTAAATGAATAAAAAATACTTCAATTGGAGTTTAAAAGAAAAAATATGATTTACAAGCATTAAAAGTTAAATGTCAAAGAAAATGAACTAATTATATATAATACGTAAGCGATCGAGAGGGGGAAGTCAAAAAAGTCAAGGCCACTAAATTTAAAGAATAAATGAAAAGATTCTGTAGATGTAAATAAATTTGTTACGAAAACTCACGTACAATTTAAACAAGAATAAGTAGAAGTTTTAATTAGAAGGCAGTGACGCGTGGGGTTGTACATCCCTCTCGTGCTTCTGCTACTCTGGATGCTGTCTCATTTTTGCAGAGTACAGCGTACGTGGCTTTTAGGCTAGGCATCAGCTGTAACTTTTGCATTAAGTGCAATATTTTATTATAGATTAATACACTTATTTACGGATAGGGTTGGTCATTGGTGAAAACATTATGGTGAAAGATGGCGCTTTGAGCGACCGAGTTCGCTGATTTCAATAGTTTTTCTGCATACCTTATAATACTTAATTTATTTATTGGATTATTGAATATTGTTTAATCAATGTCTTTTGCATAACCCACATGAATTATTTCCATTTTATCATTAGTCAATTATTTTGACTTTGAATTGTTTAAACGGGCTCATTATTTTGATTACTAATGCGGGAAAACCTAGCTTTATTTGTAATATTTCATTCACAGATGCGCGCGCTGCTGGGATCGAACCGCGATGCTTGAACTGTACGGCTCATATTGAAACTGGACTAAATCAACAGCTCTTTTATTGAGCAACATTTTTTAAAATTATCTTGTACTTAATCAATAGTTTAAAAATTAATTCAGTCTCTGACGGAGGCTAGAAGGTCGGTTCACTATCCTAGCAAGGATTATACAAGCACTTTAAACTCTACTTTGTATTTGTCACATCAAGTATACTATTTTTTATCAAAATACGTGCGGGAAAATCTTAAAATCGACTTCCCGCATGCTTCGATAAAGTAATACATTTCTTAACCGATTCGGGTGGTAGTCTATCTTGCATGAGTGCCTATCTGTTACGTGTTAGTGCGTTTCAGCATCTAGCGCAGGGAGTCGATATTAAGAATTTTCCACGCGCAGTGATGAAATAGTATATTACAGCCCTAGGCCGGGAAAAACAAAAAAGTTCTAGGACACGTGAAATAAGCGACCGAGGCGAAGCCGAGGCCGATAAACGTGTGCTCTGGGGCTTTCTTTTTTCCCGGTATAGGGCAGGTATGCTATTTTGGCCGATTCTCTGTCAACTCAACCGGTCAAAATTTTTTTTCTATATGGAATATGATGAACACTAGGGTGTCCGTTATTTCCCGACTTTTTTGTATTGCTTCTCCCCCCACCTAGATGTCTTCTGTTTGATGAGACAATGAGAAAACCGGTATAAAGAGTTCGAAAAAATGATTTTAAGGTGGCCCCCAAGCGGCTTCAAGTTTACATGTATTTTAAATGGGAAAAACTTAAAAATTTGATTCTTAGCGATAAAAATGATGAAAAAATTTGAAAAAATTCACAAACCCATGTATTTTATGTATTTTTGAAGGGGAATCGATTGGTGACCTTGAATGTGACCTTGAACATAACCTCAAAGCTACCGCGAACAAAATATTGAGAAAAATCGTTTTTTTTCACGGCGACCCCCAATTTTTATTGCAGATTCGAAAAGAGCAAAAAATTTCAAGTCAGATTATGTCTTTTGATTTTTTTTCAAGAGCATTATAAAGGCACTACAGATACAAATAAAACCCTAATTTTAGCGTGCACTTTTCCGATTTTTCCTAGTTAGGGCTTCATCTATATCTGCAGCGCCTTTAAAATACCCTTGAAAAAAAATCGAAAGACATTATCAGACATGAAATTTTTCCCTCTTTTAGAATCTGCAATAAAAATTGGGGGTCGCCGTGAAAAAAAACGATTTTTCTCAATATTTTGTTCGTGGTAGCTTTGAGGTTATGTTCAAGGTCACATTCAAGGTCACCGATCGATTTCCCTTCAAAAATACATAAAATACATGGGTCTGTGAATTTTTTCAAATTTTTTCATCATTTTTATCGCTAAGAATCAAATTTTCAAGTTTTTCCCATTTAAAATACACGTAAACTTTAAGCCGCTTGGGGGCCACCTTAAAATCATTTTTTCGAACTCTTTAAACCGGTTTTCTCATTGTCTCATCAAACAGAAGACATCTAGGTGGGGGGAGATACAATATATAATAATCGGGAAATAACGGACACCCTAATGATAACACATTGTTTGGGATATCAGGAATGTACAAAAAAATTTATAGAGCGATTGGGACCTTTTATCACCCTTTTTCAGAATTCCAAAGTTGGCTTTTTTCGCTTTTTTCTATAATTTATCAAAGATCGCAAATATTTCATTAAGATTTAGCTCAGTGTAGAATGACTCAAAAGTAAAAGTGCACAAAAGCTTTTTTGTTGGAAATCGTCCGAATTTTCAGAAAAAATGGGTCCTGAAGCGATCTGAGCACTCTGGAGGCTTTTACAATAGGAATAATCAAGAAAAAGCAAAAAACACAAAATCTAATCAAGTATGATCCGGACTTTCCTTTCCAAAACTGTATAAGAAGCTTCCTCAGCGTGTCAACTGCTCCCTTGTAAGTTTTTATAATGGTTTGAGCCTTGGTTTGCCTTGGAGACACTATTATGGGTCGAAAAACGTGCAAAAAAGGCCCCTAAAGCAGAGCATAACCTTAGATCTTTACATGTTACACATGCTAGGCAAACTCAAACATAAGTACATAAACTTAAAGAGCACAAAATTACCTTTTATTTGGTATATGTAAAAACTCTTCAAGTCCTTCAGAACCGATGATAAAGCTGTTTGAAGTTTCACTGAGAATTAAAGCATTAAATCTGTCATTTTCATAGACCAGTTGACATGATACTTGAATGTTCAGTAAAACTTCAAATAGCTGTATCTTCGGTTCTGAAGGACTTAGAGAGTTTTTACATATACCAAATTAAAGGTAATTTTGTTCTCTAAGACAAAGTTAAGCCGAAAAAATAATTATTAGATATAGAAAAAAAATTTTGACCGGTTGAGTTGACAGAGAATCGGCCTATTACATACTCCGAGGCCCGAAAATAGTAGTATTCCGTTTAGCGCAGCGGCAGGAAAATGCTACTTTCGGGCCGCTGGTATGCAAACATATTTGGACTCTTGATTTTACAAAAAAAATCAGAAATATATAGTTATAGAAAATAAATTTTAAAATGACGTCGATAGATTGTAAGATTGTCCAGTACATACACATACTACCCCGATTAAAATCGACTTTTTGCTTAACTATTGGGGCAAAATAGCTTATTTTCGGGCACTTTTCGAACATTAACCTACCAGTTAATGCTTCGTACCGTAATTTTGATTTATAGGTCTTGAAATTTGCGTTAGGTGTTAGACATATTAATCCTCAATTATAATTTATAAAATTTATTAACTTTCAGTGCACAAATATGAAAAAAAAACGAATTATGGAAGTGTCCGTTAAGGAGATCTGTACCCCATAGAATTGAAAAATTTGTTTAATTTATATCTTTTTTTCTAAATCGAATATCGAAAAACGGCTCTGTGAGATCATTCATTTTGTTGCTCTGAATAGCTGGTAAAAATTTTAGCTAATTCCACCGACCAGATTTTTCGGAAAACGTGCTTGAAATTTTCACACGTTTCCCCGGCTTGAAATTTTCAAACACGTTTTCCGAAAAATTTGGTCGGTGGAATTAGCTAAAATTTTTACCAGCTATTCAGAGCAACAAAATGAATGATCTCACAGAGCCGTTTTTCAATATTCGATTTAGAAAAAAAGATATAAATTAAACAAATTTTTCGACTCTGTGGGGTACACATCTCTTTAACTACAGAAGTGAACATTTCAACTTATGTCTAGTTTTTTGACACTAGGTAGTCTGAAAAACTTTACTTTCAACGTTTTCAAAATAACAAAGTTGGAAAATAAATTTTTATGATAACAAACAATACATATACTAAATTATGTTTTTTTACGATACAAGTGCCATAAGTAACACTTTTTGGCACGGCATAGTTTAGGGCCCAAGCGAAGCTATAAAATACATTTTTGTGTGTTTGATTTTCGACTTTTCCCAAATCACAATTTTAAGAATATTTAAACTTTTCAAAAGAATCAGTCAAACTTTACAATTTTTCTTATCGAATTGTGTATTTTTAACGTGGCTAAAGTAAATAATCAAGCTGTATAAATGCATAATAGGTAAAAGTTTTCCGAAAACTAGCTTACCCTATAATATTATTTATCAATCTAATAAATCCGAAAAAAATTCTTTGCTGCCTTCTCCATTGCATGTTCATTCAATGATTGGTTTTTAATGTCAATCACGCGTTCGCGATAAGCAATGGAAGCTATTTGTTTTCAGATAAGATTCATTATCGACATGCAAATGATCGTTTTCACGATGGGCTCTGACTCCGTGTGGCATGCATAAATCAAAGCCGATCGATAGATCAACACGCTTCATATGATCACGAGTAAACTTATCGCGTTTTAACTATAGAAATAATGTCGATAGAAACATGTATTTGAAACTTATTGGAACGGAACTTGTTAAAAAGACCAAGAGCGGCCACGAGAAAAAATAAAAGATAAATATATTCATAAATATAGATACATTTGCAGGTCCATATAGTTGTTCTACTAATAGCAATTTCAAAATAGTTGTATACAAGTCAACTGGGATTAGCGATCGCTGCTCCCTAAAAGACGGTAGCTTTTTGCACCCGCGTGCAAACCTCAACCAGTATTGTTGTAAAAACATACAGACGTACAAATAGCGTTATGAGTAAATTGTTAAGCCGCGCGGGAGCGACTTCTTCATCGCCTCTATCATATCAGCGTTCGTCACGAGTCAACGAGTCTCGACGTGTCTGCAGTCTTACAGCACTCGAAATTTAATCGTATCAGGCTGCGGGCAGTTTCAGCGTTCAGCAGCTTCAGCGCCAGCGGGCGTGAACAAAAACACCAGTGCTGACTGCTCACTGCTCTTCGATTAGTATTATATATTATTTCGACTCGTCGCCCAATGGTGGCTGCAGTGTTGTGCCGTGAACTGCAATTTCAGAGCAACAGTAGTATATAGTTTAGTGCACGAGTTATACGAGGAATCTTCAATTGACAACGACGACGACGACAACGACGACGACTTTCCATCGATACAAAAACTTGCATCTTCTTTTACTATATATAGTCATTTGTGTTGCTAGCCGGCTAGCACTTGAAAACGATGGCTGTAGCTACTAGGGCTCTGTCCAAACTCACTTCAGGTCTGTCAATCTTATAAATTCGTTTGCATACATGTCTTTCCTTATTTGTACTTCAATCTATATCTTATTGTAATATATGTAACAGGCCATATGCAAAAATCACATCTTTTCCCATACTCTGTAGCCATTTCTTTGCATAACCTTGTACTCCGACGTTTCACCTTCAACTAGGTCATTTGAACTAATTTTTTTTTATCAATTATTATGTAAGATAATGAATTGTTATCACAAGTATTTTGTGAATGGTCCAGTATATCAAAGCTTTTTGTTAGCATCATTTTTGTACTATCACTTATTAGTATTTCTAATGTTGCATTGCAAAACTTTTTCTAAACTTGTTATAAGAGTCATTATGATAACTTGATTAATGATAATAAATAATCCTTTGATATTTGATCATCATTCAAACTATTTATTATTTGACGTCTTACCCTTGTACATCAAAGTTATTAGTATTTTGTCCCTAGCCCCCTTGGATTCAACTCAACTTGAGAACCTTGATCTCAAATTTTAGCCAAGTAAACTACTTCATTCTTTCAGATTGTCTGTAGAAGTAGCCTGCAAGTAGTTTTTTGTCTTTTTTTTTGTAGTTGTTATGTCTACAATTTTATCTATAAAACTTCATGGCTTAACCTTCAGCTATTTTCAGCATTGAACATTACTAATATTGGTAGGGGAGATATTAAAAATGCTAAGTGTGCTAATGAAGGTCACCACTTTTTTGTTTTAGTTGGGAGTCGTGGCAGTTTGCTGCGTTCGCAGATAAGATTCAATTATACAGAAACCAGAAAAAATCTGAAAATCAATTCTGAAACTAAAGTTATTTGCCAAGGATTTACTGGTAAACAAGGAACTTTTCATTGTCAGCAAGCTTTAGATTATGGCACTAAAATAGTGGGTGGTGTCAATCCAAAAAAACCTGGAACAGAGCATCTAGGCAAACCTGTTTTTAAAAATGTTCAAGAAGTGAGTATAATAAATAATACCAATAATTATACAAAATTATTTATCTAATCTTAAGCTTATTTTCTTACACCAATAATAAAATTTATTTAGTAAGTTGATGTAATTTAAAAAAATATTAAAGAATAATTCATATAATCTTTGATTTTTGAAGTACGCATTATATACGCATAAAAAAAGTATGATCCATTATTAAAAACCAAGATTCAGTAGAAAACTTACTATTATATACTTCATTATTTTTGTTAGGCAAAAGCAGCAACTGGAGCTACTGCCTCGGTTATTTATGTACCACCACCCGCTGCGGCTGCAGCAATTATGGAGGCTATGGATGCTGAAATGCCATTGATTGTTTGTATCACAGAAGGTGTACCTCAACATGACATGGTAAAAGTTAAGCGACGTTTATTAGAACAAAACAAATCTCGACTTATTGGACCTAATTGTCCAGGAATTATTGCTCCAGAACAAGTAAGTTATAATAAAGTTATAAAATAGCTGAAAAAACTTTATAAAATGATTATTTATTTCAGTGTAAAATTGGTATTATGCCAGGACATATTCATCAAAAAGGCAAAATTGGCATTGTTTCCAGATCTGGAACTTTAACTTATGAAGCTGTGAATCAAACAACATTGGTAATATATCATGAAAAATACTTCTTTTCTTTATACTTATATAATTTTGATAATTACATAATTTTTAGACTGGCTTGGGACAAACACTATGTGTTGGTATTGGAGGTGATCCATTCAATGGTACTGATTTTATTGACTGCCTAGAAATATTTTTGCAAGATCCTTGCTGTGAGGGTATAATCATGATTGGTGAGATTGGAGGAAGTGCAGAAGAAAGTGCAGCTGAATATCTAACTCAACATAATACAGTTAGTAACTTTAATACAGTTTTTTTAATGTGAAATCTATAAAATTGTTTTAAATCAATTATTCAATTTGAAATGTTAGGGATCTAATGCAAAACCAGTAGTATCATTTATTGCTGGCATCACAGCTCCTCCAGGTAGACGGATGGGACATGCTGGAGCTATAATTTCTGGAGGAAAAGGCGGAGCTCAGGACAAAATTAATGCTCTAGAAAAGGTAAGGCATTAATAGCATACTCTTAATGTTTAGTCAAGTGAAATTAGCTCTATGTTAATGTGTTTGTAAAATTCTTAGGCTGGTGTTATTGTTACAAGAAGTCCTGCTCAAATGGGAAATACACTTTTGAAAGAGATGACTCGTCGTGGTCTTGTTTGAATAAAGATTTATTGTTAACTCTCTGCTTTTTTCAAAAAGCCACAGTAATTTATCTCAGTGTCCATGTATACTCATCAAATTATTCAGAAAATATTGTTATCTGAGAAATTGTCATTTGAAATATTAATTATTATTATAACAATATTAAATAATGCAGGGAAGTGAAACTATTGTAAGTATTATTGTATCTTGTAAGAAGTCATGGTTGTTACTTTATAAAATATACAATCAACTGGCTTCCACTGTTGAAGTTGAAAGCAAGCACTCCATTTCATTTTTACAAATGTACAGTACTCAATTTAATGAAATTGTTTAAAAGAATATATGTTATTCATAGTTCAATTATGAAATAATTTACTGCGTTTGCACATAAAGCTTCTTATGAGACTTGACTGCAAAGTCTGTTTAAAATAATTTGATGTTGAATCTAATAAGTCAGAAAAGCTATCTGCATATAATGTATGCGATTTTACTGTAAATTATGGCGAATAAAAAGTTATATTTATTGAACTGAACATGGATTTGTGTATACTTAATTTTCGTAAATTTATAGAATGATAAAATAATGTATTAAAAAGTTTTAGCTTTAATCTAGTATTTTCAATGCATAGAATGAAAAATTACAATATATATTCATTTGAGACTAAGAAAATCCCATTAATTTATTTACAACATTTGCTATGGCATGACTTTTATCCCCGGGAAAAGTTTTCAATTCTGATAATTTCATTTTTATTATTAGTTCCAATAAATTTTTGCAAGTTGAGTAGTACAAATAACCATCATTACAAAGCTGTTTTGCAAGTTCTACTTGGTGATTATTCATTAACAAGTTATTAGTGACAACAATTAATGGTTTTTTCAAGTCTAAAGCTTCTAAGCAGCTTCCTGCTCCAGCATGACTAATAATTAAATCAGCAGATTTCATTGTTTCACATAAAGAAGGTTTTAAAGAGAATGCTTCAATGTAAGAAAATCCACACCTTGGAGAACAATTAGGAACAAACTGACTTTCTCCAATTTGCATGATTAAACTTTTATATCCTCTTGCATTCAGTTGCTATAAAAAGCAATAAAAAAATAAAGTAAATTTCAATAGACAAATTAGTAAATGATGATAATAAAAAATTTACTGACGTGTAAAATTTCATCTGAAGTAACTGTAATAATAAGATCATCAAATGTTGTTGTTCCAACAGTTACGAATACTATTTTGTTTTCCATTTTCTGAAAAAAAATATACACAATGCTTCCTTATAGATGTAGATATTCGTTTTTTCACATGCATGAAATTTCATGAATTTTGAACGAAAACAAAATGGAACAATTATTACAATTTTTGTTCAGAAGCAGAATTATTTTTCACGAAATAGTTCATTCCCTCCATGTAAATGCAAAACGATTTTAAATGATTATAATAGCTGTTTATCATAAGTATGCAAGATTTTTAATTATAAAACAAATCGAATGAACAATCACATAGAAAGTAAGTGAGATCGATACTATAAAGCGTTAGATATTAATAATTATAGGTATATCAAATTATGAATAGTCAACAATTATAAACTAGCAGACGAAAAACTGCTGTCACACAGGTCACGCTGGGGACTAGTTGCAGTTGGCAAACGAGTTTCAAGTACCAACCTGAGTATATGTTTACGTGCAGAATGCAGATTGCCGCATACAAAACGAGTATCCTATTTCAATGAGTCATAAAAGCTACAGTACACTTGCAAACTTTCTTTGCCGAATGACAACGAAGGACTGCTGTGGGTATGGGTAAAGCAGCAATATATATCTGGTATGAATATGTAGTAGGGTGTGCGATATATATCCACTACCTACAGCGCCGCGGCGTCCGGCATGGGTATCCGGCAATATTAGAGTCTTCACTCGAGCAGCCGAGATTGTAGCGTCTCGCGAAATCTTTAGTGGCCAGCCCACTCGTCGGTTAAAATTTCAAGATTATAAAAAGGGTCTAAATAAAATTTTGCCGCGAGAAGAATTAAATAAATAGTTTAATTTGTCTACAGATTGAGCTAATTGGCATTGCAGTAGATATACTTGATAGCTTAATTTTACATTGAAGGTCTACGCCATCATCGACTTGTATTCGTATATATTGAAATTTAAAGTTTACGAAAAAAAGCCAAATCACCACGAGAGAATTGAGACGGGTCAAAACAAGTCCAGCTTGTTGCAGTGGCTGCAATCTCTTTTTGCTGCAAATTATTCATCGAATTCCTACAGCGCTATGACTCCTGTTCGTTACACACGAAATCTCTTCCTTCGGGGAGTCAGCGTTGTTTACTTGTTTGCCTTCCTCAGTTTCTACGTTCAGATTCCAGGTAAGATAGATACAATACGACAGATCAAATTGTTGTGCTTAGAAATGATAAATCGGGCGGGCGATCAGTTGCACTTGCGATAGACTTACAGTCCTTAGTATTTTTCGCCGCAGTTGACGGCTCTTATTCATTCAAACCAAAGTGAAGCAAACTTTTCATTGATTCGGGATCGATATTTGTTTTAATTAAGATTCATGTTTCTTTTTTTTGTTACTAAATAACGAATCGATACATATCTTAAATTACACTCTTATGCAATTAAAACTTATCATCTCATTTTTAGTGATGAGCTCATAGTCATTCAACTAAATTATTTTATATCTATGCATCCCTAAACATAATTTATTAAGGTTTTATTCGTTTTATTTAGTTCCCTCTTTTTATGACTGCGTCGTTTTATATTGCTCAAGTACAATTTAAAAAAAAAGTTATATTTATGCCGAGATCAAATTACCAAAGTAATCATTGATCAAAAAAATGCATTCCAGTCTCACCTATAAATATCAAACCTCGAAATAGTAACACATGATACGTATGTAGCAAATCAATCAATTCGATTTTTACACCGCGGGATTATGACATTGTAAAAAGTATAATATTACTATTAATGTCTCAAGTAAATAATCTAACTCTTATTGATTAAATTTACATAAATTGATTATTATTGCGATTACACATACAATTTTTTGGTCACAGAATACGCTATTTACGCCGAATAGCGTTTTTCTCGATGCTCGTGAAAGAAATGCATAATTTTTTTTTATTTCTATTTCGTAATAACTATATTTTTTAAATTATTCGATCGTTGTTGCAACATAATTTGTTTGTATCGCAATAGACGCAGTAATAAGAGATCTTGTTTAATACGCTTGGACAATCATAAACAGATAAGACATAATTGAGTGAAATATATGAAACCAAGTAAAAATGTATATAATATTACATCATAATTGACTTCAAATTTTGAATTTTTTTTATAATTAGGAAGGTGTAGTGCATAATATGCACTTTGTATACCCCCAGGTTTCCCTTGCCCCACAGATCCTTGGGTCTGAAAAAAAAATTTATATTATATATTCTCTACTATAATTTTTCAATGTAAAGTATATATTCTTTACAGGACTTTATGGTGACAATGGGCTATTACCAGCAAGAATTCAACTTGACCTTACAAACCAAGCACCATTACTAAAGAAACTTCAAGAGCAACCAAATATTTTGTGGTTTGCCTCATATTTAGGTTTGAATGTGGAATATATGCTAGATTTAGTTACATTACTTGGGATATCATTTTCATTTCTTGGGTAAAAATTAATTTTTTTCTTAAATTAATGTACTTCAAGTAGTGTCAATTCATTTTTAATTTTATTTTTTCAGACTAGTGTCTCAAAAATTATGTACTGCACCTGTATTTTTCCTATTGTGGTCTTTTTATTATTCAATATACCAAATAGGAAAAACATTCATGTGGTTTCAATGGTAAGTAATTTCATTAGATATTTCGATTTTGCTTGGTATTAATCCCAACACAATTTATTTTTAAAAATTTTTATAGGTTTATGCATAATTTATACAATTAATTTCATTTGCCTCATTAAATTATATTATTTTTATTTATTCATAATACAGGGATTTACTCCTACTTGAAACAGGAATTTTATCAATTATAATTGCTCCTATCCGGTATAACAGTCGTTCAAGGAAAAGTGCTGCAAGCGATTCATTAAGATTTTGGACTATCAGATGGCTCTTATTTCGTCTTATATTTACAACTGGTATCATTAAGCTCATTTCTGGATGTCCACTATGGTGGAGTTTAGATGGTATGTATCTAGATTTTGAAAATATAAATTATATTATAATCAACATTAATGGTTATTAAGTAATAAAGCAATAGCATAGTTTTTCACTTTTGTTAAAAACTTATTTTTCAGCTCTAAAAGTATATTTTCAGTCACAAGTCCTTCCTACACCATTAGCATGGAATGCTTATCATTTACCAACTTGGTACTTACGATTCATCAATGTATTTACAAATATTCATGAAATAGTGATACCTTTTCTTTTCTTTATCCCTATAAGAATGATTCGAACAATTGCATGTATTCTATTGGTTAGTACTATTGGTAAATGTTTTGTTTAAATATAAAACTTATGGTGTAAAATTTAATGACTTAGTTTTTGTTTCAAATTTACAGGTTCATCTACAAATCCATATACTTTGCACTGGGAATTATAATTTCTATAATTTATTGACAATAATCTTATGTTTATCATTATTAAATGACCAGTTTTTTTATCGAAAAAAATTCAAAAATGAAAATTCTGAAATGTCTAGATATTTCTCCATATTTACTTGTATAGCCATTTGCGCAGCAATTATATATGGTACTGTTGTCTTCTATAATCTCAAGTTCACTAATGAAATGACAATTTCTTCTAAAATTGGTAAAATAATTTGAGTTTAAGCATTATCATCAAATTATAAATTTGTTATCAAATATTACAAACTTTTACTGTTTCACAGGTTTCACAAGAGATCAATTTGATCATGTTCTTGCGCGAGCTATTCCAATTTCTGTTTACATAGCTGTGGTATCTCTAGGTTTCACAGTAGCTAAGTCAATTACTCAATCAATTGTTGAATCCAAAGGATTAAAGAAAAAATTTACATCAACATTGACAACACTAATTTATGCAATAATTGTTACATTTTGGTTTACTCTTAGCATTGTGGGTTTTATCAGTGTATTTTGTAAATGACTTCATGATACAATCTTAGTATACAATGAATTGCTTCTTCTAGGTTCCTTATATACAATCAGTAAATCCAAAATTAAGTTCTAATCTTCCTACAGAACTAAAAAAAATTCATGCTAAACTTGACAGTTTTCATTTAGTAAATAGTTATGGCTTATTCAAAAAAATGACTGGAGCTACAGGTAGACCTGAACTTATTATTGAAGGCAGCAATGATATAAGTGGACCATGGAAAGAGTATCATTTCTTATACAAACCAGGAAATGTTAATAATTCTCTTCCGTTTGTAGGTAAGTTTGCAAAATCAATCAAGCATTTTTTAATAATTTTTATTTGCATTATAATTAAATCAATACTCTTAGCGCCGCATCAACCTCGTCTTGATTGGCAAATGTGGTTTGCAACAATGGGATCATATCATCAAAATCCTTGGTTAATGTCTTTGGCCTATCGTATCTTGAATGGACAACCTGAAGTTTTAGCTCTGATGAATGAGAATCAAAATCCTTTTCGTCAGCATCCACCAAAGTACCTTAGAGCTTACCTTTATAACTATACATACACTGTACCATTAAAAGGGTAATTTTTTAGTTAAATTTATTGTAGCTTAAATGAATTTCTAATAGTTTTTATTTTAATTTGTATATTATAAAATTTTATTACAGAAAAAAATTGAATTCCTGGTGGGTGAGAGAAAGAAAAAATGAGTACTTGCCGATTTTCAGTCGAGATCATCCACCTTTGATTGAATATTTAACGAACATGAAAGTAATAATATCAAGTAATAATCATCCTAAAGTAACAAATAAAACTCTCAAGATAGCTTTGGATCTAATAAGATCTCTTGTGAATAAAGTTGAACCACCCCTCCTATTGTGGGGCTTTTTCACTGCAGGATGTGCAATAGTAATGACTGGTTAATCATCATCTTCTAAAATTTTACCAAATCGTGGGTAAAAACTGATCTGTCATCAAAAGTGCAAAAAACTTTTTGATGAATTGACATAACTCTCTGTATGTGTATGTCAACTGTTATAAGCTCAACTGTCTAATTTGAAACTAAACAAATAATTGTGTTTTGTGTTCTAAGCTTGAAAATAAATTATATTACTTTTAATTTCTAAAATGTAAAGAATAGTTTTAATTGTGTGATGGTGTGGTTCTTTTTCAAGTTAGATACTAATTTTTACATTATCATTTTGTCCTCAAGATTTTTATGAATTCACCTAAACTTATAAAATGTGATCAAAGTTTGTAGAACATAATAAAATAGAAAATTTGTGAACTGTAAAGTTTATACACAACAAATTCTTTACAATGAATGAGTTTAGGTGAGAATTAAATTTTTAAATACGTTCACTAAAATGTTTCTATGATATCAAATAATTTATTATAAAATTTTTCATTTTTTTCCCGGCTTCAGTATTCCCACAAGTTCATAAATTTTATTTTTTAGTATTTGTCCAAGAATTTGAGATACTATGATCATGGAAAAGCTAATAAAAACCCGCCAAAGTATTTTTATGTATCTTCTGATTCACAAAGGATTATTATCTTGCATTCTCATTCATTGGATTTCAGCTAAATTTTATTTTGTACTTAATATTTAATGAACCTCTTAAAAAATAATTCTTTCAAATTGTATTGATAGTATTGGTATCTTTGAAATAAATTAATTATAATCAAACAACTAAAAAAAAAAATAAAATTCATTTTTGATTTGATCATTTTATTTTTCAAATGCATGCAATTTAAAGTAGCAACCTTCAGTTAAAAAAACTTTTTTATTCTAAAAAATTAAAAATCATGAACTATTTGACTATGATGAATACAGCTGAAGTTCATTTTTTATGCTAATAACAAAAATAAACGATATTTAATTTAAATATTTAATCTCAATTGAATCCTAATTTGATGTAAATTTAATTTAAATCTTGATAAGATTTTTAAAATCATTATCAGTCTTAAATTGAAATTGATTTTGAATTTACAACTTAGAACACTTTTTTTTCACATTTTTTTTCTTAAATTTCTCAATAATTGGTAAAAATGCACTTTCATCTATGATATCTGGGGGTAAAATTCTTGATAAACCAATAGGGATACCAAATAATTGTTGATAACGTTTTTTTAACAGTATCAAAGCATTACGACCATTAGATGTCAATTTATGGTTTGGATGATTCAAACTCATTTCAGTTGGAAAATTTTCCGAAGACACTAATAGTTCTTGATACGCTTGAAGTGCAGTTCTATTGGGCCTTATGAGTTTAAGAGGTTCTTTCTCAGTCACAAACACTTCATGAGGATCTTCACATTCTGTGATAGGTACCATTTTGTGTTGTTTCCAACTGTATTTCATTACAGTTTCTGAATTGGTTTCAAAATTTTTCTAAAAATTAATATCATTTTTTATCAGTAAATTACAATGAAAATTTTCTAAATTATAATGTATAAGTAGGTTGATAAAAGAGTAAAACTTACAAATTGCGCTAATTTTGGCAAAGATTGTTCAGGAGACCAGCTCTTCAATTCTTCAAATCCACCTGTTTTAGTGGTAACCATATTTTTGAATTTTTCAAACTGAATAATATCTTCTGCAAGGAATTCAGATATATTTTTATCATCTTCTATTTCCATTGGTAATTCTACCTGATATTTGTTTGAATCATTTAAATAATCCAAAGAATTTGATTTCTTAGCTTTTTTAACTTTAGAAACACAATGTCCAAATGGTAAAGGTGGTATAAAACGCTCGTGATCAAGTAATAATTTTCTTGGACCAAACATTTTTAGTCTTAATTTCTCTACTTCTTCAGAAATGCTTATCTTTTTAATTTCTAAATATTCTTGCAAAGATAAAAATAATGATCTATGTTCTTTATCCAATTCTATTCCCTCGTTAATATATTCAGGTATTTGCATGTGTACATTCAACTTTGTCAAAACATCATGAAACTTACGAACGTTCATATTCAGTTTTTCAGATTTATTCGATTTTTCATTTATTCTGGAATTAGTCTCTTTCCGGAAGTAGTTTACTAGCTGATCATCAATTTTCATATGATTCATACAAATATCAGTATTTTCACGCAACCATGGTGTTTTGGAATTGTAAATTATATATGTTGGCATAGGAGTATCCTTTTCTACAGTTTTAGGATTCAAATTTCCTTTAACACGTTGAAGGCTCAAATGATGTAACCTTAATTGAGCTCTGCTGGCTGTTGGAAATTCTTGTTTGATTTTTGCCCAATTTGTTCCATATTTATTGTATAATTCTATTAATTGCTGATCTTCTTGTTTTGTCCAAATTTTTTTTTGACCTTTCTGAATCAATGTCAAATAATGTTCTTTCAATTGAATATTAGTTCTATGAGGCATTACCAAAGCAGATATTTGTGTAAAATTTTTTCCATATTTGTTCACTGCACTTAAAAGTAATTTGTCTTCTTCTGCAGTGTACCTCCCCTTTTTAAGGTAAGGTGCCAAACTATAATTCCATCTAAAATATACCTGAAAAATTATTTTAAACTATTAATTTTAAATCATCAAAATAATAATTTGGGATGAAAAGATTTGAATTACCTGCTGTTTAGTCCAATTGTTCATACAGCTTGCAATGTACCCCCAAGGAATGTAATCTCCCATTTTCAGTTTCTCAACTAATTTTAGTAATATAGTATCATCTCTGGCTGACCATAGCACACCTTTCATCAAATTTTTCCAATTATTTGTATTGTAACGAACAAAACATTGATAACCACTTCTACCAGTATTTAAATTTCTTGCAATTCCATCCCAGTCTTCATTTTCATGTTCATCAACTATTCTGTTAAGATTTTTATCTTCTTGTGCTGTCCATCTTTGTTTATTAATATCTGGATGTAAAAACACATTCCACATAACTTCACATTCTTCAGCATTATGCTTACTTTCTGGCATCATATTACATATTTTCAACCAATCAAATTTCATATTTCCCAAAGATCCAATAGCTTGTTTAACATCTTTTGGTAATTGACTAGTTTTAGTAATTGCACCATTCATATTTTCCATTTCTTGCTTTTTAGATATTTTAAGATTCACTTCATGTTTTATTGATTGCAACAAAATACTTTTATCAGCAGGATTCCATTTGTGTATTCTTTGAAGTTTACCGAGTCTTAATTCACCATTTTTTATTTTTCTTTCGGTATCTTCATTTCTTTGAGGATGAAAATAATTTCGATCCTTAAAATATGGCATACCAGCATTAAAACATATAATTTTATTGTGATAAACATTAGTTTGTTGGTTTGCTATTTGCCCTTCAATTGCATGTAATTTATTCTGACAATCAACAAGCATTTTAGTCATCTTTTGACGGGCAGTAGATATTGATTCGAATAAAACCTTATTCATTTCTAATAAGTCTTGTAAATTATTACAGTTACGATCAAACTGGTATTCATCATTGTCTTTTTCAACTGAATCGACATCCATGTAATCACTTTCATTTTCATATGAATCAATATCCATCATATTTTCATTTTCATTTTTATGAAACTGATGAAAAGTTTTTTGATTGCATTCAGGACTGGAACCTCCTTGAGCAACCAAGGCATCTTCCAATGCTTGAATTTCATCTAATAAACTTTGACTATCTTCAGGTTTGATCATATTTGTAACACAACAAACTTAAAAATACAAACAAATTATCAAAATGATTAAAATTTGATTAAAATAGCAAAATTTTAATTCCTGTTTCAAAATCCATACCATAAGGATTACTCAAAGAATTTTCCAAAGCCGTTCAAATATCACATGAGAATTCAAACTTATCTATATTTTTTAAAATGAAGTATTAATTTATCAAATGTTGTGCAGCAGTTGACATTTCATTGCATATAGATTGTAGCAACAATGAACATCAAGACCTGTTAACCGGCTATACGCAAGATAACTACTGAAGAAAATTGGTCATTCGTACACCATAGCCCAAGCCCGTAGGTGATGGGCTGGGGTGCGTGATTGTGGCGACCTCATTTTATACATTCTCTTTTGTAGTATTTAATTATAAGAAAGTCAGTTTATTTTCGGTGGTCGCCACTAGCAGTTTTAACTCACGTTCCTACATTGGGTGTCGAAGTCATGGCGGGATACTCTCGGGGATTAGCATTATATAGATCCGTAATGTTGATCCTCAAGGGTACGCCGCCATTTGCGTTATACTATTACTATATCTATACATATAAAGTTCAACGCCCAATAATAAAATATGATAAAAACGATCTCAGCGCCAATTTTCATGCACCCGCCCTATATGAATTTCGTACGGCTTGCAAAGTTGCAAGTTGTAAGTTACGTTACATAATTAAAAGTACTACAATTTTATACATATTGTGACAGTGGTAGTACTTATAAAGCGAAATGAGTTATTAATAAATGAATCTATTATGAAAAAATGATTAAATACTTTCAAGAACCGCACAATGAATATTTTAAAAAATGGTAACATTTTTTGATTGTTCAATCGGGTAAACATTGAAAACACCTAGTCGATGTTTCCTATAGGGTAAACTTATTAATGCCCGACCACCGTGAGCTATTATTTGAATAAATCGTGATTAAAATAAAATTATGGTACAATAAACATTTTTTTTTAACTTTTATAAACACCATTTTTTTTAGAGAAAATTTATGTCTGCACATATAAATGATCAAACGCTTCCTTATTACGATCTAAAACTCTATCCTGGTTGAATACTGGGCTATTCGGTAAAATAGGCCATATAGTACTCGACAACCTGCAATAAACTTTAACAATTTCCAGATAAATGTTTTAATTCAAATTTTTAGATTAAGGGATCATTCTGATTTCACTGCTCAAAAATATATGATTTTTGGGAATTTATTGTGAAGGATAAATGATGTTTAGGACTGTAAATCGCTTTGTATTGAATAAAGTAACTCTTGAAGTGTATAAAAAAAAAATTTTTTACGACTTATAGTGCATATCCGAATCTCCGTAAGCGGGATAAAAAAGTGCCCCCGCTGGTTAGCACAATTCTGATTAAAATATTTAACTGAAAAAGAAAAACAACAACCATTTTGTTCGTGAAGGCGCCGTCTATCGTTGCAGTCTCTTAAACAAATTTTCCATTTTAAAATAACAGAATGGCGTCCATTAGAAAAAAAAGAAAAATTTTTTTGAAATTTTTCGCGTTGAAAAAATTGTTAGTTGCGGAGTTTTTTTAATATTAGATCGGCTCCAATGATGGTCACACATGTTAACATAAAGCTGTAAACATTTCAGAAAGATCGGTCCATTATTATTTTCTAAATATTGTCCGCCAATTACAAAAATATTAAGTCAAGGAAAACGCGTTTAACTTTAAATAAGGAAAATTTAGTTTATTCAATTTTTGTAAAGGATTTTTTTTTCTTTTCTTTTGATTACATTTTTTAAAACTCTTAAAAATTAACGCTCAAGGTGTTAAATTTTTTCTTCTTTTGCGTTTTCTGCCGAGTCATGTTTTTGATTACTTGTAATTTTCAGAGGGCACCGATTGAGCTTCAACACCAGGGTCGCGTGAGACGGTCGTCTCAGGCGAGACGATGCGTCACATCAGTTACCCTGATCAGACACTTGGGCACCATTTATTTTTCATTTTAAGTTATTTTTCGTTATTTTCACCATAAAACTATCGAGTAACGAAAATGGAATAAAATAATTTTATGCAATAGTATGACGAAAAACGTCTTTTTTCGCACATTTTTTAGTGCGCAAAAAGCGTTTTTGGACACTCGTGTGCGGTAAAATGTCTCATTTTGGACACGGGTGTGCGGTAAAACGTCTCATTTAAATGAAAGTACTTTTCGTCTACTATTGCATAAAATTTTGTATGCAACACGTGCCCAGCTTTTTGCGCACAGTGTGCGGAAAAAACACCCACTCGTGCCGGCATGGCCGGCACTCGTGTCTTTTTCCGCACACTCGTGCCCAAAAACGCCTTTTGGGCACTTGTTACATAAATAACTATTCCATTGAAAGGTGCCTATGAGCCCTTAAACATGTCAAGACACGTATGTTGATCAATAATCCTTTCAGTTTCCGGAAATAAAATTATGAACAAGTTCTAAGTTCGTATCACTGCGATAGTTTAATAGGGTGGTCGTCAAATAGTTGATCCGCATTTTTCAGCTTCAAAACCTTTTTTAGAAATATTATCAGCTTTTTTAATCAAATTTAATTACTCATTCATAAGCTAACCTTTTTTGCTATCAGAAGGTATTACAATGACAATTACAGGTATATAAGATATAGAACAATTTTTTTAACATTATGCATACTTTTTATAAGTTAATAAATGGATGATTTTTCTCAAATGATTGAGTACGGGCAGGTTTATATTATGTGACAATTATACAAAAATAACAATAGTTGTCAGACACCATAGGCATTTAGAAGAAAAATCAAATTAAATTGCAGTTATTTGAAACTGAAAAAAAAAAAAAAAAATTAAACCGAATAGTGTAATAAACTGAAACGTCTTTGTTTATAGAGTCACAGTTAAATAAAATTAAATAATAGTACAACAATAATTCAAATCTCATAAAATTATATAATACTATAAAAAATATTATGTTGCTTTAATTCCCATCGATGCTTTCAATATGCTTATTTAATTTTAAGTTAAACATAAATTTTCATTTATCAGTATGCTTAATTTACATGTTTTCAATAACTGGTGAAGTGACTCCAAAATATACGATATTAATAAAAATAGCATCATGGGTAGAGATATAGGCATTGTCCGTACCTATTTCGCTGTATTTACATTTTTTCTTATCACCGAATCAACTCGTGTCATGCAACGGAGTGGTCTGGCTAGCTGCAGTGACTTCGAGGTCAATTGTTCATTGCGCCCGCCGTTAAAATATTCGAGGTTCGCAATTACTGCTCCAGTCGCTCGGGATTGGCTAACCAAGAGTAAAACAGTTGAGACTCGACACTCGAAGTTCGAAGTTCGGACGTTGAACTACTTGTTGTCGATTCGCATACACATATTGGTTTATTGCTGCTAAGTGCCCTTCTACAAGGCTATCATACGACTGAATTTCGTTTTCTATCCTATTTGCAGATGAGGTACCATCAACTGATTGTCTTTATCTAAGACTAGAAGATGGACGCATAAGTAATAGAGCCAGTGGCTTGACACTTGTCCAAGTACACGAGAGGCTTCTTTACGCATCTTCAAATACGCATAGGTAGTTTTTTACTCAGAAATTATTAGTAAGATAAAAACGTGTACAGTGTAATCGAAGGCAACAGCTATGTATGTGCGCAAGTATAATCAAATGGATATAAGCATTGAGATACAACGACGCGTGCGTGCGCGTAAATTCGCAGTTTTGAGACATTGACGTGCTAAATGTGTGCAGGCAGAGTAGTGGCAGAAGTGTGCGCCTGCTGAGCGCTGCGGCCTGCGAGTGCTCGCAAGTCGCCAGTGATCAGTGCAATACACGTACACTGCGCGTTTACACAGTCAGTAGCAGTAGAAACTGCAACAACGCAGGCTGGCTTACAAGGAATACTTTGCAGCCGCATTCAATATATATATATATTTATTATGATATATATTATGTTATAGCCAGAATATAAAAAAGGAGCAGTGCGCGGTGCGCGAGCAGTGAGCATTGAGCCTCAACTTCCAAACAGTGCGTTATTGTGTATCTGTTTCGTGAGTTTTATTTAGCGTCTATAGATCCATACGTATAGGAAGGTTAACGGATGCTAGCTGCGGCTGCTGGCGGGGCAGCCGCGATAAGCGCCAATCGATCAGCACTTCAACAACATTCAGCAGCAGCAGCAGCAGCAGCAGCAGTGGCAGTGGCAGTGGCAGTGGCAGCAGTAGCTCATTATATACGTCGTCGCCAGTCGTCACACGACACTGCAATCGCTGCAGCCGCCGTAATAAACGAAGCTCGAAAAGTTATCGCAATTATCGCCAGTGAAATCGTTCCTTGTTGTGCACGGCTTCATGTCAAGCTGCATTATCCTCGCGCGTCATCTTGATCAGCGTGGCAGCGACAACAGCAGCAGCAGCTGCAGTAGCGGCGGCGGCACTAGCAGCACAGGAGGAGAGCTGCAAGCTGTCTCAGTGGCTTCGCTGCACCAGCAACATCGCTGTCGTCGTGCAACATGAAGAAACTATTCTCCAAAATAGACAATGCCAGCAGCAAGGAGACCAACAACTACATCGGAAAGCCCTTCGTCGTTGGCCGGCACAATGTCACGGTCGAGGACGTTTTGGCCGAAGGTACTGCTTATCTCTCTATTGGGTGCTTGTGCCACTCGCTATATATCCTTACTTATTTTCATAAGTCATACACCTACTTAATATACGTTCGCACCCTATAGATTTCTTGAATTTATCAGCTAAAATGACATCGTCTCTTACGTTGTCCCAACATCCCGAATGGATGATTATTATTATTAGATACAACAGCGCGCGCCGTTATGAATGTCCTCTGTAATTTATGCCCATGCATTGCCCACATTCGCTCAGAGCACAATCCATATCAGTACATCGCACGGTTACATATTTGCACCAACATGCAGTGCGTATCGGCTCAGCAAGCACCTATTGATATATATGCATACATTTTACACTTATACACTGCTGATCGTAATTACTATGACATAGCGATATATATTTCGAGTGCACAAACACATGTAGTGCATTTAGTACGCGTGTTCGGTCGTCTGCTGCTCAGTTCTTGGCGCAGCAGGCCGTTCGAGTTCTCGGCTCTCGCCTGTCTCTTTCTCGATCCTCGAATCTCGCACACCGTCCATGTCTTGTTATATAGTCCGCCAGACTGATAAACACAATACAAGAGCAGTCTCGGTATTCGAGGACACTTATCGCGTTTGTTATAGGCGTACATGGCTCTTATTATGCGTTGTAATGTTGCAAGACGGCTTTTGTAAATAAAGACGCTTGCTCACTTTGCGTGTTTATTATAAACTTCATTAAAAACCTTGTTTGTGTTTTTGCTGTTAAGCTTCCTTTCTAATCTCATTTTCGATGCTTGAGCATGATTTTTTACCCATTGGGAATGGAATTGGAAATGGAAAATTGTACACCAAACTAAGCCGCGAAAAAAACTTGTTATGAATACTTTTATAATTTAAAAAAACAATTTCTAAACCTACATTTCTTAAAAAAAATTATAGTATGGATAATATTTATAACTACTTTTACTGCTGATAAAATTTAAAAATTTTAATCAAATCATTTTCAGTTTTCCTGAAACATTACATTTTAAATGTACCAAACTATATGCATGCTGAATTTTATCGAAGATTCTTTCTACTTTTAGGCATAACAATTTTTTTTTTATACATTCAAAACTTTCATCATTCTAAGTGTAATTAAAGATAATTTGATTCTTTACTCTAGGAGGATTTGCTATTGTTTTCTTAGTCAAATCTGGAGGTAGTCGATATGCTCTCAAGCGCATGTACGTTAACAACGACCATGATCTTAACGTTTGTAAAAGAGAGATACAAATTGCGGTAAGCATTTATTTAAAAAATAATTTAATTTCAAGGTTAAAATTTTTAAAATGATGAATTTTTTCAGAGTAATTTAAGTGGACATAAAAATATTATAGGATATGTTGATAGTAGTATCACCCACACAGGAGGAGGAGTTCACGAACTTCTCCTTCTTATGCCTTATTGTAAATCTCAGGTTCTTCAAATGATGAATAATCGGTATAAATATAAAATTTGTAAATTATACTAATTATTTAAATATTAAAAATTTATTTATTTATTTTAGATTGCAAACTGGTTTTACTGAACAAGAAATCATGCAAATTTTTTGTGATACTTGTGAAGCAGTATCTCGTCTACATCATTGTCAGACTCCTATTATTCATAGAGATCTAAAGGTGAATATAGTCTTCAATAATAAACAAATAATGTCTTTATTTATATTCACAACTCATGAGTAAAATTAAATATTACATCAAAAATTATCGTCAGGTTGAAAACATTTTACAAACAGATTCAGGAAACTATGTATTATGTGATTTTGGTTCAGCTACTGGTAAAGTTCTTAATCCTGCTGTGCATGGAGCATCTGTAGTAGAAGAAGAAATAAAAAAGTATACAACTTTGAGTTATAGAGCACCAGAAATGGTAGATATGTATTATGGAAAACCTATTACTACAAAAGCAGATATTTGGGTATTGTTATTCAGATTTTTATAAAAACTAAAGTAATTAACTTAAAATAATAGTATATATTTTTATAAAAAGGCTTTGGGATGTTTACTCTACAAATTGTGTTTTTTTACTCTTCCTTTTGGAGAAAGCACATTAGCTATACAATCCGGAAACTTTACTATACCTGATAATTCAAAGTTGGTATTTGTTTTGTTCAAGTTTTAATATTTTATTTTTAAAATATTAATTATTCAAATTATTTTCAGGTACAGTAAAGCTTTACACTGTTTGATAAGGTATATGTTAGAACCTGACTCAGATGCTCGTCCCGATATTTATCAAGTGTCTGCAATCGCATTCCAAATTGCAGGAAAAGAAAATCCTGTTCAAAATTTACATGTAAGTTTCGATAAACTACAGGAAACCCTCGTTTTACGGGGTTACAATTATACGCGGTTTGACGAATGACACTACTCTCCAATTTACGCGGCTTTTCCCACGATTATACTCGGTCTCTATAATCCTATAGTTTTCTTAATTTTTATGGAATAATATGAACAGTTGCTCAAAGATTCAATTCGAAATGCTTAAAACTCGCGAGTCACTGATACTTTCATTAAAAAACAATAAATAATGTCACATTAACAGTTTTACATCATTCTCATAATTTTTCTTTTATGCATCCCCGTGATCTCCATAAGGATAATGTATGTTTTTACGTGGTACTTTTATTGCACAAATCTACCACGTATAATGAGGGTTTCCTGTACATGTTAGACAAATGAAATATTGCATTTTTTTAAATTCAATGTTATTGTATGATTTTACAGAAAGTTCCAACCCCTTCTATAGAAAATTTGTCATGCCCGCTCATGGAATCAGAGTTCATTAAACGATCCTCATCTGTTAAAATCCCTAAAAATGCAGCAGTAACACCAGTAGAAGGTACTTCTGTAACACCTAGGCAAAGGCCCAAAGGACAAAACCTCACTACAGGTCCCATAAATCTTAGTGGTCAAATAGTAAGCCAGTTATCCGGTCAAGGCAATCAAATGCACCCTCCTCAGAGTCCTGCAGGCAGCTCAGTTTCATATGTGCAAGTCAATCAACAAATAACTCCGATTAATGCTCCTCAAGCATTTTTGCAGCCAATTCCAGCTAGCAATCAATCTACTTTTGCTCAAGGGCCACCACACATTCCTTCACCAGGAAACTCTGTAACTTTTGTCCAGTCACAAGTACCACCGCAGTTATTCAATCAATCCCAAAGTCCAATGTCCAGTCATTCCCCTTTAGCTCAACAATCACCTGTTACAGTGCCAGATAAAAATCGTTTTTTTTTTGAAAATCGACAAGATCTTAGAACTGCAGGGATTCCGGAAACTGAAAAAAACTTGGAGTCATTATTTCCATCATCTAGTAAGTTGGTTCAGCTACTAGCTTTAAGTTTTTACACATTTTTAGGTTGTGTACTTAATTATCTCAATACTTATGAAATTGTTGTAAATTTTCTCCAACTCGCAGATTATCCAGATCCTTTCAAAGATGACGGTCGATCAATTGCGGGAACAGTAACAGGAACAACGTCCTCTAAAATTCCACCACCGGTCGCTCCAAAACCGCAAAAATTAATAACATCACTAGCTGTCAATAAAAATGTACCACCTTCATCACAATCAAAACCAGTAAATAAAACAGAACATCACAGTCAAAATTTGAATTCAAGTTCTTCACCTCCAGATAGTCCTACTTCAAATTCCTCGCGACATAGACGGAATGTCAGCGATACCAGTGCATTTAATAAGTAAGTTGTTATATTTAATAAAAAATATTATTTAATATTTTTCTTTTATGTTTCAAAATTTTAGTATTTCTTCATCTATATCTCGACTTACTATTACAATCATTAAACAAAAGGTGTTGAACGCGTCATTTTTTTTTTTCATTAAAGATGAACATTAAAAAAGGAAAAAACATTTCATTTTGATTTTGTTAATTTTAATCGTTGATATTGATTATATCTTGCTTGCAGAATAAGAAGTTGAATAATTTTTTTAATTTTTTTACTTTACTCATGATAAACGTATTTGGTTGACGTTAGAACCGTCAATTCTTTCAGAGTATTTGCTGATGAAACGTCGCAGTTTTTGGCTCCCTACGAAGCTTCCGTAAAACAACGCGCTGAAAACAATTCACCTACAGATGTGACTGCAAATATCAAAACTGAAATTGGTTCAAGTACTTCTCATGTATGTATTGTAAGTAGACAAATAGTTTTGTTAAGAAGTGCCTTTCAAAATGTGTTTAAATTGATTTGGAAGTTTTATGTCTTAGTCAAGTTATTGATATTACCCTCGGCAACAAAATTATCGCCACAAAAAATTACATCGAAATTTTGTCGATTTTCAAATGCTTCTATCTTGGGCTATATTTATCGTATCGACACGATTTTTTTTTGATTTCTTGCTAATTTTGTCCTCTTTAAATCCATATAATATATATTATACATATGGATTTAATACATATATTATATATATTATATGGATTTAAAGAGGACAAAATAAGCAAGAAATCAAAAAAAATTCGTGTCGATACGATAAATATAGCCCAAGATAGAAGCATTTGAACATCGACAAAATTTCGATGAAATTTTTTGTTGCGATAATTTTTTTGCTGAGTGTATATTAATATTTTCACTGCTCATTACATTTTTGAATTATTTATTGCAACATTTAAATTTTTCATAAATATTAGATATTTTTGTATTAATAATCTAATGAAAAATAATGTGTTAATATTGAATGTTTGTAAAAAGATCATTAGTTGATTTATAAATGTTGAATATTTAGGGAGAGCTATCAAACATACCGAAAACGGAAAGTAGATCACTAAGTGCGGATGTAGCAATTTGGAACCCTTTTGAAGATGTTCAACCATTTAGTCAACTTACTGAAGATCATATATTTGGTGCAGAGTTTGATAAAATAAGAAAAGGAAGTGATAGCAGCATAGGAGGTGTAAAAAGTCGTGAAAGTCTTGTTATGTCTTACTCAGAAGCACCGAAAGATCCATTTGAATCAGCACCTTTCAGTATGCCAAGTGAGTTTATTTGCAACTTATTCATTACTGAAAATTCTTAAATTGAAAGAAAAAATATAAAAATTTTTTGATTTTAGCAGGTAAAAAAAGTAAAGTGGGAGCAAAAGCTACTGCAACTGCTGCAGGTAATGCATGAAAATTTTTATGTACCTTAATTTTAAGTATTTTTTTCTTAAGCGTCTAGAAAAACAAAATTTCTGTCCTTTATAGAAATTCTTAAGCTCATATAAATATAAAACTCGGGTACTGTGAGTAAAATGTGATATTGTTTTTGAAAAAAAATAAACTATTTTAGTCAAGCAGCACAAAGATACATTTTACCATGGATGAAGTTTGGTAAAATTTCTATTGCTGCAACGTATCATATCAATTCATGAGTTTGATAATAAATTAATTCAGTTTCAACAAAAAAAATTGGGCAAAGTAAACAAAATTAACACTACATTCAATTTAAAAATAGTTTTTCTAGTCTGTAGATTAAAATGTAAAATACATTTTGCTTGTATAATACTACAATCAATTGGAAGGTACAACTAATTTATCTTGAATGTCTTCGGCACCTCCTTAATGGAAACCAACTATTTTTGGTCCGAATTTTTAAAATATTATTGGTTTTGGGAACTTTTGCTAACATCCAGTTGCTTCACCGTGCTTGTTAAAAAACCAATAACACTAATAATCAACCAAATATATGTATAATATGTAGATTTGATTATCAAATCTGTCATTAATATTTTTCAATTGGGACGATAAATTATACAATTTTTTGTCAATTTCCGATTTTTATTTGGTCAATTATGATATACTTCAAAGACTTTGCATCAAAGCACGGAGGAAAATTCTATTTATTAAATATTTTTTAATAAAGTATTATAAATTTACGTGAAATTTGGATTGATCGTATATGCTAGTACTCAACTAAAAGTGCTAAAAAAATGAATAATTTTATGATATTGCGATTGTATATTCAAATGTGACATCTTTTGAAAGATGATTTTCGTACCACCCATTAGTAATATTATATCAATTTATGAGAAATTTAAGAACAAAATTGAAAATATCCAATGAAGTAGTAGAGTTTATGCTTGAGTTGGATGTATTGTAAATAATTTTGTTGCATACAGTTTGTAAATGTTATATGAGATGAGGAAAAACAGAAATTAGTTCTTGTATATATAAAAATATAAATGAGCTGAGATTTAAAGCGAAGATACTCCATCAAATGTAATTTGCAAAAGTGTGGAAATGATATTTCATTGCGCATTTTACCCTTACACGGTTTATTATTTTAATATAGATTTAACTATATAGTAAATGTAATAGAGCTAGCAATCATGTGGAGTAATGGATAATGTATTTTTTGAACAGATAGACCGAATTTAAAGATTAAGTGTGCTAAACAGGTGCACTATGAATTTACCTACATTTTACTTAAATGAGAGTAAATAAAATGAATATCAATTTTATGCTCGAAAAAATAACGTTAAAAACTTCACCTTTTTATGAATTAATAATTGGACTTGTGGGTCCATGATTATACTTTTTGATGGTTAACATTTTTTCTTTATGTATTTACGTGTTACGTGCTGGCACGATATGAATACAACATGATCGGATTCAATTTTTTTACATAGTGAATAAGATAACTTGAAGTTGAAAAATAGCTGACTTTAATAAAAATTTAGGTGATGGATTAAGAAAAATCAAACCTTTCAATGTAGACAATTATTTTGTGCATCTTTAATAGATGATGCAGCATGTTTCACTTCCAGTAAAAGTTTAAAAAATGTGGGACTATTGGCTAAGCTTGCTTAAGTGCGTTTTCTTACAATGAAAAATATTGTATATAAAGACGATTCTGATATTCATTGGTAACTGGATTACATTTTTTCATAGCTATTACTACTAAAACACATAAAGAATTAACATATATTGGAAATCGGTTTACTGGAATTGTTAATTGTTAATATTTCGGAACCAGATGCTTCTGATAGTGTCCCCATTGTCTGGAACGCCCTAATGAGTTCAGGAGGCGAATTTATTCTTACATTTATCAATTAGAACGATTATCTCACCTGAGTTTTTGAACTTATTGTAAAAATTATATATGGTCTTAATCATTAATAAACAAAATATTTTATTTTATTTTGGCTTTAAAGTTGTTTGTATACTTGATAATACTTATTTAAGAAGTAATTTTTAATTATCTCACGTAATTTCAAGTCATATTAGACTTTTATTTGAATTTCGGGTGCCCATAAAGGTAAAAACTTGATAATTTTTTTTAAATACTTGAAATTTAGGGTTTACTCTTATCTTCGTATTTATGAAAAAATGATTGTATCAGATGATTTGTATTCTCAATTATGTAGCTAAAAAATATTGATTGACCCCATTTAAATAAAAATGGGTATGAGAAGAATGATATTTATTTGAATAAGTTTTCTGAGTGTGAAGAACTATGTTAGAGTAATAAAAATCATCTATTCAAGAGCGAGATCAAAAAACATCGAAACAGCCTGATTATTTGAGGCATTGCTGTGTACGACGACACTGATGTTAACAGCAATAAATAATATGTATATTAGCACTTGACGTTATTTATTCTCTGATATTTAATTAATTGTAGTTTCTGAAAAGTGCAGTTTTGTTTTTATAATTTAGATTCTAAATTTGTTTATTTTTGGTTACAAAACATTATTTAAAAAATATTAATTTTCTTACATGATCTGCTTTGGTTATAATTTGATTGAATCATTAAAATTATTCGTTCATTAATAATTATTTTCAATTGAATTAATATGATGTTAGAATTAGCAAAAATGAAATTAAGTAAATGATTTATTTTATAAATATTTCTGCGATTTTCCAATTTTAACCTGACCCTTTAGAATCTGATTAGGACTGTTCCAGACGACATTGTGACACTACTAACATTACATATAGCTTATTTTGCTAAATGATACGTTCAGTTTTATTCATATTTTTGTCGTTAAATTATATTGAAACATCGATGTAGGGTAGAATTATAGTTAATAATAGATGTATAGTATTATGTTTACTTTAAATTTGAATACTAAAAATTACTTGATATGCACTGTCACCTGCAGACCTAATCAGACACCTCCTGAACTATTTCCTTTACGTATAAATTATATATAAATATGTATATAAGATACGTGTATGCTCTAGAATATCAAGTTTTTATCAAAAATGCATTTTTATTAAAAACAATTTTATTTTTTTTTCAAAGCACTTGTATAGTCGGTAAGTACTTGTTTTGGCCATTTTAACAGCCAATATAAAAATATTATCAACAATTTTTTGTTAAATGCTTATGGCTAAGTTGTTCTGCTTGAATTAATAGTTTTAAAGTTTATTCAAAAAAAATATTACAAAAAATGTTGTGCATGAGTCTGCCATAGAATTATTTATATCTAACAGATACCGATCATTTAACGCTGCGAACGTTAACCAAATATCGTCATTGTAAGCTGTTATTATTTTGATACATCTTTTTAATGATTTTTATAATTTTAAGGTGATAGCGTGGCCAGCACAAAAAAATGTAACTTTCAATCATGTTTTCTGAAACATCTACTGAATATTTTCCCAAAAAGCTCTATTGAGAAAACTTGATTGAAAAATTTATTTTTTGAATAGCCTCGCCATTTCAATGGAAATCATATTTTTTCTTTCAATTCGAATATTTTGTTAACATATGATGGAGTTTTTCGCTTAATGTTAAATTAAAGATCCGGAGCGTTTACATTAACATAGCACATGCTTTTTCTTTGTTCTTTAAGAGGGGAGGGTATGGTCCTGGACTTGAAAAATTTTGTTTATACAAAATTTTGTTTATACTTTCAAGAGTATTTTGTTAAAATTTCAGCCCAATTGGAGCAAAATTGACGAAAATATTGAACTTATAGTTCGATAACTAAGATGTATCTAATATATAATGTTGTATCTTTGAGCTACGATTTCTCAAAATGACATTTTTCAAATCAGTGAGAAACGTCACTCAAAAAGTATTCAACCGATCCTTTTGGAATTTTGCACAGTTCTTTATTAATCCTTTGAGTAGGTACTGACATCGAGATATTTCGATTGTTCCGAAAATTTTTATGTTTATAACAAATTTTCCGAATAAAAAAGGTCGATTTTTCATGTCTGGACGCAATTTTAACGTTTTTTTCAACTTCAAAATTACGTCGAAATTCGAAAAATCACTATAAATAAAAAATCTCTACGTTAGTACCTGATAAAACTCATAAACTAATGAGGTAATTTTGCATTTTTCGATTCAGATGATTCTGTGAAAAGTTAGTCTTACCAGAATTTTCACGATTTTTCCGTAGACTTGCTTTCAAAGGCCCAAAAATGAAAATTTTTTGATAACATTTTCACAAAATATTCTCGAAGTCATGTACTTTCACATCTATATTTTAGAAATAATTTTTTTTTTTACTAGTCGAAAAATACTTCAAAAAATGGAAAAAATCGATCACCATACCCCCCCTTAAGTAATAATTAATTCATAACTCTGTTAACTTATTCAATCATACATTAACCCATTAACGCCCAAAGTGACGAAATGTTCCGTTCGCAATCGACGCGATTTTTTTCCATGTTTTGGGACTTGAAAAGATTTTGCTCTAACAAAGATTTATGTGCAATTTAATTCCCTTTCAGAAACCGGGCTCAAATTTTAGATTTAATGATTCGTTAAAAAGTTATGGTTGTTTAAGGAAAAAAACGTAAAAATTTGTGCGAAAAATCAATTTTGAAAATTTTTTTCGAACTGTCGCGGTAAAAAACCCAATATATTTAAATATAATCAAAGGTGATCATGGGTGTAGAAGTACCTTAGGGGATTTTTACAGATTTTTCCAACCAATTTTTTCAACAAACTGGCGGCCATGAAGTAAAATTTTCATGCATTCAATTGTTTTGATACTTTAAAAACTCAATAGTTTCGAGTGAAAAATGACTTATGTTTTATCGATAATTATTTTATGAGGAAGCTCTTTGCTAATACATTGGCAGCGATTTTTTTATCTTACGATATCGTTACTTTCTGTAAAAAATTAGCTCTTTGTTGCTGTGACCGAAAATTTTTGTTGCACGAACATCATTCTTAGTTGGCGTAAAAAATGGCTTTTTGTAGCCCCAACTGCGAATTTCATAGTATGTAGCACGAATTTTTTCTCGTGCAGTTCGGAGTAAGCCGATCGGAATCGATTGAAAGGGACAAGATGATGTTTCGAGCTGATATTTGAGCGCCCAATTGAATGGCCATAAAAATCAAAATAGTTGAAATTATTTCTTGATAGTAAAATATGTTTTTTTCAAGCTCTGAAATCTTTATTACATTCCTTGTTTCAATATTTTAAATATTTTGTTTTGAAAAAAGAGTAATAGAGGAAAAAAACCACTTATCGCATCATCTTGAATCAAGCTCTTTATCAATTTTGTTCTATGGAGTCTCAAAATCTTCAGAAAATTACTCTCTTCCACTGGAGCAAAATATGGGAAATATTATGAACAAGTTAATGTACAACTTAAAATGCGACAAATTATCAATATTGATGAGGAACTCACATCAGAATCGCGTATCCAGTGAATACAATCACAATATCTTCTCATATATTATCTTATTAAACCCAAAAGAGTAATTTTCGAACCTCAAAAAAGTAAACTGCGTTATTTACTCTTGTAAAAAGATTAAATGACGCAGTTTACTCCTTTCACTTTAACGCTAGAACTTAAAAGAGTAATCTGCGCTATTTAATATTTTTAAAAGAGTAAACTACGTCATTTACTCTTTTAAAAAGAGACTCTTTAAAAATTACTCTTTTGGATTGAGTGTATATATTACGCGATCAAGCCGAAAAAAGTGCTTGGATCCTCAAAATTTTTTTTTAAAATCTAAATAAGAAATTTCTTAATAAAATCTAGAATGCCAAACGAGCGAAAGTGAGTGAGAATAAAGAGCTGGTTGAGTAGTATGAAAAAAAGTAATGTAGTAAGGAAATTAAGATATCTGTTATCAAATTTAAATGAGAGTAAAAAAAGTTTTCGCGGGTAGCGAAAAACGCCAGTGCGCTGTATATAAGGAGCGTGTGCGCCGCAGCTCTCTCTGCCATACTTGCCAGGGCGAGCGCGAGCGCTCTCCTCGATTTCAGAGTTTGGCTAAGAATTTTTTAGGTCTATCAGGTGTAGTATGAACATATTTTACAATCAAGAAAAAAATTCAACTGTTTCGATTTATATTGAAATTTTCAAATATCAGCTCGAAACGCCATTTTGTACGCTCCTAGCTCAATCTAGAGCAGGACAAAGATTAATGCAAAATTCTGAAGACGTTTCTGAAGACACATTAAGAAATGATGAAACTATTTTGATGCTCTAGATTGAGCTAGGAGGCTTCAATCGAACTTTTGAAACGGTCAAAATTTATTAAAATTTGACAAGGAATTCAAAAAAATTTTTTTCAAATTTTTTTACCGGAACCATCGGGTTCCAGGAACCTTTTTTTGTTAAAAATAGCATTATTCGGCCCTAGAAACTATCGCCTTCAATTAAAAAATCTGAAAAAATTTGAGGTTATGTATTTTGATGAAAAAAACAATAAAAAATTTTTTCCAGATTTTTCGAGGCTCCGTATCGTCCTAAAAAAATTATTTTCGTCAAAAAAAGCGGTTTTTTGCTTCAAAAGGTGCGTTAGGTCATCTGAAAAAATCTGAAAAAAATTGAGGTTATGTTTTTCAATGCAATAAAAAACTGAAAAAATTTCCGTTTACTATATCGGCTCATATCGCCGTATCTCGATTTTTAAAATTTTCAATGATTTTTTCTGAAGGCCTGAAGCACTTAAAAATTCTGAAAAAATTCAAGGTGGTTTGGATTATTGAAAAGTATTTTTGTGAATTTTTTCAGATTTTTTAATTGCTTCATGTCCTCAGAAAAAATATAGATCGAAAATGGACGTTCATACCGGAAGTGGGGGGTAGGAGGGGGGAGGGGGTCTAAAAATTTTTTTTTGGGACCTTTTTACCATGTACTATAACATACCAAAAGCGCGTCAAGATCGGTGACATACGTGCGCACGGTTTTGTAAAAAAGTATTATTTTGACCCATATATATTAACATAACATTGAAAATCCTAGAGAGGTACAGGATAATTTATAATTTCATGATTGTACTTTACGATTCTTGTGTCATAAATAATCGTCTATATTCAGCGTATTTTAATTTTATTTGTATCACAAATATCGTAATAGTTCTATATAGTAGTGCATGGCTCAAATATATTCATTAATGGTACGTTTTGTTCTGATATAAGCAATGATTGTCATACCACGTCATGTATACTACTCGTTGCATTATGATTGACGGCTCATACTTATCCTAAAAAACATGTACACGTATGTGTAAATTGAAGCCGTAAACAGAGCTATAAAAATAATTATTATCAACATAAAAATGATCCTTTATAAAGAAAAATGTGAAAATTTTGTTTGTCCAGACGATTCATTGTCATCGAGTCATGGGATTTTGGACAAGCTCTCAAATGCACGGCCGAAAATTGTATACCAAGCAGCTTTGCCTTGGAGTCCAGAAGGCATAAGTAACGTGGTTGGCGAGATCGCAAGCGTCGTAGATGAAGAGGCGTCTCTGATCAACGATATCCCTGCAAGCGCAGCCTCGACTGTAGCCGGTGTCGGAGTTTCGCCTTTCGTCAGAATACCTTTGGAAGATCGCTCCAAGTACGAAAAGTTAGCTTTCAACGCTGACGAAGTAAGCAGTGACAGCGACCAAGATAAACAGCAGCAGCATCAGTCGTTGCATGGACAGAAAAAGAAGCGTCGTCGCGTCAAGGCCGTACTGGATCGTGCTCGCAAACGCGTCATCGAGCACAAAAACGAGAGCAGCTGCAACTCCAGCAAGCGAGAAGTGGAACAACAGCAGCAACAGAAGCAGCAGCAGCAGCCATACGAATCGGACGATTCGATCGGCTCGGCTAGCGATCTCAAAGCCATGAACGACGAGGACGGTCGGCAGAGCGGCGAGGCAGACGAAGACGAGGCCGACTGCGACGACGAGGGAGGCGAGCGAAAAAAGATCGACGAAACCATCAGCGAAAGCGTGCGCACTTGCGGCAGCTCGGCTTACCACGCCGAGTGCGAGTCGGTAGCTACGCGCGAGGAGCCCGAGCAGCAACGCACGCGTCGACTACGTCGCCAGCAACACCAAATCCAGCAGCAACAACAGCAATTGGCAGCAGCGGCTCAGGCCGATCGAGTAGTAGGCCACCAATACGGAGAACGGCCACTGTTGCTCGACGACGAGCTCGACCCGGAATCCAATCCCGGGCAAGCACACGCCGATCCTTTTGTCAAGCGCCAGTACAAACTCAAGGTATTAGGCCGCGATAGTTCATCTGACGAAGCAGAAGTCGGTCAGATTCGGGCCCGGGAACTGTCTCTGGCTAGACGGCGTCAAGACGAGGATGTTTTTGCTCTAGCTCCGTTTCATCGGCCACCACCGACATCGCGTAAAACCTCTCAATCCCAATCCAATAGTTCTCCTAGCTCAGTGGAACGACAACAGCATCACGAGTCAGCCCAATATAACGATAACAATAATATTTTAAAACCACTTGAGGCTGTGCCTAGTTCATCGCCCGTAATTTCTAGTTCGCTAGTGGACTTGAGAGATGATGCCGGGCCGCAACAAACTGCGTCAACAGCGTCCTCAATTTACCGATTCGTCGTACCTGCTGAATCCGCGACTACGGAGTCCAAAGATTTATTCGGCTCTTCGCCGTTCGATAGTCGGCCTACCTACTTTGACGGCGTTACAAGTCTGTCGTCAACCTCAAAATATGGCCTTGTTACTGTTAATGCTACGGCACCTACAGTAACAATTCCAGAATCAAAAGATCTTTTTGGCTCTGTGCCGTTTGACGAAGTCACCGTTTTGACTCCAATAAGTGGTATTGAACAGCAACAAGTGCGCCCTACTTCGCTACCTTTGTCGCAATCGCCGTCTAGTGTGGAAAAAGCCTTTGATACTATTCTCTTGAACAGTGCTCACTCGGCTCAGCTTCCACCTATTTGTAATCCCAATTACGGTTTACCTGAATTGGATATTAATATTCAGAATCGCTTGGAGGCTTTGTCGCCCGATCGTATAGATGTCCTACCCAGCTCTCCAATGTCTCCTGAGCCACTTGTTTCAACCGATTCGCCCAAGTATCAGAAAAAGCATCATCATGAAAAAACATCCAAATTTTATGATAAATCGAAATATCACCATCTTATCATGGATAATAAAGCTGAACATGTATCGCCAACATCTAAAAAGATAACTAAAAAGCACAGTAAAAAGCAAAACACTGCTACCATCACTGCTGGGTTCAGTAATCTTAGTTTCGAAGATTTTCCAAGCGATGAAAATGTCGAACCTCAGGAGCAAAAGCAACCTACTCGAGCTGCGTATGAAGTAATTAGAGATTCAGAGAAGCGCTTTGCTTCACTTAAAAGACGCAGTAATCCGTTTACATGATGAAATCTTTGTTTCAAGGATTACGGATTTTTTTACATTACAACCAACCAGTCAGCAGTGTTGTTTTGTTAAAAGTGATACTAATCGATTGTGATGCTGGCATTTTTAGGAGTAAGTGTATTAGATATAATGATTGTTATTGAATTTTTAATTAATCAATTTAAGTAGGCTATTGTGAAAACTGCTAATCGAAGTGCTATTCTTAATACTAAGAAAAAAATATATCTAAATCTTTAATAAAAAATTGATTTTTTAGTTTAATTTTTCAAGTCCAAAGTAAATTTTTTAATTTGCGTTGTAAACGTTTAACGACTTTCTTAGTTTATTCAAGTGATTTACGACCATTTTTTAACTGTTTAACTAGTATTATTAAACTACTATTATAGTATTTGATTTTAAGGGTTTTAAATCTTATTTATTTAAAGAATAATCATGTTCTACATTCACCTTTACGATGTAATAAAACATACCTAAACTATTATACTAACTGACCTTACATAGCATTTAGTCACTAAATGTTATTTCAGTTATACCAACAACAGGATTGTTGTATAACTTGTGTAGCTTTATACCAAAAAATTTAGGAAAATATTAATTAAAAATCCTAAACTTTACTTCTATTTTTGCAACGCCAAAATCGCAAGAAAAATACATTTAAATACCTTAATATATAATTATATGTGATTTTAAGCTACAACTTTTTGAGGTACTTACGACAAGTATAAACTTTATTTCAATTTGTTGCAAATAAATTTTCTAATACCTACAAATTTATATGGATTTTTTTTTAAATGATTTTATCATAAACAATATTAAAAATGGGAGGTTTGGTGACAATAATATTATTTCTGTATAAAGAAGTGAATTCGTTGTTATTTTTTCAGTGATTGCCTTATTAAAAAGACTGATGTGCAGTAACATTATTTTTCAGTTTAGACTCAAAAAATAAGAAATAAACTATAAAAACTGTACATAATTCATTTTTATATTTAATCAAGTTTGCGGTAGAATTCATAATTTTCTTACATTTATAGTCGGTCACAATTCCATTTATAATCATTAAAACAAGGTGCTGATTTTTCACTTGAAAAAGACTATCAATTAATTTTACTTTGATAATTTAAGGTTATAAAAAACTTTATGTCGAAGTAAAATATCTTCTATCTTGTTGTTGTAAATAACAAAAGTGGAACTATAAAATATTTTCAATTCCGGTTGAATATTGTAGACATATTAAATCCGGTTCTTGTATTAGTTCAATATCCTTTAAATAACGTTCATATTTACTTTTTTTACGTAACTGTGGTAAAAAGATATTCAATTTAAAAAATAAACTCTTAGTATAAAAAACCCTAGTAGCCATTTGACCTTTTAGAGCATCAATGAAACGTTTTTTCGACCATTTATTGGCCATTCAATGACCAATACAGTGAGTTGGACAATAAATGGTCGAAAAAAAGTTTCATTAATGTAAAAAAAATATTCGATTTCTACCAGGGAAACTTTTATTGGAATTAATAATGATTAATTCTAATTTTCTAATATCTTAAATCAATTTTCGTGGATTAAAATCGATGCTTAAATTATGAGGCAATATTATTAATCTTGAAAAAAATATATATTCTGTATAATTATTATAAATAGTTATATGAATTTAGTGGTATACGAAATAGGTGCCTTCCTTACTGATACAAAATAACTTTCACTACTTTTAATTTATTTTTACGAATTCTTTAGAAAATCTAATATCTAATAATTATGTGAATGTATTTACTTATTTGCAGTTTAATGTTGAATTTTCGAATTTGCAATGACAGCCAAAAAGTTTGAAAGATTTACAAAACTTTTTGAATGTTTTTATAAATAATTAGAAACTTATTTATGCCCTAGGAAATATTATTTCAAACTATTTTAAATCTGAGATTTAGTGCATGTGGAGCACAGCATGCCGTAATCCTTTATATATGTACTGCCGAAGCAAGTACATATACTTCAAGTATTTATGTAAATAATTATTCAGAAAAACAATGTATTCCTATAAATAATTGTTTATTTAGGTGGTCAATTGAACTTATTTTATTGAGATATTTACAACAATTCAGTTCTTTTATAAGAAAATATATATTTTTGGTTGAATATAAAATATTATTTTAAAATATAGTAGTGTAGTCACAAAGAGAAGATCGAAACAGAAATTTTAAATTGTATTCATGAATTATTTTTGTAGTTCATCAGAAGTTTTAATCTACATAAATTATTCAAAATAATAATATACTTTAAAGTACCTTGTATAAAATATTTTCATGAACAACTGAAGAAAATTTTGAAGATATAAGTTATTATTCTTTATACACGGATGGTCAAATTCATTTGTAAATCATATCTTATAACTATATGTATGTCAATTTTATTTTTGTATTCCGTCGTTTCTTATCAACACAATCTCATCTTTTTTTGAGTCGGAAGATTTTTTTCGTTGGCTTTGGCGATTTGAGGCTGCATTAGTTTTTAAGCACACTTCATATGCAGTATAAATCAAGTCCCCAAAATTTCATGGAAACAGTGTACATATATTTTCAGTTTCGACAAACATGTTTTTTTTAATTTTTAATGAAAATTATTTCTGAATTTTCAAATTTATATCAAAATCATTTGTTAATAATGCTAAATGAGTTATTAATCAATCTTCATTTAAAAAAAGTTACCAAAGTTAATTTCAGTCTCTCGTAAATATAACTCTATACATCAGAATTTATAACTAGGTAGATATAAATTTGAGTTTGTTTCAAAACTGTGTGAAATTATTGTTATGTTTTGGACATTGCAACTACGAAGCATTCAATATCAAATTATTCTTGTAATAAAAAGCCAAATTTTAACTCCTTTTTAGATCTTTATAATTAAAATTATAATTTTTATAATTAAGTTGAATAATTATTAAATTAATAAAAATCTTTATTCACAATGATTTAAAAATATTTTACTTTTAATTTTTATAACTAGCTATTGTATGAAAGAAGAATAATCAATTTTGTAGTATAGGCTGTATACAATGGTTTTGCTCGTATTAATATGCAACACACCTTATAAGGAATTTTGTTAAATGTCTAATTGTAAAAATTTGTTTCATTTATATTAAAATTTAAAGCATTCATAAATTATTTCATTTCATAAAATATCACTATTTCCGAGTTAAATCCTCAAAATTTCAATACTTTTCTATAAGAATATAATCATAAATACTTTTTCATTAAACAATATCATACGTTGGAAGAAAAATGTATTTTCAGATTGACTAGTTTGAACTGACACAAACAAGGAATGCCAGAACAATCTTTTCTGCGTGGTGTTAAGACGATAGTATTTTAATATGTATTCTTCTTTTGTATTTACAAAGTGCGAAAACGTAGAAAATTAAAATGCTGAAATAATAATATTTTTTTATGAAATTATTTGAACCTAAACCTACAAATCAAACTCACTTTTTTGCCAAACTTTATATACAGTAGAGTCCAAATTACAATTTTTAATTGTAATTTAAACGTCGAAATCAGAAAATAGTATATTTCGCACCTCGGGAGTAAAAAACTGGAAAGTCTGATAGCACTTGTAATTTATCATCCGAGGCGAAGCCGAGGCCGATAATTACGTGCTCTGAGACTTTCTTTTTTCGCTACATAAGTGCAAATACAATTTTTTGTGAATCCCCCGGCCTAAAGCAACATTTTCATTTCCCTCAGCGTGAGTAAAATGTTCCTTTAGGACATTTTTTCAAAAACAAGTAGTTTAATTTATTTTTACCCGCTTAATTGGATGAAATCGTTTTTTCGTGCAGAGTGCGCACAACTGCTGGTTATGCCAGACACAAGAGCAAACAAAAAAGACATGAATGCCATAGCTGGCCCTCGTTTGGGCACTTGTTGCACAAATAACTATGTTGTTACCACTGTAATTTAATGGCCATTTTTTTACTTTACATGACAATTTTAAGGATCGCAGATGTGCTGTGTATTTTTTGGTAGTAATCGGAATGCAATTTTAAGCATTTTCATGCACCATTTATGCAATGTTTCACAATTTTCATGAAATTGTGGTCAAACTCAAGAAATTTTTTCATCATACTTACATTATTTTTTAAATGTCTTTAGAATTTCTTACTAATCTTTGAGATGCTCTAAGACGATTGAAATAGGAGGCCTTCATTGAAAAAATGCAAAGAATAAAAGAATTTTAAAATTTGACAAGGAATTCCACAAATAATTTTCAATTTCCTTTATTTGAATCTCCAGCTTCTACGACCTAATTTTGTTAAAAATAGCGTTTTTCGGCTAGGGCTCTATGAAAAAATCAAAAAAAATTTTTTTTTTCAATGTACCTTCATGAATTTTTTAAAATTTTTTGAGTCAAAAGCAGCTTCATAATCGATATAGATAGAAAAATGGCGTTTGTAGAGAGAGGAGCGTCTAAAATTTTGGTTTTGGGATTATTTTATCATGTAATATAGCATACCAAAAGCGCGTCCAGATCGGGGACATACATGCGAATGAAAATTTAAAAAAGTATTATTTCAACCCATATACATACGTAACGTTTACACGAGTGTAAATCACAATACGTTAACATCAAAATTATTACCCTTGTATAAAATCTATAATTTGCGTATATTTCCTAGAGTTAAAAAATGTTTACAATTTTGTACAGATTATTTCTAATTTTCAATCTTAACAACTTATTTCTTGTTTTTAAAAAAATTAGAATATAATTTGACAGCAATTCATAAAAGTTTTCCCAACGTATAACAATAACTACTTTTCTCAGTTAAAAACTGTTTTCTTGTTAAAATTTTTTCCATTTCATGTAAAAATTTATCGAACAAATTATTATTAATAAAATAAAATTGATGCTAGATGTTGTAATGCTTAATTGCAAAGCCAATCCTGTATTGATTGATTCGGCTCTTCGCCAATTGTTTGCGTCAGGTTGAATGTAATCCATATAATCGAATATAGCACCGCATGATAGTCTATTACGAATAACCTGAGAAGTAAAAATTTATTAGTGATAATTAGCGTAATTAAATTATCCAATAAATATTTAGTTACAAACCGATACACTACCTTCATTTCTTCTCCTGTTGAATGGAGTAATTTACCTAAGTTGTTTCTATACTGACTACAAGTTTTAAAATAACCGTCTGTGATAACTACAGTATGACAAAAAGCCAAGACACACAAAAATAATGTGGCTATTGACATTGACATCCAATGACCAAAAAGGTATCGTTGCTTTGGAGCAACGTTGAATATTTGATCATCTAGATTTGTTTTGCTAGAATTATCAAGTAAAGTTTATATGTTATGTAATTTGAATATTTAAATACTAAAAAAATAATATTTTTTTACTATAAAATCATTCATCGCAGAAAATTTATTTTATGAAAAATGAAAAAAGATAGAAAATATAAGCATATACGAACTCTCTGGATGTATACAGAAGAGGACCTGATATGAGTACATTATGAACTTGCTACTCTAGGTCTAGGGAGAAACATAAAACTAGAAATTTATTCAAATTCAATACAAAAAATTAAGAATGTCAATAGATATCTTTTGAAAATTTTTTATGTCACGTGATATTTTCGCTTCGGGACTTTTTAAAAATGATTTATGAACCAATACTGACGTCAAATGCATAAAAATCTGATATTATACACGTACAATGCTCATAGATTTTCAAGATCATAGAGGCTCAAGAAACATGATTTGACTCGAATAAAAAATCCTATTGATGATTTTACGTCATATTTTATATCCTTTCTGTATTTAGAAAAAAGTCAAGTTTTATGGGTGAGTGCAAGATTAAGATCAAGAATCTTGATAATGGCACAGGAATAATAATTAAGCGATAATAAGTATATCATGACCATTTGACACTCATTAATTATAAAATAGACAATAATAATGAATAAACAATAAAAAGGAGAGATTTTTCCAAATGAAAATATGAAAATAAGTTCTTTTGCTAGCTCTTGACTAAAACTTCCATGAAATCTTACGTTCAATTTTTACGTTAAAAACTAGCATCAGAACTTACTTAATATTTTCATTGGGGAGCAGAAAAGGGGGCATTCCTTGATTTTTACTAATAAAAATTAAAAAAATTTTTTGTTATCATAGAAGATGTAGATTTTTTGAACATTTCTCAGAAATTTTATTTTTTTTAGGTATAATAAATTTCTACTTCTTTGAGTGCATAATTTCTATGATCTCTTATATAATAAGATAAATGGTCATGGTATACTTATTATCGCTTAATTATTATTCCTGTGCCCTTATCAAGATTCTTGATCTTAATCTTGCGCTCACCCATAAAACTTGACTCTTTTCTAAATACAGAAAGGATATAAAATATGACGTAAGATCATCAATAAGATTTTTTATTCGAGTCCAGTCGTGTTTCTTGAGCATCAATGATCTTGAAAATCTATGAGCTTCGTTCGTGTATAATATCAGATTTTTATGCATTTGACGTCAATATGGGTTCATAAATCATTTTTAAAAAGTTCCCGAAGCGAAAATATCACGTGACATTTTGGCGTGATTTATTAATATTGATTAATAATGAATATTTCAAAGCGCTACTGCTAGTCACCTTGATACGTATAAATGCTTTCGCAAGATGCAAAATAAACAAAGGCTGTCTCCCAAGTATAGTATCATAAGTTTTTGTCTATCCTATTATAACACATGGGTAATTATAAAAAAAAAAGAGTAAGTTCGATGTCTCGACTTCTATAAATATCTAAACACGATCACATGTGATTATGATTTTTCCTGCATTCTCATGAAAACAATTGCAAAGTATTTTTTTGACTCACCTGCCTCGGTAAATTCTCTGAAGAGTAACTGTTCTTGGAGGACTCAGCGTGCGGGATATACAACTACGATAACCATGATAGCTGGCCATGATTGTGCTAAAGACGATGCAAGGTAAAAGCCCATACGCCCCAAAATGGCAGGCGCGCACGTTTCCGCCCATGAATGTGTTAAAAGTAGCCACCCCATTCAGAATGCACTCACAGTTCTCGACACTGGGACTAGAAACTGCGAGAGTAAATGCCCAATGCTGCCAAGGCACTATAAGCGATACCATCGAAATAATCGAAGCTATAGCACAGAAAGAGTAGAGTATGTACAGTATCTTCTCTGCCTGTTTACTTGTTGATTTCATGTCACACTCTTGCATGAACTCGTTCGCCTCGAACGACTGCATGGTTTATACTTTTTTATGATTGCGTAATTATCCAGCTCATTTGAAAATCTCGTTCGATGATCAGTAAACCTAAAATTGTAGAAATATGAGTCTTTATTCACTATAAAAGTAGTAGGGTATTTTTTATTTTCCAAGAGGCATGGTGGTTGAAAAAGCTAACTGTATAATTTGGAATTATCGAAAATTCATTTTTCTCAAAAGACGTTTATTTTAAAAACTAAAAGTCGCAAACATTGAAAAACATTTTTTTACACTTCAATTATTCGTGAAAACTATTTTATCATTATTTGATAATACATGTATTACTTGATAGTATTTTATATTTATATATTTTTATAAAGGTACGAATATGAATTGGTTTTACTTCCCACTTAATTTCCCACCCTCAATGTAAATTTTGAGATTGATATTTAGATATCTCAACTTACGTAAATTTTTCCCTCTGTTCTAGGGACGAATCAATACGTTATCAGAGTATTTATTAGTGAATTTCATCATAAAGTAATGTAATTGGAATTGGAAAATTCGTTACAGCATTCACCTTCTCGTGCCATAATCCTTCTTTTTTTAAACATCCATAGCTGCACCCGTTAAGAAATATACTATTTTTACAGAGATACAGCCTTTTTTATAAGCTTTTTCCGTATACTTTGCGTGTTAAAATTTTTCTTCTTTTGCGTTTTCTGGCGTTTTACGTTTTTCAAAAATGCGCCTCACTTCTTGTCATTTTCAGAGCAATCCTTTGAAGGTACAGCACTAGGGATAATAGCACAAAATTATCTTGAAAAAATAGTGAAAGGTACATTCAAACGTAAAATGTTCCTCTCTTTTCAAATCTGCAATAAAAATGGGAGTTACCGGGTGAAGAATCAAATTTGATTCGCTATAGCTTTAAGATTATGTTTCGGATCACCAATGGTTTTTTCGTCCAAAAATACGTTGAATGTGATGTTTTTCAATTCGTTTGGGTATTAATGGGAATGAAATATACTCTAGTACAGCTAACCCCGAAATGCTCTTAATTATCAGTACTATTTGGAAAATGTTTCAGTATTTTTTTAATGTCCTCATAATAAAATACTTATAATAAGCGTGTGAGCATTAGACGGATAAAAACAAAGATAATACGAAAAAATTGAATATTTCAAATGACACTATTTGGGGTTAAAGTGCGATATTCCACTCGAAATGTACGGCATGTTTTAGCTTTATTATATTTTATTCCATTACATACATTTTTTCCATATTTTTTCTGAAAAATCGCCGAGCGCGCTTTTTTAAAAAAATAGGAGAATGCCCCAATTGTAATTTCGTCAACACGTCAACATTTTTACAAAAAATAAATCATGTACTCTATAAGTATAACTTTTCTTATCATGCAGGCACGGTAAATATAGTAAAATATCATTGGATTTTACGGTGCAAACCCTAACTTTTCAGGAAAAATTCACAATAAGTCTATTGTAGACCCATCACAGAACGTCCTCTATGAGGAAGCAATTAACATGCAAAGTATAAAAATTCAGAGTTATAAAATATACAATGGAAAGAAAAAGAAAAATCCTTTCTAAAAATTCAATACAATTTTTTTTTTAATTTTTAGCTCCTTTTGAGCATTTAAAAAATGTACTGGCATGTAGCCATCATGAGTAACCGAGCTGCATTGATGAGATGTCTATATAAAATAATCCATTTAATGAATAAAAATAAAAGCGAATGACAAAATTATTGATAAGCTTGAGCTACGCGATATTTTTTTCAAGTACACTAACTATCAAATTCTTGTTTAAAATTTAAATTCAAGAAATATTTATACATAAATTATGTTCGAAATCTTTTGCCGTTAGGCTCAAAATTTCTCGGTAGACAGATAGAGTTGGCACAGTTTACGCTATGAGGTTCAAATGTTTGCATTTACTTGCGAAAAGTCAACATTAGTAGAAAGCAGTAGATTGAGAATTTTCTTCTATATTCTCAGTAGATAAATATTTCTAGAGTACGAGAAAAACGAAATTTTTCTTAGTCAATGTCGCAACCATCATTTTATTTTGTTTTACTGTATAAAAATGTTGGCATTATCTTTACCTTAGTAAAACTTGAAAGCCTGATGCTATCTTATTTAATGTATACACAGAACAACTCTTTATCGCGCATTAATCATCATTATCGTAAGAGAACTTTACGCAACAATAAACATCTGTGGTTATAACATTCTAGTTTAAAAATGCGCGTACATCTTACAAACTTTACGTAGAGTTAATCGATTTCATAATTATGATTTTTTTAAATTTCGTGATAATATTTTTAAAAATTAAAAATGTATTCGCTTCTGTGGATAAGGGCTAGAAAACAATTTTAAATAAACTTTCGTAAAAAATGATGAATATGATACCAATAGGGAGTGTTATCGTGTCATTGACTTGGTGTGAGTTATGAATCGTGCCAAGCCTCTAAAGCGCTAATGTTTTCTTTGATTCCTTTTTTAATTTAGTTAATGTACTCTGACACTTTGAATTTTTTTTAATTTAAAAAAGCCGCTATAGAATAAAAATACTTGAGGTTATTTGCAAATATTAAGACAAATTATTCTAATGCAAATGTAAGCGAGCTTAAAGTACGATAATTTTAAAAATAGTCTCAACGTAAGAGAGTTTATTTTATGTGTAAATCTTACTCTGCTTTGATGCACTCATTTTCTTTGTATGAATATAAATAAATACACTAAAAAATGGCAAAACTACTTATGCGCGTCAAAGCTAAGACAACCTGTCAACTAAATTCGTCTATAGCGTCAAGTGATAATTTCATGCCACGTTTACATGAAAATATATTTTTAATGAATATTCAATTTTAAATCGTTCATTTTTAATTTCATTAGAAACGAAAATAACGGTTTTTTATCTATAATATTCATGCATAAAGCACTGAAATTTCAGATAAACGTGATAACATTAATGCTCACCTGTATCATCGAAAAAACTTTGCTTACGGGAAAATTTTCACTGCAACTCGACTTGCAAATCACCACATTACTGTATTACACTATATGGGCGATCGTTGAAATTAATTTTTAACGAACTTGATTCAATCTAAAGTCAACGTGAAGACATCGTACACTGGTAATAATACTATATTCGAGAGACGAAACGATCAGAGTCGAGCCTGCTGCCTAAGACTGAGAATAAAACATTTGTGCGTCAAGTCGCGCGAACACTTCCGACTTGCTGAATATCGATAACGTTGAACGATAAACTCTTTGGATTATCTCTACATTTGTACTATCTCTTCATGCCAACCCTTCCCCTCCTCCTCTAGTCAGTAAAACAGGTCTGTGTATTACCCAGACATCTTTAGCAAAAGTAGCCTGATTTTTATTCAATTGTTTCTATTTTGAAGAATTGTTTCATGAATCTCACACATTAAAAAACAAAATAGAATCCCATGTCCTCATCTATTTTTAATGATAAACACTTAATGATAAACAATTTAGCACAATTAAAGCTAGCCAAAATGAAAAAAATACTTCAAGAAAAGAGTACAAGGAGTATAATACCTAAATTGGCGTATCAGCATTACATATTAATTTCTCTTTTTTTGATTTTGGACCATTTTTAGTCTTTTATTGTTTTACAAATCGTGTCTTTCAAAATAAACTTCATCTTAAATAGTATATATGTATTTTTACAAAGGCATGTAGAATTAGGTCTTATCTCTGATTCGATGATGGTCCAGATAAATAAATGAAAAATACCTAACATATTATCGCTCAAATTACTAACAAGGAGACCTTCTCACCTTCGGGTCGTGGATCTTTCCAAAATTTTGTTGGGGACTCACAAGGAGACCACATGAGATGCCGGTCACCAAATGTCCTGAAAAATTTTTTCTGGTCTCCTGGTACCTAATAATGAAGACCCCTATGCTTAGTTTGATCCAATGGGCCTAAGGGCCCATTTTAAAAATCATTTTCTAATTTACTAAAAAATCTTTGTGATTTTCTAATTCGTAATTGGACATCTTAAACGAAAAATTGCACAATGCACAAGTCTTAGAATTAGTCAAAGAATACATTTGAATTTTTTCAGAATTTTTGAGACCTGCTATCACCTATTTTCAAATGCCCAAATTTTACGCTTTGTTACGTTTTTCTTAAGAATTTCAGAGATTTTTGAAAATGGGTGGTAGCAGGTCTTAAAAATTCTGATAAAATTCAGACGTATTCTTTGACTGATAATAAGACTTGTGCATTTTGCCATTTTTCGTTTATGACGACCTGTTACGAGTTCGAAAATCACAAAGACTTTTTAATGAATTAGAAAATTATTTTTAAAATGGGCCCTAAGGCCCATTGGACCAAACTAAGCATAGGGGGCTTCATTATTGGGTACCAGGAGACCAGAAAAAATTTTTTAGGATATTTGGTGACCCGAATCTTATGTGGTCTCCTTGTCCTTACACCTATGAGACATATGCCCCCTTTAAAGAATATATCATTAACATTTCAGGAAAAGTTATCTTGCTTGTGAAGTTTGTATTTCGATTGAGCCCCTTTTTGGTATTTTAATTGTTAAAAATCAGTCGTAAACGTATTACAAAATAAAAAAAGGATGACGATGTTCGAGCAACTATTCTCTGAAGATATAAAAAAAACCACTTCTTTTAGGTTTTCAACTTGTTTCTCAAGAGTTTTTTGTGAAAATAGTCGAAGTTCGATAATTCGTTTCTCACGGCAATTCGTAAAAACTTTCGGTCTCTTAAGAAAATGGCGATAATTCGAATTTTTTGTATGGATTTCGGTCTCCTTAACAATTCGAACTTTTTTTAAGATCATCAATACATTGGATCCAGCATAAATCACTTCATATACACTTTAGGCTCAAGATTTAAATAATAGTAATGGAATTTATTAGTGAATACTTGTATTTGTTTACATATCAAATTTAAAATTTATTAAAATTTTCTGCTTTTTAAAAATACGAGAATTTCAATATTTTGTTCAATTGTTACTCAATTGCTTAAGCTGTCAGCTTTTACTTTTAATGATTGTGTTCATGATTAAGACAATGTCATTTTTATGGACCTGTTCAAAGATGAGGAAATTGTAACTACAGCACAAAATAACGAGAATGAAGAGGTTGAAAAAAAAACCCAAATGAATTATGTTTGAATAATTTTTAGTGTTGAATGTACTTACAAAACATATCGAAGAATTGCGTTATTTTTTAATGACTCTGGAATTAAAGATCATGTATTTATAATCTTGGTTACTGTTGATAACGCTTCAAACTAAGCCAACACTTATTTCAAGCAGTCCAAAGTGACAGATTATTTTAAAATTTATCAATATAAAAAGTTTTCTTTCGACAATTTGTATTTTTTTTCATCACTTTCAGTAATTCGAATATTTGATAATTCGTTTCCCGCGAATTATTAAGATCTATAATGACTTTATTATTTAATACTGTCAAGCCATATATAGACAATATTAAGTTCTTACAAGTCTTACTTCTTATTAAATCTTAAAAAATAAGTGCGCATGAATTTATATTATCATCCCGGCTTCGGCATCCTCTTTAATATTTATGTTTCTTTCGATTTTAATTTACTTAAATTGCAATAATTAAACATTTTTTTTGTACAAATTGTATATTGCGTGCCATTTTGTAAAATTTTAAGATAAAAGTACACAAAAACAAAATTAAAAATTGGATTTTCGGACCGACTTCGGCATCTCTTTAAAAAATATTTACATCATAATTTTCACAAACTATATTTATATAATTTTAAATAAATTTGTAAACCATTTTTATTTTCATGTTCATAAAAATTCATATTAATTCGATAGAAATTTTTTTTAAATAAAATTAAGTTTGTTGAATCAATTTTAAATTTATTTTGCACATTAGACTTCATTAATATACAATACATTTGATTTTTAACTTTTTCACTGAGTCTAATAACGTTATTTTCATTTGCACTAAGAAATTTATTTATTAAATAGATAAACCAAATGTTCAAGAGCACAAAAATCATTGGACATCATTGGTTACAGTTCTTTGGAAATTATAATTATATATGAATTACTTTAAAACTATATTCATTTTTGTCATTCGCTATGCATTCAACAATAAGCTATTCTGGATACTCAACGTCGTATTTCTTTGCTTGATGAACTGCTCGTTCGACTCGAAATAGGCTTTTTTCGTTATATATGTACAAAAAAGGAAGTTTCATTGCCGCTAGTAATTATGAGATGAGAAGGTTGCCGAGTTATCAGTTAAATCTGCAATTTAAAGATTAAAAACGCTTAAGATTGGAAATTGCAAATTCAAATGTATTATCACAAATAATTCAATTATTCAATCATTCAATGTGATGTTAATTTATGAATTGAGGTTCAGGAACATTATGAAACTTTAACAATAAAAGTTCAAAATTAGCTTTGTTACTATTTTTAATAAATTCTTTGCAGTACTGTAATCATACGTTAGAAGTATTTAAATGAAGTATTCTTCATTATGGAATTCTTCAATATGGAAAAAATTTTTGTGTACAAAATGTGTTGAAATTTAAGATAAAACTCGAAGTATTATCTATTAATTTAATTGATGTCAGTTAATTTTTCTACCAAAAACAGACAACTACCAATTGAATCATGGAGAAATTGGTTTAATGCCACTAATATTTGTCTTTTGTAGTCATTATATTTAATTAAGCTCATTAAATATATGTTATAATTATAAACATAAAATTTCATCGAAACTTCACAATAAACACATGCTTATAATTAAGTGTTTATTCAGTTTCATTCAAATTGATTCCTAAAAATATTGTTTACGGATGCTCCTACTCGTTAGTATATTCCAGAGTATTCATTCAAGTTGAATCATCATATTGAAAAAAGTCCATAGGTTTTAAAATGAGTTTATTAAGTATAAAAAGAATAACAAAACTACAAATATCAAAAGATATCAAGATAACACAATATACACGGCTACTCTTATTTTGATATTTTTCTTAAAAAAAGTCAAAAGGTTGTTAATCAGTATTTGAATATGGAACAACATAGAGTAAGAACAATCGTAACAGGATAATTTAACTAAAAAAAAGACGGGTAAACTTCTAGTTTTACGCTGGATTCATGCGATGATGAGTGATTTCAGAAAATGCATCCCTACTATTCCATAAACAATATGCAGCTGCAATGCCAAGTCCTATTCCACCCCCTACTGCACATCTTTTGAGACCAGCTGAAGATAAAATACATTGTTAATATAATCTGTACATAAAATGTAGATTATGATCTCAGTCATTAAATATACCTGTCGATTTGAAAAGCATTCCTGTGGCAGTGGCAGCTGCCACTGTATTTATAGAGTCGTCTGTTCCTCTTGCCCAAGAAAGTATAACACCAAATCCACTATACATTAGGGTTACAACGCCAAATGTATTTGCTAAAGACGAACCATTTTTCATCACATGATTGATCATTCTGAAAATTAAGTTTATATGAATTGATTGTAAAAATGTTCTGTAGTATTCCTTTAATAAAATAATTATTTCACAAAAATATACAAAAAAATGTTTAAATTGTTACAATTATAGTACTTTTTTTCTAGAAGATTATATTGACAACACAAAAATCAAATTTTTAATTACGTTTTTCAAATTTTTAATTTAATATTTTTTTAAAAACTCGATAATGATTTTTTTATTTAAAATGTTTTTAAAAGCAATAAGAATAAGATTAAAATGATGATTTTTGGACTAACTTCAACATTCTTATAATAGGTAAAAATTGATTCTTACTGAGTTCTTCTCAATTTTCCTACTTCACCAGCAAGTGTAGTTGCTTTTAATCCCTTGTAAAAGCCATTAGCACCACCTAAACCTGCACCTATGATACATGCTGCACCAATCTGACTGAAGGCTAACTCAAATCGACCACGTTGTTTTACAGCTCCTTCCGGGAATATAAACTCTGGTTGGCTTGGAGGAAAATATACTGGGTCATAATTGAAGTAAGGATTGAGCTGTGATAAGCCAGGGCTTGTAGCTGGAATGATATCAACAAATTTAAATGAACCATTTATAGATAAACAAATTTTGCATAAAAGTCTTAAAAAATTTTTAGCATAATAATAAAGTCTTCAGAGCAAAACAATTTTAAAATATTTAAGGTTGGAAGCGAATTAAAAAAATTTAGAATTGATATAGAAAACATTACAAAACTAAAGCAAAAGATCAGGATTCTTGTATTAGAATTGAATGTCGAAAATGTTGCATATTAATGGTTACAGAATTACATAATGTAACACTATTTTTAACGAATTGATGTAAAAAATAAATAAATTTTGAAAATAAATTGTTCATAAAATACAATTACATAACTAGTAATAATCATGTTAAAGTAAAATCATGCAAATTAACGTGATCATTAGGGGTTTCGAGGTTATATTAATCGTATTTAGAGAGAATTGCTTTTGAATTTCCCGGATTTTAATTGTTAAAAATCACCCTTACCCAAACTGTGTGTACTTTCTTTTTTACGACTATTTGGTATTGGTGCACTGTCTGCACTGTCACCACGTAAATCTATCATTTTAAAAATATTAATTGGAGCAATGTGCAATAGCTTATCTTAAACACCAACTCTGTGAAACGATATATGCGTGCAATGTAGTCTGCAACGTGCCTGAGTAATCTTCACTACTCAGTAGTATAGTAAGACGACAGTCACCAAAATAACGCTACCATGCAAAATTGAATATGATGAATGAAAACAGCGCATTAACGTCGAAAATAATTAAATTCTTCAGCAAAGCTAATTTTTAATTTTTATATCTTAACAAACTGACATTTTTAAAATACATTAAATAAATATAAATTATCAAGAAAAAAACCTTCATGATAACAAATTAATACTTGTTTATTATTTATTCATTAACAAAACTTTTTTACATAGTTTAACAGTAAAAACATTGATATTTACACTAATTTATGCCTCAATTTGTTTCTTTTTATCAGAAGTGACATTTTCACTAGATTTATCATCTAGAGCTCCAAGTTCTTGTAGTAAACCTCTTTTATCTTCAAAGTATTCTTTGTACCAATTTATATGCCCTTTTTTTTCTTCAATAGTCATATAATGATTTTTAGAAAGTCCTACACATACCAATTCCATGAAATGTTTAATTGGCCCTCTTTTAGGACACCAACCTTTCAAATGGTGCTCTAAGAAAATATGCTCAGAAAAATGTACTTTTTCCTCTTCTTCCATGCCTGAAAAAAATTTTAATAAATTTATGATGCAATTATTTATTAATAGTTATTTATGTAACAAGTGCCCAAAAGGCGTTTTTGGGCACGAGTGTGCGGAAAAAGACACGAGTGCTGGCTATGCCGGCACGAGTGGGTGTTTTTTCCGCACACTGTGCGCAAAAAGCTGGGCACGTGTTGCATACAAAATTTTATGCGATAGGAGATGAAAAATACTTTCATTTAAATGAGGCGTTTTACCGCACACCCGTGTCCAAAATGAGGCATTTTATCGCACACAAGTGTCCAAAAACGCTTTTTGCGCACTAAAAAATGTGCGAAAAAAGACATTTTTCGTCATACTATTGCATAAAATTATTTATGTGATACATTATATATATTATTTTACCTTGTTCATTATTAATTGGAAAATTCCAAATTTTTCCTTGATTAGTCCATTGTATAAGTTCTTGAAAAACATTTTGTGGATATGTCATTGTTGCCAATTCATTTTCTCTTTTCTCCATTTTATCCCACGTAGATAGATTTACACTACATTCTTTTTGAGGAATATTTATCAAAATGTTTAAGGGATTATGATGACCTTTGAGTTCAGGTACCATTTTTTCTTTTTTACTGTAACATTTTTATAATTTGGTTATTGTATTTTATAATACTTGACTAATTTTTTTTTCATAAACTATTTCACATACTGGTTTTTGTGTTTTCTTTGAGATTTTGCGTATAGTATGGATTCTGCTACAGAGGGTTCTTTCATGTACGACAAAATTTTTTTACTAGCTTGCACATTTGATCTTGATTGCTCAGGAGTGTAACGGTCAACTTTCATTGTATGTAAGAGTGATCTGAAAATATATATTTTAATTTTTTAAGAAATGAATAAATTTATAATATATATATTTATATTCACACACTTCAAGCTTGGACTTTCTTTTTCAGTAGCTTCGTTATCATTATTTTCAGGTTTAACGTTAACATTCAAAACCTTACTGAGCAATTCTAGCTCTGTTTTTCTGAAATCACCTTTAAAAGTTTTTGCTACTTCTTTGGCAGCTCCTTTCAATTGTTCTTCTGCAATATACATTGAAAAATTATTAGATACCAGTAATAATGTTAAAAATATTTTTATGATACAAAATTTTATAATAATTTACCCAATGGTTTTTCAAAATCAGAATTTTTTTTATGAATAGTTTTCAATTTTTTCATTCGATTAGCTTTTGGTTGAATTGCAACATCAATTTTTTTTATAGGAGTATCTTTATTTTTAGCTATCTGAAAATTGAAGGAATTTTAAGTAATTAGTAAATGATGCTCTTTCAGAGATTAACGAGTTATTTTTTAGAAAATCAACTTTACACTTACATCAACTAAACTTTCAAGCAATGAATTCAATCGGTTACTAGTATCTGAAGAGTCAGTTTTGTTTTGAACATTGTCTTTTGTTATTTTTTCAAATTGTCTTCTAATTGTTTTCTTTTCATTATCTGAATCAGAGTCAGAAGAATCAGAAGATGACGACGCCGAATCCTTTGACAATACCTTGCATGAATTATGCAATTGTTTAGTTGATTGTTTTAAACAACAATTAACATTTCTGAAAGATTTAAAATATTTATGATCGGAATAAATAAATAAGTAATATCATTAATAATGGATAAGACGTTAAATAAATTTAAATGATGATTATATATGTATTTATAATTTTAACTTACCTCGTGATTAAACGTAACATTTGCATTTCTTTTAAATGATTTTGAATTAATATGTGATGATGTATAATATAAGATCGAAATAGTAAATTATCAGATTTTATATAACCTGTATCTCTAAAATGTACAAGATAAAGTTTGTTATTGACAGGGCCACAAAGTCTAAAACTTTGCAGCAGACAATATAAATGAGTGCCGGAATAAAGCTTCTCTCTACAAAAGTGTTCACTGCTACGCTGCTACAGTGCGTGGCTCACATTAACACGCCACGATGAAATCCTCTGCATGTTTAGACACAGCGATACCTCGATATTATGTGGCGATTGCGTATCTGACTCAATAGTAAACTTTCAGTAATATTTTCATATTATAGGTTTACATGCAAAGCGTGCGTAGTTGAGGGTTTGCTATTTGACCAAAATTATATGAAATAAACTATTTTTTGCCATTTGACATTCATCTTAACATCGAGGTTAACTGTTTTTTCGTAATTTTTATTTATTTCTTGAAAACGTTCTGAACGTTCATAAGAACACAGCATTTTGAGTTATCAGTTTTTATTGCAGGGGTTTGTCAATCAAAAGTTTTTTTATTGTTTAACATTAATTCATTGCAAGTTTTTTACTGATCTGAATTTACAATGGGCAAAAACAAAGGTCAGCGCACAAAAAATAATGCTCAAGTAGGTTCTTAATTGCTGTATTTTCTTTGTTATATTTTTATTTTATATTCATTTAACTCTTTCTATTATTACATTCTTGCATTGTTTTTTTTAGCCATCGAGTAGTAGTCGCAGTGCAGAATTTTTGGGTGTTACTCCAGGTTTTATTGGTTTCACAGCTGCTAAAGATGGAGGATATGTTCCTCTAATGCCAGGTCTATCGCTCGATCAGCCTGACTTGAGCAATATTGAACCAAATTTTCAAGTGGTGTTTAAGAAAATGAATAAAAAAGATTCTACCACTAAGTATAAGGTAAAAAAATAGATATTCATTTAAATATCATCATTATTCTAATTATAAAATATGTGTAGGCAATTCAAGAGTTTGCAATATTATGCAAAGATTTAGAATTATCAGATGTAGAGAATGTGTTACCTTTTTGGCCCCGAATATACTCTCAACTCTCACTTGACATTGACCACAGAGTACGAGAAGCAGTGCAAGTGGCTCATACCACTCTAGTGCAACGAGTTGGTAGAACCATAGCTACATATCTGAAACAGTTAGCTGGTCCTTGGTTTGTAGCACAATATGATACTTATCCACCAGCTGCATCCGCTGCAACTAATGGTTTCAATGTAAACAAGATTTTAATTATTATTATTATTATTATTATTATTAATTTTTTTTATCTTCTATTTATCTTATAAACTTTTCATTCACAGAATACTTTTCCACCTCCAAAGTTTGTTAGTGCTATAGTTCACTGTCAAGTCGAAATACTCACTTATATTAGTGACAATTTAATTATTTTAAGTCCCGAATCACTTTCCACGAATAAGTAAGTATTGATTTTGAAAATATATTTTTATTTAATTTTATTTGATGACTTTTAAATTATTTGATTAGATCTGTACCACCCGAAGAAAAAGAGGCAAAGTACGAACGATTATTATGTTCTAGCTTACAAGCTTACAGTTTTTATTTAAAAACTGTTGGAAACGATAATGTCGAAAAAACCATAGATTTTCATAAAAATTTAATTTCTAATAACAAATTTTGGAAATTAGCCAAACATGATGCTCTTCCAATAAAAACTGGCTTCTTTAATGTACTAAATTCTCTCATTTGTCACGCTAATCATATTGTCATTGAAGAAAGAAAAAAAATTTTGACTTCAGTGATCAATAGCTTAGATGAGTCAGATCCAAATTTATTAATTGCAGTTTGGGAAACTCTTTTAGTAGCAATAAATAATATAGAGGTCTGTAAATAATCCCACATTTGAATTATATTTATTAATTTATATTAAAACTAATATGAATGTTCTTTAATAAATATTTAGGACTGGCATAAAGTGATAAGTATAGAAAAATTAGTATTACCAAAATTATGGTCTGTTTTAAAAAATGGAGGGTCAACATGTGCAAGTGTTGTTTACCCAAGTTTATTACCATTCCTAAGTCATTTTACAAAATGTGAAATTGATAAAGAAAATATGTATACAAATTTTTTTGAAAATATGCGTCTTGGGTAAGCAATTATTTTTACCCCATTTAATTAAAAAGTGTATTGATATTGATACAATTTTATTTTCATTTTAGATTTTCAGTTAAAAGTGTTAAGTTTAGCCGTTCTGAAACCTTTGCAGTTGTAACATCATTTGTAGAATGTTTTAAATATGCAATTTTAGTTAACTGCATGGACACAAAGACCTGCAAAAACCTTTTGATACAACAGGTGATTTAAATTATAGTTACTATTGTTATTGAGATAACCCTTAATTTACTTTTTAACATTTTTTTTTATAGTTAACACCTGTTATAAGAAATTGTATTTATGAATGTACACCTTTTCGTTCACCTTTTTTTTGTGAACTAAGTCATTTGGTACGTTATTGGAGTAAGAATAGGCATAATTCTGATTATCCTGCTTATAATGAACTATTGAACACATTTTGGTCTGAGTTGATGAACATTTTTGATCAATTGGTAGATAGCGCAGATACTGATTACAATACAACTGTATCTGATATTATTGAATCCATAGCTGATCTATTGAATTATCTTAAAATTGCCCCCAGCCATAACAGGCGTAATATGAAGGTTAAATTTTCTGATACAATGAATGCACCTACTTCAGAAAAGATACAACAATCACCAGCTATTACTTGCCACAATCAGGATGTCGAATTTTCAAATGATTTACAACAGCTTGTTACGAAGCTTTGTGTGGATTATTTTAAGCGAATTAATGAAAATCCTTCAAAGCATAAAATTATAAACCTTATTAAAATAATTCATGGTCATGAAAATGAGAAATTATTTGTTGCATTATCTAAATCTTATGACACAAATGAAAATTTGTTGCAATTTTACAATCAATATTTAAAACCATTAATGAGCTTAGAAAATGATGAAACTGATGCCACAATTGATTTTATATTTATTATTATATCTTACATGGATAATATAGAAAAAATACAAACCTTGAAATCATTCACAGAAGTAAGTGTTTCAATTAAAAAATTTATTTTTTTCTTTTTGAATGAAAATAATTTAATTTTTTCTCACAGGTAAATAATCAAAAAGTGTTGAAATCTATTTTAAAATGTGCAATATCTGAACAGTATAGAGAAGATATCAATATCCAAAATTGGCTTAGACAAGACCGAATTGCAAGTGCTTTAGTTTCTGCATCTACATCAATATCATCTTCAATGTCATTCTCAGAGGCTGATGAAAAATTGTTGAAGTGTGCATTCAAACCATTAATTAATGGAGGTAATTAAAAAAAATCATTCTATTGCAAATTTATTTATTACTATAATTCTCAATTAACTTTTTATTAGATTTGATAGTCAGTGGTAAAGTCATTTCGGAAATAGTATCAAAATTATGCTTGACTCTAACACAAGTATCAAGAAACCATGAAAAAGAAGTTGCAAGAACCACAAAATTATTATCAGATTTATTATATTTATCATGGACTCACAGAGATATTAATCCATATTCGATTCAACTGTTAAAAACTTTGTTTCATTTAAACATACGTGAAGTAATAGAAAAAACAGATGAAGAAGAAATGTCTTCTGTTTTGGAAATAGCACAAAAAACTTGGACTGAAGGATTATTGGAATTAAGCAATAAAATACCACAAGATGAGTTCATTGAACATGTTAAATACTTATCCAGTACAATTTGGAAAATAATTGACTTTTCGTAAGTTTTTTAGCATGCTCTTATTAGCATTGAATTTATATTGTCAAATTTATTTCATTGAAAAAGCTAATTTTCATGCAACTAATATTATTTTAGAGATGAAGTTTTGAAAGATTCAATTGTTGAATTATCCTCTATTTTTGTTGAGATCATCATTAAATGTGGTGAAAAATATTCAACAAATTTCATTACGACCTTTCTAACAGAATTAGAAATAAAAATGTGGATTCAGTGTGCCATTAAGCTAATATGCTATGGAGAAGTATTATCAGGCAACCTACATTCTTCAAATTTGCTCATTAAAGGGCTAATATGGGAAAATTCGTATATTATTGATCTACATGAAAATCAGCTTGAAGATACTACTCATAAATGTTTGAAGTGGGCTGTGATAATTATAAAAATTTTAAATAATTTACTGGCTAAAAATTTAGACATTCCAGAACTTTCAGATTTGTTAATTAATTTATCTTATATAGCTGCATTAGGAGAAAATCATAACAAACATTATAGTTGTGTAAGTCTTTCTAATTATTGTCATTTAGAAAGCATATAAAAAATGATACATAATATTGTTACACATTTTATTTTTAGACAATGAATGCAAATATTGTTCACCAATTGCTCAATAAACTTTACCAAGAACTGGAAGAATTGAAAAATACTCTTCCAGAAGATGTTCACATTGAATTTTTTGTAGCTGTTAAACAGTAAGTGGCTCATTACCAAAAATATTTACAGATTCAAATTACTCAATATTTTTATCGATTTTACAGGTTGATTATTAAGTATGGAGGTTTTTATCCAAATATTTTAAAGTTCTATCATGAATATTTATATTCTAAAAATGATCTTTCAATGTTATTTGAAAATGAAAAATTCAATGATGTCAATACACTATTGCAAAGTACTCAGGTAATTGATATACATTTCAATTGAACCAAACAGCAAAACAAAATACTAAAAATTTTATTGATCATTTTTTAGGTTCTAAAAGATTGTGAAATTTTATATGAATACTTATTGTCTTGCTACGATGAAAGTGATTTTCAAACATTTTTTATTGCGAATCATCAAATGGAAACAAAGCAAGTTTGTGATTCATTGAATAAATCTTTTGATACATTATCAAAGCTACAGAATAAACCGTCCGTTTTACTGTTAAATAGGTATGTTTTTAATTATTTTTTTATGTCTAAACAAATGAGTCAAATTCGAAAATATTTCAGAAGTATAACTGTAAACGCATGGGAAAAGTATATTCTTCCATTAGAATGTATTAATTTTCTAACTAACTGTGTTACTATAATACCCACACAACTCAATACTATTCAGTGGGATAAAATTCTATTATGCCTTAGTACATGGAGTGATTCTTTGGGAAGTACTATAAAAAATTTGCACAATTTCGAAGTAAGAAGTTCAAGTTTTTACAATTATTTATTACATTTGTTGAACTGAATTAATTTGTTATTATCACTGCATAATATTAGGTAAAAGCTTTTGTCATTGCTGTGAGTAAACTGTATACAGCTATTCAAGCATTAATGAATAAACAAGAAAAGCATCCTGTAAATTTACCTCCAAAGCTTCTAGATGAATGGAAAAACGTATTTGCATCTGAATTACAAGAATCTTTCTTTGAATATTGGATCGAATTTGCTGGTAAATTATTCTCAAGTTTTTATTTGAAGGATCCTTAAACTATGTGAACATTTTCTATTTTACATTGGCTTTTGTATCTTTTTGAGTAAAAATTTTAGTATTAAATTTTGTGGAAAATTACATTTTTCAGAACTTTACAATTTGGAAGACTCGGTTATGGATAACATTTTACCATTGAAGTATTTAGGAAAGACATTGCAAAATTTGAGAGAGAATATTTTTGAACTTAAGACATCCAGAATAAAACGTTTCTCACAAGATGAAATTTTGAATTTATCTACAAAATTAATTTCGTCGCCAATCATGAACTTGCAATTGGGTACCTTCATAACATTAAGTAACATTGCAAAAACATTTGTTGCATGTGATAAAAAACTGATCGAAGAAGAAGATTTTAACACCTCATCATTGAACATATGCAAGTTAAAAAATGTTCTAAATTCATTACAGGCTGTTGTTGATACTATGCTTATGGAATTCAAGTAAATTTTTTTCGATAATTTTGATTTGAATGTGGATTAGAATTATTTACTTAGAAAATATTTTCAGACTTGGTGATTCTCAGAGTTTTGTTATTCAACCGCACACTGACTCATACACTTATACTGTTGGTTATTTGTTTACTTGGGGTATCATTTTGACCATGTGTGCTGAAGCAAATGCAGATTTACGTTATCATTATGCTGACGTGTTGAGGTATGCCGTATATCTTTACATAAGCATTTATAATTTTGTATATGTATCAGGGTTGTAAAGATTTAAACTAATTTGATCGATTAAAATCGATATTTAAATTGAATTTTTTACAAAGCTGATATGTATTCATGCTCACCACTGTAGACCAATTTAAAAATGTTTTCAAATTATTACAGGGACGGGTTTTTCTCGAGTTTATTGAGCAATTTATTTCGTCTGATGCCATCAGAAATTCTGCATGATAAAAATAAAAGCGCCAGAATAACAGAACTTTTCACTAAAATGCCATCTCTAGATTTTGAAGGTATGATTTTTATAAAATACAGAGGTAGAAATTAAGCAAGATATAATAATTATATTTTATAGAAAATTGGAGTGAAAGGAGGCTCGATCACTGGGTTTGTTGGCTTTATACAAATTGTCTTCGATATTTACCTGTAATTGTTAGGCAATGGTGGAGCACAGTAGACAGCCGTACCAGTTCTGTCGTAGATAAAGTAACAACTTCTTATGTTTCGCCAATTTTGTGCAATGAAGAATTTCGAGATGAGAGATTTTCTGATTTAAGCAATATGCAGGTAAGCTTTTATTTAATTATTATTATTAATGATTCATTTTAGTCGATTTTTCAAGAAACTTAACTATCAAATTTTTTCTTCTATCAGATAAAAGTTCATCCATCAGTTCGCGAGGTTGTGGCTTTATATAATATAGACGATGAGTCAAAATTGGAACTCATAATCAAACTACCGTCAAATTATCCTTTAGGTACAGTTGATGTTGAACCTGGACAATATAGTGGACCTACAAAATGGAGAAATTGTCACTTGCAACTTTCTATATTTTTAACTCATCAGGTGACGTATCAAAGCTAGTGAAACTTAACATGAAAAAATTACAACTTATTCAAATGCTTTTTTATAACGCAGAATGGTTCGATCTTTGAGGGATTGAAGATTTGGAAAGCCAACATTGATAAAAGATATTCAGGAGTTGAGGAATGTTGTATATGTTTCAGTGTTTTTCAAATTAACACTTATCAACTTCCTCATCTTACGTGTTCAACTTGCCGAAAGAAGTTCCATAAACAATGCCTTGTAAGTAATCAAATAGTCAATTTTAAAAATTGAGTACATCAAAAAAATTATTCTTTTTCAGTACAAGTGGTTTAGTACTAGTCAGAAATCGACTTGCCCTATCTGCAGAAACACTTTTTAAACTTGTGAAAAGTCTTGTTGATTAATTTTAAATTCATTCAACTATTGTATTATATTATTGTATAAATTAAAGTTATTTTTAAACTTACTCCACAGTTTATTATATTATTTATGATCAATAAGTACAATTCTTTTCAAATTTTTCATCAATTCTTCACAATTCGCTAAATTGTCATTTGTTATTGTAATTAAATGCTATGAACTTCACAGTCAAGTTTAAAAGAGTTGAAGCGTCACTAACCTATTTTAATAATCGATTTACCGACGTTTTTCAAAAAAAACTACTAATCAATGGATTGCATGAAATTATCAGAAACTCAAGATATATTTGGTCACGCAGGTTTTTGCATTAGCATAGAGCAATCTAAGTTACTCCAAAATTCTTTAATAGTTTTACAAAAAGAAAATCATTTTCAAAAATGTTTCTACTGGGGGAAAATTTATGGTATTCAACAGGATTATCACATCGCTTATGGGTATAAAAAAGAATGTCTTGAAAGTAGAAAGTATTTTTACAGGTAAAATCGATATATGAATTAAAAAATTTAGTTAATTATCGCTAGCATGAAAAAACTTGAGTTTTTTTTAGTTTCGATTGCTTAAATTGGTTACTAATGCCAATGATAACTAGAAGTCATATTTTACTTGCACCTTTGGCAATTTTCGACTTTCAAGGAGACCCTTCAGTCGTAACAAACGTCTACGATACGAATCCACCCTATTTTATGGATAAAGAGATGGAACCCCTCAATAAAGTAATTTAAACATTTTGAATTTCAAAAAAAATGTAAATGTTCAATTAAAATAAAATTCTTGCGTCCCAAGGATTCAACCAAAACGTATCTCAAGGAAGAAGACAGACTTGCAGCAACGATTTATTCAATTGCTACAAACGCTGCTATTATTCCCAGAGGAGCTTGGATTAAATTAGATGATGGTAGAATAATCGAAAATATGAATTTTGAGGGTTTGGACTTGAAAGATGCGCAAAAAGTTAAATCTTACTCACTAGCAAGACCACCGCAGAGCAAATGGAATGCTAATCTTCTCACTAGAACAAATTTTAATTGTACCTACGACTTTCTTGATACCATTGATGAATGTGTTCCGCCAGGTATCTGGTTCTTTCAAGTCCGATAAAATTATAGTAGTTCAATATCGGATCAATAGTTTTTGATCATTGCCAGTGCTAGCTGATTATTAAAACTACTTTTACATAAATATTCAATTTTTCTAGAGTGTTGGAACTTGCAAATTGTTCAAGCTGGACGTTTGGCGTTGCTTCACAACTTGTGTTGGCCTGGAATGACATTTTTCCATAAAATCAACACCCCGCACCATGGTTATTTATATGTTGGAAATGGAAAAAGAAATTTAGATGTTCCTTTTATGTTATAATGAAAGTAGTGAATTATGTTTTAAGAAAATAATTGATTTGATTTTTCACTATGCTTCAGTAAAAGGAGGGAATCACTAATCTAGCATTTTTCGGATACTATGAGTAAATAAAAATTTCTAATTTCTAAAATCTACTGATACCATTTGATTACTCATACCAATCGAAACTAAGCATCTCAGTTTAAAAATAATGACATTGAGCTAATAAAATGCATTGCATACAAATATATTGGTTTGAATGCCTAATTCTTATGTAAGGTTTGCAAATTGTAAGATTGTCAATTTTCTTGACTTGATTGGCATCGGTAATTTTAGAAAATCTTATAAATTTATTGAATTTTTTATCAGCCCTTGAAATATTATTGATAATAGAAAAAACAGGGAGAAGAAAACGAAAGTTCTGGTATGAATGAGTAATTTATATCTTTCTTTCGCAAAATACTCTTTCTGATGATAGATTAAAGATTTCAAGTAACGGCGAAGATCCAAGTAACGAATACACATGATTGTGAATCGCCATGAGACATGAGCACGGCCAAAGTCGTATTTACAAGGATTTCATACAAATGATGTCAGATTCGTAAACGTTATTTTGAGCATGTGCTGATGCACTTTTATACTTGAACTTACGAAAAAATTCTCTAGACGTCTCATGTGAAAAATACCAATTATAAAAATTTATTTCATATTGTCGGTGGAGTAGAGCGAGACTAATCGCGCGTTAGGCATTTCACGCCAAATATTTATCATTACATTATCGCACGAATGTATTCACAAAGCTCATGATCGTTCGTGGATATATACTTGGGATATATTTATATACATCTGTAAAGCAGAGCTTTACGACTGTCGTATTTTTAAGTATGCTTGGCGCATTCGTCTATACCGCCCAACTTTTATATTCCATACACGAACGTGAGTGGGTTCCGGTTCCTCTGCCGTTGAGCTCCTCATTCTTGAAGTCTCTGTTTTTGCTGATCTGCCCTGCCCTTCTCTCATTCTTTATTTACACCTTTACAAATGCTGCTTACCTTATCTTTTTAATTAATTCATTTTTTTTCGTTATTTTTACAAGACTTTAAAGTAAAGGCGTTGTACGAGATAAATGTAATAGCTGCTAAAGTATTAAACAAGTTTTATTTTCACTATGCATACAGGCTTTCGACAATTTTCAATTAAACTATCAATGTCTCTGCAAAGATTAAATTCTGACGAATGTTTGAATATTTTTCGTATTTCATTCATTCAGTACATAAGATATACATCGCTTTTGTCACCACTTCACTTGATGATGGTAACATTTTTATTGACAAAAAACGGATAGAATACAAAAATTAATGAACCAATGTCAGAATACAAATCAAAGTGCTGCAGATTTAGTCAAGCGTTACGTCCTTCCAACTCGTTACGAGCAGATTTTCTAGTTAGCATGTGCATTTATAGCATCTTACGAGAGTGTGTGCGTGAGCAAATTGACTAAAATCGGGAATATATTTCTTTCACCTTTGATTCCATTCTTACTGCACTTTATAAATTTTAAGGACTGGTTTAATCGACCCTTTTTGTTTTCTATCGGTAAAATCATTGGATTTTTTAGTAAAAAATTGACATAGGCACATAAAAAAAAGCAGATAAGTTAAAATCATGAAGCATCTTTGTTTTCAAGGAGCAAAATGTATTTAAGTTTTGAGACGTGGACAAGCTCTCATAAGGTCTTAAGTGTATGCGCGTGCACTCATAATAAAAGGCCGTGCCCATATGTAAAATTGTACAAGGTGCGCCTCGATATGCATCTGTCTTCTGCCCGCTTAATAGTTACGCTATTTAGATGAAAATAATCGTCTGGTCGGTCGACAATTGTGTGTGTCTTTTAGCACAAAACGCATAAATTGAAGCTCGATCGCCAATTGAATGTCGTGGCTTTTAATTTCATAAAAAGTTGACGATTAATCACAGTTACGAAAGTAGCTTAAAATCGAAAACATCTTCACTTAATTTTTGAAAAAGATTTTTTTTTCTTTTCTTTTTATTAAATTTTTTAAAACTCCGAAAAGTTAATTTTCCCCTGAGATTCAGCCATTTCCATTAGTCGTTTTCGAATACTTTGGGTGTTAAATTTTATCTTCTTAGGTGTTTTCTAACGTTTTTTCAAAAAGGCACCTCCGTAACTTTTAGAGCAAACCGTTGAAGCCATCAGCACGAGAGTTGCGTTCACTTCTTCAGAACATGATTCGTTATGTCCAGGACCTTGTATGAGGTGATTGGCCTCGTAGTTTACTCTGCACAAACACTTAAGCACTTTTTTTTTCATTTTACGTTTTTATCCTATTTTTTAGCATGAATAATCCACCGGGTAATTTCCTCAATATATGGAAAATTAATTCATAAACTGATTGTTACCCAGCCAGTTGAAAAGTTATGCTCTATGGTCCGGTATTTTTTTGTAAAATCATGACTAATATCCACATTTTTTATTTTAACAATAATTAGAGAGAGATTTTGAAATAATAATTTGAATTTCGTAATTTTAAATCAAAAAGTAGCTGGTCAGTGATCTAGAGAAAAACCATTTTGCGTCAATATCTGTCCATTTTTAATATAATAAATACCGTACGATATTTCGATTGATTTAGTAGAAAAACACATTGTACAAAAAGTACTCTTATTAACTAATAATTAACTCGACTAGATCATTTAACACAAATTTATGCCTATTTTTAACTCCCTGTGTGGAAAATATATTATTTGAGACTCACTGCTTTCCTCCTGCGTTCGAAGTCGTGTAAATATCTGTGGTGGAAAGGGAGAACAGACCAACTCAGTTTTTTTCGAAATCGAGTTTATGGCGTTAAACACCAACATTTAGTGTCAACTTTGATGTGCAAGTGTCCGAATGACCGGAAATTGCATCTATCGTTTGGTACAGCACAATGCCAAACCGACCAAGTCCCTCTCAGCGAAACCCTCAACGCGATATCGAATCGACTTTGTTTAAAAAGTTATGGAATATGATATTGGAACGTTGTATACACAACTCTCGCATCATTGGATGCTGCCGGAGCAGTGTGACTGTTGGGGCACTTGACGCAGCAGTAATGTGCGATGTTCGAGATATTTAGCTCTGAATGTTTGATGGCGATTTCCTTGGCGAAAATGGAAAATTTTGGAAAATCTGATATTACCATCAGAAAGCTGAGGAAATTTCCGATCGAATCCACCAGCTAGTTTTTTTTTCAGATGGGTTTTGACGGTTATAAAGCGACTTAGAAATTGAGCATGTGAACTTGGGCGCAAGAAGTTTCCCGGTCAAACCGACCAAGTCCACCTTTTTCACTTCGCATCTACGTTATCAATTTGATAGTTACATAGGCCAAAAGATACATCGTAGTAAGTTAAAATATCATGAGTACAGAGTTATAATCGTCCGCGTTCAGCTACGCACTCACGCAACTCCAAACACGTTTTTCTCGAAAACACGAAAAATAGAGTTGGTCAGTTCTCCCTTTCCACCACAGATATATTAGCGGAACAGTGAATGGTCTAGTAGTACATCCGATCAATACAGTCATCAATACAGTTGATATCAATTTAACAACAATATAATAAAAGTAACATTATTAGTATAAGTATAGCGTAGTGAAGTAAGTGGGATGGTAGCGATTGCGATAGTGAAAGTGAGGTACTAGGTAGTGTGAAGGGTGAAGATATGGTATGGTTTATGAGTAATCAACTTTATCCATATCAAGTATGAAAAGCGTACTATAAATGTGAACTTATACCACGCAGTGCTGTAAAAAAAGGATATGATACTTGTGATTCAAGAAGCCCATTCTGAACACGGCCCTAGCATCCTCGCTATACGCTGTGTAATAATGACCTGCTTAAGTCACCCGTATCATAATATACTATTATAAACTCAATGACTTTCGAGATAAAAAATTAATTTGGTTTTTTATGAACAATTTACTTCGCGGATACCATTTTGGTAGAAGTAGTGATTGGAAAAATCTGTGAAAATTCCCCAAGTTACTTCTATATCCATGATCACCTTTGATCATATTCATACCTTGAATTTTTCACTGCAACACTTCGAAAAATTCTCAAAATTGATGTTTCACACAAATTTTCATGTTTTTTTGCGTTTAAACAATCATAACTTTTTAACAAATTCTCAAATCTTAAATTTATATATTGTGAATAAAAAATTTCCTCTTTCTGGACATTAATGGCTTAATGCAAAACATGACTAGTCAATCATTTAAGGTACAGCTTGAATAGCTCGCTATTTTACTGTCTTTTCGCTTTTAATTTTCATTGATGTACAGCTTTTATGAAGTGTCCGCGTTGAATGAGCCACCAAGAGTGAGATATGCCCTCATTACTGTAGATTTTTAAAATTAATTAGGGACATTTGAAAAATTCAACATTAACAAATTCAATTTCCAAAAAGTGAAAAGTTCATCAGTCAAATAATAAGTCATTTACTCAAACTCTCGTATCCGTTTCTGAAGAAATATTGGCACAGTTCAACAAACATTGCCAGAATACCTATATACCGATGCAATCTGTCCCTACTGATTGCGGCATTCATTAGTAAAATTCGAGACATGTCGATGGTGAAAAAAATTCAATAATAAGATTAAAAAATGCCATGAGGTAAATAAGGTAAAAAAATGGTAAAAGTGTTGGAGCTCTTTGTACGGCTCGATTTAGATGTATAAATGAAAAAGTCATGAGCTGGTAGTCTACGAGGGTGCAGTGCAAGTGCAAAAGTCAGCAGAAATCTGGATGCTGCAGAATCGCACAGCTTTCACACATGGTTGGACGCACGATAAATAAATTCTCTTTTCCTTTCTCGTTTGCGTTGCAGTGCTGCCTAAGAAAGCTTCGAGCTGCACGAGTGGCAGTGCCAGCGAGTGATTCATTGCTCTGGTTTACCCTTCTCTCTCTCTCTCTCTCTTTCTCTCTCGCCTGCATCGCTGTACACTGGCTCAGCTACG